GTCTCCAGCGGGTCGAGCGGTCTCGTGTGGACGGACACGTTTCTTGTGCCGATTCCGTGTGGACGGAAGACTTTTTTTATATCGACCTCGGTTCGTTTTAGGGGCCTTAGTTTACAGATGAACGCAAACAGATGCAGACAGTCAGAGGTACAAAATAAAAACAATGTTTTATTCACTGGAGTTGTTCACCTGCATACCCTTATCCATCAAAAAGAGGCGTTAACGTGGTGCTCACCAGGCTAACATTAGCAGCTAACACGACATTAACCGCTAACATTAGCCGCTGTCCTGTCCCGGCCGTGGTTTTGAAGTCTTCAAGGATTTTTCACACCTTTTTTCCTCTTGTTTCCGAAACCCTGGAGTACACTGGTAGTAGGCTATGGTAAAATAACAAAATAACAAATTGTTTTTCAGACGCATAGCAAACAGCTACTTGCTTATTTCGACAGATAAAAAGGTATCCGCTTCCGGTTCCTGACTGTCATATTAATTATCACCTGAGAGGACTAAACAAACATACATACCGGTACGGCCCTATTTTCCCAGACCTCCATGAGCACACTTTACATTTCACCTTTTCTTTTCCAATACTTTTGTGTATTCATCGTGTTTCGTTTCCTATAGAGCCTACAATACCATTCTTGTTAAACCATAGGCAACTTGGTAGTACTTGGTGATAGGCTTCCCCCTCAGTGGTCACCTCTCAACTGTGATGTTCATAAAGGATCCATCCTCCCCCTTGGTTTATAAGATAACTTGAATCTTTTAGTGACCTTTATCATAAAATAACTTCATGATTCAAGTAGGTTAGCAGAAACAAAGCTTGAAACCTCAAGATAAATCAAAACAAGTTGCATTTGTATCTCTGAAGCCTGTGTTTGACCTACTGTAGCTATACACTGGTTGTAATAGGCCTACAGACGTTTTGTGTTAATGGGATACTTATGAGATACTCATGTTGATCCCCTGACTTAATAGACTGAGCAACTCCTAGGTCCCGTCAAACAAGGCTAATTTAGATTTTGTTCCCTTATTAACCCACACTGTACATTTGAATAGATGTTTATCCTTTTGTATTAATGTGAAACAATGTAGGCCTATACTGTATGCAAGAAAAAATGAAATTATTCTGATATTAAAGTAAAAATCTAATTCAAAGTAAAGTCACATGCTGGCCGTTCTTTATTGAGCCTTAAACCAATGTCAGCTTTTATTTTTGTAGCTCTAGTTTTTCTTCACAGTTTCCCCCCCCCATTTGTCCTCTTAGTTATTTGCTTTCATTACTTGTCCTGCTGTTTTATTTCTTTCTGCTTGCATCTTTTTCTCCCAAACTCATTGTTAGACCTTGTTATGTTTATTTCTAATTGCTTGTGTAACCCAGCTTGTACATTGTTTTTTTAGGTGCTGATTAAATAAAGTTTCCGATGTTAAAAGTCATAATTCAGCCCCTTGTTTCAAACCTGCTGTGGCGAGCTGGTGTGCTGCTTCTCTCTTTTCTCACCGCAGCTCTCTCCTCTAGTTTCTCTCTGTCTTTGATTAAATAGCTTTAATTCTGTATTACGGGTATATTACATTTCTCAGTGATATGATTCTCTGGTCCCACATTTTCTCAACAGCCTGTGTAACCATGGTAACATTCTGGTCAAGAAGGCACACAACATTCATAATTTCTTTCACATTTCTGAAGCATGGTGTTATTTAAATAGGAAACAACCAATACATATTAGTAACCAACACTCGTTGCAGTGCGATAAACTATACATAATCCACTCAAATCCCTCCAGTTAGTAAGCAGTAATTGACCTTCGCATATTCAGTAAGTGAGTGTGGATTATTCTATTTACACAATCCAGAGGCAAATATAAGGCTCTTTAGCGCACACTTTGCCATGGATTATCCCTTATTAAAATCAAGATTAAGGTGCTCCTGATGGAATTGACCACCCTAGGAAGGGATTTGATGAAGAAATTAAAATGAATTAATTAGTCAATATGGTGATATTACATGAGCCTGTATTTCAATGATACAGGCTCATTACACAATTGGAAATATGGCTGCCATTTTTTGTCACCATACAGTATATTAGAGTAATAAAGAAACCATACAGTTACACGTTAAAAAATATTGTAGTTTGTGTTTTATCTCAAATAAGCAAACGAGGCACAATTACTGTTGGGCCTTGCTTGTCGAGGGTTAATTAAACTTGCCTGTGAAGATGATCTTTAGACTGTGCAGGGAAACTGGAGCATATTGAGAAAACCCAATAAAACATGCTAACAGAGGGCTGCAGCCCTGAAGGTACCATACTGATATGATTGTAATTGAACATTTTCAAAAAATGTGGATAACAATAAAACACTGGCACAGATGAGAAAGTATTGTATCAAAAACTTTATTCTCAAATAATGTTTTCAAAATATCTGATAGATAAACTTTGAGTCTCTTTAACAGCAGGTTGTGAGGCTGCATACACATACAGTATCTGTTGTATAATCATTTATAACACTCCATGTAATTCCCCCCTCATGATCTGTCAGAAAAATGCCCTTTTCAAAACTCAAGAAGTTACAAGTCAAGTTAGGAGCATCCAAACTGTTGCAGACTTGCCTATGCTGCTTTCATAGCCGAAATGTACCACCATTTTATTTTCCACTCTAAACCCATTATGTCTAAACAAGGAGAGCCAGATGACTCCTTGCTTAACAGACATAAGGTCACATGTTGGGCCGTAAAGGGGTCAAGTCATTCAAAAATCTTTTGTGCCTGTGGAAGTCATCCCTCTCCCAGATATAGACACCAGGATCAGCCACACAGAGCTGGTTTTACACAGGAACACTTATGTTTTAAAGAAAGTGTCATTTTCACCCCATCCATGAATACCGTTCATGACATTTTGACACTAAACATCTGGTGTAGGTATCTTAAATGTATTCAGAAAATGAATGTAAACATTATGCATGAAATCACAAATGCTAAGGCAGCTCGTACGGCACAGCTGCCGCATTAAAAGCCACATTATATACCATATTTTTGCAGGGAATGAGGATTTAAATGTTAAAATGAAACACAAACTCTGCCAGCCCCAATCTGTGGAGGAGTTGGAGCTGACACATCAGTTATAGGACTGAAGTGTTTTCGAGTTTGAATAAAAAACTTTTTTACAGGTGTGACCAAGAGATAAGTGTCTCTCCAGCATGGAGAAAATAAACTCTGCATCTCACAAGGTTTTCTGTTCCTGTGTAAAATCAGCCGTAAAAGAGATCACATGACATTTGGATTTTATATACTCGGTTTGAACCATAGATTTTTACATGGTGTGAAACAGTAAAAACATTGACTTTAATGAACAAGAATTTGTTGTACCTACATCATTAATCATAAAAAGTACAGCATGTTTAATAATTTGTTTTTCCTTTTTTACAAATTCTCCATAAAAAATAGATTTCTGTACAAAACTTTTTTCTTTTGCACCTACTTCAAGTTCAGCAGCACATGATGATGATGATGATGATGATGCGAGGTGACATGGAGGTGATCATGATGCTTTAAACAATAACATTAATGATGATGGCAGCTTCCTGGTAAAGACTTGCCAACATATCTCTGTGCCATTTATGACCAAATGAAACCATTTTTTAAAGTACACATCTATAGGCCACAATCTCACTTACTGCATGTCAAAATGATTTGCGGAGACTGTATCCCATCATCATAATGTGTGGTGTCTCAATCTAGAAGCTGCCATGTGCCGTAATGTCAATTATTCATCCGAGTGAAGCAGGGCTGCAGTCGACTCACGTTCAATTCTGACAAAGATAGTGATTTTCTTCAAAGCTCTAAAGCTGAGCGTATGACATGAGAAGTTTGTCCTATCCAAACTATTGAGCAGAAGCTGACAAAGGCCTGTCAAGGGCAATACATAACATTTTGATTTCACTACAAACTGAATCTGAAAGCAGCAACGACAGTGTTCCTAGAAAAGATCAGTGTCCTCCCTGCGGGATAATAAATTCACACATAAATTCATCTTCATGTAGTGTTCATGTTTTATATCTGCATTGAATTGATTATGTGATTATTTTAAGCGTGTGACATTTACAGTTTTAGCTGTTATTTTTCTTAAGCTCGCAGCAACCTAGGCCCCTTTGTTTCAATGAGGACTGCTGACAATACTACTTTAGTAAGGGACAACCTATTTCCCCAACTGTGAAAAGTCTAAGCTGAAGAAGCAGAAACAACTTTGGCATTTCAAAATGTAGTGGGTAAGTTCTAAAAAAATGTAACCAGCTGTCGCTCTTTAAACGGCGAGGACTGCTGACAGTGCCAAATTAAAGGCAAATGTGAAAACGTCTTCCTAAGTTGTAAAGAAAGTCTTCAGTCATTTTCAACTTATCTTCAAGGAGGTATGTGTCATAACCAGGAGAAGACTGATAAATTAACAGATGACGTTTTACAGCCTCCGCACTGTCTTTTCTACATATTCCAATAGAAATTAAGACACAAACTAGATGTCACTCGTTATGTCATTACTCTAAGAAAGGGCCTTTGTTATAAGATTTGCTTTTGTTAAGATTGAAATGAAGTCACGGCAAACTTCAACAAAAAAAGTTGTCCATTGTAAGATCTTTTCCAAAAGAGTGATTTTAATCAGACCCACAACAATAGGCCTCCTTATTTTATAAGTGAGAAGAAATACAGGTAGACCTCACAGAGGAATGGCTTTCTTCCCTTTTCAATCATTCGCAGTCTTTTCATTTCAATTAAATAGCTATGAATACGAATTATGCCCAGCTTTCAGCTCCACATCTCACTCATTTTGGTGTACAAACTGGGAACAATGGAGATCTGTCTCTGTGTCTTTGATAATGATGCTTTTGTTTATAACAGATATTTTAAAATATAGAATAAACTTTATTTACATTTTTTTTTAAAACAGAGTCGAGGTATTAGAATCAAGGGGATTAAATAATACAGCAATGTTGTAATACTTAGATTTGAACTTCCTCACTAAAGCTAACCTCGGTAGAGCCCCTCTGATGTTTTCCTGCCAGAACAAACTGGGACGGCGCTGAGTCTAAGTGCTCTGGTTCAGTCTCACTGGGAGATCAGATCCGTATCATTACAGTAATTGTTAAAAATTACACCTTTTACTACGCCTGTAGAAACCTTGCAACCTCTAATTTTCAGGCTCCATTATGCTCTCTTGACTCCATAGGGAATCTCAACTGAATTAATTTAATCAATTAAAATAGAAGCACTCGAGCAATACAAAGTGAAGAGGATCACTATCTGCTGTTGTTTACAGATGTCTGTTTATTTTTATGAGAAGATTTTCAATGTGTGTCTACTGTCTTTCCCCCGCTCTCTAACTCTTGCCAGTATTATAACTTGTACCCTCATCCTCCTTTTCTCTCTCAAACTGGTGTAAATGTTTCTTGGCTGTCGGACCACGACCCTGACTCTGAGGCTGTGAATGACAGGCTAACAATAGATACCATAATACCAACAACATCCTGTATTCACGCTTCCAAACATTTCACCATTGTTTCGTCCACATTTCATTTGCAACATTCAAACTGGTGTTCATTTTCAGAGAATCCTTTTCAATTAAAAGAGCCGGAAATGCAAATGCAAAACTGCAATTTGCTTGTCCCTTCGTTCTTGCATATCAAAACAGGTGGATGTGACAAACTTCTCATAACAAATGTTTTCTCCTCAATATTTGGGACTTGGTTGAAATCCTAACTGAAATATAACTGTATTAAGTGTTTCATAGACAAAATCATCATTTTTAACATGTTTTCATGAACTAATATCTCATACCTTCCACACTCCTGTGCGAATCAATGGATATGTTTTTTTGTTTGTACGTATGACAGTATGATGGTTTGAGCTTATTTGGACAATACAAATCATGCAGGTGTAATGCCAAAATGGATCGCATGGAGAGTGATACAAACGAGAAAAAGGCCTGAAGACACTGTAAGACACACACTGAAAGCAGTTACATCTATGATCTAAACCAAGTGCAGCATCTTTCCAAAAATAAAATTATTTTGAGAGAACACTGCGAGAAATAACAAGCTTGGCAAGTGATTTAAAACCAGTGGATTTTCTTGAATTCCAAAGACTACAGGGTGTTTGTACGACATTCTGTCTTAAAATACCAGGAAATGAAAGGTCGCACTCGCTAAGCTTGTGTATTTGTTGCAGTGAAGTTCCTGCGATAATAAGCAGGATGTAACTTTCTCTCTGCACACGAGGTATTTCTAAAATGGATAGGGGCAATAACTGCCGACAACAATAATTGTGCATGTTGTCTTCGTACTGTATTCGTTTGTCCTCTGCCTTACGTGACAGATTATCAAACTGATCACGAATACATGGTGGGCTCTTTAAAAAGATGTGTTGAAATAAAATCAGATATGTCAAATGTGTTCAGAGATGACGTATGATTATGTTGATAGTTTGGGACACTGGCAACACATGTTTTTAAAGAGTTATAGAAACAGTTACATTCCTGAAAGCTAACACTGCTAAACTGAAAAAAAGCCCATAGAGAGATACTATTTAATATTCATAAAGTACTGTACAGTATCTCAGGAAATGATGGAGTTTAATACCTGAAAATAAAACTAGCAGTGTGGTACCTGTGTTTCAGTGGGACCATACTGCACATTATGGATGTGAGGCTTTCTGTGTATTTCTTCCACACATTACAGCACTCACACTGTGCAGTATGAGCTTTCAGAAGCATCCACTGCTCTATAAATGGCACAAATAAAAGTGGTGTCATTTCGTGACACTAAAAGCTCAGAGGTCCGAGGGTAAACTGATCCCAACTTTCTGGTTGGCTAGCGTGTTATCATGGCAACAAAATAAACAACGGTATAGCATGTGGTCACACCTTCTGCTAACAGGGAGTGTGCGATATAAATGTGTATATACAAACACTCTGTAACCCTGTATTTTGTCATTTTTGTTGTCTTTTTAAAGATAGAAGTTTCTGAATAAAATTCTCTTTTTTCGAATGACCCATTTTTCAAACCCATTTCAGACCCAAGTCAGAAAAACACACTAGTGCAAAATTTGTGCGGTTTAAGAGTTTATATAAAGTTTATATTTTGGGGTCCCCAGCAGCAGTGGTTTGGGAAGTCCCATGGGGCCACTGGGTATTTGAACATAGAGTCTGTTCATCAATATCTTCACTGAAGAAAAATGACCGAAGAGACTAATAGAGACAACTATTTGCCTCAGTCTCCATAGCAACCTGTCTTTGTCTCTCTTTTCCAGCATGACGGACAGAAGGGGCTATCCGTCCATTTGTCTGTTTCCGTCATTCAACCAGTCTGTCCGTTAATCTGTTGATAATTTCTGATCTTGTGGCTGGAGAGTATGCTGTAGAAAATAAATCAGTCAACACTTGACTGATAATCCCGCCCAGAGTTGGGAGAAGACGAATCATTTCCTGGATTTGGCCACAGCTGATTGCAGCAGTTGAAGATCTTGACAGCTTATTGCCTCCAGGCTTCCTCTTTTTCAGCCACCAAGCTCTGAATCCTGGCCAGTCCAAGAACAAGAATCAGCTGTCTGACTCTTTGATTGTGTGAGACAGGCCTCTGTGGACACCAGCTCGGCAACTCAAATGTCTGGTTTTCTGGTTTAGCGCAGTCTGCCTAGTGCTAGTGTTGAATATTGTACATCGTATTGATTTTAAGTGTATAGTACGTCCATAGAATATTTTAAAAACGGCAAAAACTCATCTAGAACTAGATCACAGGGTCTTGTAATAAACTTGGGGTAAATAGCATTTGCAAATGTTTGATCTGATATGTTTAAGCATACATTAGTTTTCAAATACTATATAAGTAGGTCATAAGTGGCAGAACGTAAACACCACCTCACAGTTATCTTTTTGAGAATCTGACAAGTCAACATACCTCACTCTGTGATTTTCCTGATATTGTTGAACCCATTCAGTTCTCTACGTAGGCTGAAACAAACATTTTAATTGTATCTGCAACTGTTATTTGACCCTGGCTTGTCCAGCACTAGTCCACAGCTCCTAGTACAAATCTAATACTAGTATCCAGTACTGGATGAGATTTGAGCTTTTAAGGAATTTATGTGTTGAGCTTGTCACTGCATTGACTGCATTTGGTGGTCCATTTAACAGCAGTCGATTGATATCAGATTCCCCCAAAACAGAATCTGAGAGCTGAAGTTACGTCAGAGTCTAGTCCCGTCAAGTCAAGCATGATGGAGGTCTACAGGGATTTTTTTGGTCCAGCACCAGTGATGGTTTTTATGTTGACATATAAGGAACAATCAAACTACTTTTTGATGTCTGAAAGGGATAAAAGAGTGTGAGTCCATGTGCTTCACCCGAGGGAGAAACCTTGCATCACCCATGTCTGGCCTGCAGCAGGGGACTTCATAAGTTAAGAGCCTACACTGTGCACATTTGGCGTGGGGTGTGGGGTCAGGTTGGGTAAACCACATTCAGGTTGCAGGGAGGGTATTCATGGGCCATACAAAGCACTTTCCATAATAAGGTTGATTTTTGCAGTAGTCATCTGACACTGGACGCACACTGTACAGTGAGGTTGTCGCTCTTGAAGGAATTAGTTGTACCATCTTTTGTGTTTTTCCTTGGAGTTTTAATGGCAAGAATGCCTCAGAATAATTATAGTCCCAGTGTTGATCTCTTCAACAACACATTTGATAACTTCATTGTCTACTCCCTTGTGTACTGGTTCCAACGTATTTCGCTCTTTCCGACTATGGGTAGAGGAGGATGATACCTTTTTGCAGGTAGGAGGTGGAGCAGGGCTGCATTACTGTGCAGGTTATACTGCCAGAGGACCAGCATGCTACAACACAAACTGCTCACAGTAACACGTCCAAATCATTTTTTCTTTCTTCTGTTTGGTGAAACCACAGCACAGACTGCGACAGGGAGGTTGGACTGAACCACTGTTTAGGTGGTGGCAGGTTGTTGTACTATACTACGGTACAGACTGTATTGAGTGTGGTGTCGAATCGAACTGCCTTAGCCTCAGTGGGCTTCATGTTGGTGTCATACATTGGGTTTTCAAATGATGCCTGACCGTTGGAGCTCTCATGGCCGACATAGCCATTGAACTGGACCTTGGGACGTGTCCTGCAAGAGAGAGGAAAGACAGACATGGTGGTCATTGCAGGTATTTGGTTATACAGGGATATCTTGACAAAGTTTGGAAAAATAAAACACAGTAAACCAAAACGGTGCAGGTCTAACAAGACAATGACAAGCAAAAGACAAACTCAAAGATATGTTAGACATTAGGATGAATTTGCTTAAATGTGTGAATTCCTTTCTTTAATATAAGCTCTTACCAACTCTCTCATATAAAATCATATCTGTCAAGTCTAGTTTGAGCCCAGGTGAATCAGTGATGGGTGAATAAGTGGAGCAACTACCAGCTTAACATCAATATATTTTTCTCTGAAGTTGGTGAACCAAAAAGCCTGGTGAAATATATTTTATTTGTGAGGTGGCCAGAAATGTGACTCTCAAGTGATGATCATGTTCTTCTGTGGTTTGTGAGTCCTTGACCCCCGCCTTTTCAAAATAGAGCTTTAAGTAGAAATATTTAGCTGTCTGCAAAACAGCATTACATGTTCAAGTTGTTAATATTTGTTTGTGAAACATATCAACATGCAGCAAGACAAACCACAAACAGAATTTTATAATTTTCCTTGCATTGCCTATTCCACATCAGTGATTTAGAAAGCACTGGTGGTAATGAAATATTAGGGATGTATGAGTTCAAGAACTACTGAACAGCAGAATGTGTTAACACTACTCATACAGAGAAACCTGCAAATGATTACAAATTGTTGGTGTAAAGATGAACAATTCATAAAAAAAAGAATATATATTTATATAGTTCTACAACCAATTAAAAAAAGACAATTTATTCAGATAAGTTAACTGAGAATACCCTTCTCTGTCCTCTCAACTGTCTTGTTAACATGATGGGCAAGAGCTTTAGCCTTGGGATTAAAGTTGCCCCCTTAGTAAGAGCTGGTTTCTGGTATAAATCTACAAATTGCATGGAAATGGTTGGCTGGCGCGATCACATGAACCGTAGCAACTGTCTGCTTCAGTGGTTCAGCTAACCAGATCCCATCTGCTGATCTCATGTGAGTCTCAGTACATGCAACCTCCCATCATCCTGTAAATGGTGCCCAATGGTTTGAGTTCAAAAGGACACATTATTCAGTCAATGTGCCTGAATAAGGATTTTAGGAAACTTACTGCAGGGATTCAAAAGGTCAGTGAAATACCCTCTTCTAACTTGTGTGTTTGTCGCAGATTAATTTTTTTGAGATAATCAGGTCCTATAATCCAGTTAGATATAATCACTTACTCCCAAACCCTGTGGAACTATTAGCAGCGAGGAATGCTGCAGCCGAAACACTGTTTGACTCTGACCTCATTAAGAGTCTGTGTACGTGTGTGTGAATACTCACTGGTAGAAATCCAACCCTGAGGAGCCACTAAGCCTACCCTACATGCTCAATCCATTACTTTACAAAACTGCACACACACACCGACACACACGGCAGACCTCCCTGCATGGCAGTAGTTCAAGTCTCTGCACTAGTTTCTGTTTGTGGCTGTAGGTAGGTGCAATACTGTACTTTAGTTTTATTGGTAGAATGAAAAACAGCTCACATAATTGCTTGACAGTATAATAGATACTGTATTGACATATAGATCAAAGCAGGAAAAGATCTGCAGTGTGCACACTCACACCTCTCTTTTAGTTTTGTTATTTAAGTTATTGCATTGTTATGTAAAGCAATGTTCTACTTTCAGCTTAGCATTTTGTTTGGCTAGGGCATTATGTTAGCTAAATGCACACCTACTGTCTAGTAAAGATGAAACAGTCAAATAATACAGTATGATGTATATTTGCTCACACTTCATAGTATTACTCAAACTTAATAGAACATCAAAAACTGTGTTTTTACTTGATAACATCATGCTGACGGAGAGATGACAATGAGATCAAAGACAAATTAAATCGCTTTCAAGCGTTAAATGGTGGCTATTATGACACAGCAACAACTTTAAAACAATGACTTTCATCTGAGATGAGGAGTCTGTGTGTTCCATTTCCCTCTGAATATATATTCAATTGGTTTAAAAGCTTGTGTTTTCTAACAATATAAATAATGTAGGACAAAGTACTCAACTGAGCTCAGAACAGACAATTCAAATGTTATATTTTGGTGAATTGTGCAGCCTTACATAACAGCATGAAGAAACATTTTAAAACCAAAAACAAGAGATGAAGAGTTTGACGGAGGATGTGGTGGCGGCGGAGGTCTGGTTGCTGTTGGAAACCAGGTGGGTGACAGGTGACAGGTCTTACCTGCCGCCAGGCCCCCAGGTGTCTTTTGGTCTCTCATTGTCATCTGTCTCAGCAGACAGTGTCCTGCATACAACCATCAGCTTTAATATACATCATCAGCTATCATTGCACACAGCTAACTGGGGAGCAGGGGGGGAAACACACTGTAAAGTAATATTAGTAGCTATTGGTATATAGTTGGTAGCTATTGTATACAAATCCAACTGTACTGTCAATATCTGTGTAAATCTGGGCAGCACAATATATCCTTTATATCACAATAGAAGCTGCACAATACAGTTTATCGAAAAAGTCTGCTGTATTATACAATAGGGATGTTTTGTGTTGTAAAAGAGCATCATAGAAACATTTACAACTAAAATGTATATTATTTTAGTGATGCTTTTTGTGCATACTTCCATATTCAATGTGTTCAATATAAGTATTTTCAAATTGATTGATTTAAATTCAACAGCCAGCCTGCTGTGTACTAAAAGCGTCTGTTTATTATAACAGGTACCGTCATGATTGCAGTATTCAAAATAATGATATCAACATATTTTCCCCATACCGTGCAGCACTCATCTTCATAGACCTGTAAATAGGAGTCACGGTCTTATCAGGATTTACTATTCTCACAAGTCAGTCACAGCCATGCAATTTACTAACTTTCTAACAATGCATTAGACTGTTGCCTCAATGAGGTCAGGACATGTTTCACTGCAGATACAGTAGCATACAGCTACCATTAATGACAAGCCAACAGATTAGTGTGCAGTAATGACTTTTGTTAGATGAGTATGATGACTTTGTAAAAGTTTGAGTGATTACACTGTAAGTGCAAAGGTCAGAACCGCCCTAAGATGTAGAATCTTAAATAGGTCTAATATAGGAAACGTTAATGATGACATTTTACCTTCAATATAGCTGAGAATAATCTGGCATCTTAAGGCACAGTCTTTTGTGAACTTTCTAGGAACAATAATTAAAATCTAAGGTCAATCAGATGTAATCTTCATAGTACGCTTTGGAGTATTAAAGCTTTAATTATGTTTGAACATTTCTTTAAACCTGCCTCTCCTCCCAAAAATGGTATCTGGTCCACTTAATGTATTTCAATAGAGCTTAAGGACAAGGGGTTTATCAAACAGCCATCTCTTCTACTTAGTTTTGAAGTCACTCACAAATATATGAAGTTTTCAAAGACAAAAATCGGCATTAGGCTCTATTTTTATGTTGGTTTGGCGAAAGCACAAATGCTAGTGGACTGGCAATTTGGAAAGTCTTAGGTCAATTACATTTCTGCCTGCACCTATTTATCCTATCTCATAAGTATCTAAATTCCCATCAGTATTCTATATTCATTTTTTTACTGGATTGGAATATTTGGTGATTTATTTACAATACCAAAATGTCTTGATATGCAAAGTCATTCCCTTTCTTTCCTTTGAGCTCTAACTACCGTAAATACATTGTGCTATTTGTCTTCTTCTGGTCACCAAAAAAAACAAAAAACATTTTAAAGAAACCATTCAAATTCACTGGAAAACATGAACTTATATCTGCATGAGGAAATGATCAAGCTGTATTTATCTTTTAATAATTTTTAAGTTTGTATTGTCTGTTTTTACTCTGAGGATATAGCGTACCTGTGCTTGTAGAGATAGAAGGCGAATCCAGACAGGATGAGGGCAAAGAAAGGAACTAAGATGGCGGCTGCCACGGAGCTGCTGTTGGTGTAGGGGTTGGATGGGTCCATTGCCATGGTTACAGGGCCTGGGGACACAGACACAGATGAACCCACACATGCATGAACACATTAACACCCTTTTGTGCATGTGTAATAGAGGATTTTCTGTCCTTTTAGTCTTTACACTTGAGTTCTGTTTCAGTGTTTACTCAGTCTGAAATGTAATTTATTTTTACATTACACATACACATTTTCTTTTACTAATATTTCTTCAGTTTGAACTAATATTTATATTCCCATTTTCAGTATGACATGGTGTCAAAAGAAGATATCAAGGCTGTGTTGTTTGTCACATCTGGCAAGAAGCTAATGTGTCTGGCACAGTTGTCTGTTTCAGGGCAGTTTCTTCAGATTTTAATGAAACTTGGTGGAAGGTTGTAACACGGGCCAAGCAAGACCTCATTACATTTTGGAGAAGATCCGAATCAAGGGGCAGATACAGCAATTATGTTTCACCTTCGTTAACATTGCGCCATGTTTGGCATTTGTGCTGCATTCATGTGGTGTCAGAATAATTGGGCAGGAAAAAATCCGTCTATACCCTTTCAGGTCGGAACAACAATTCAAAAACGGATTGTTTAAACGCTCTGAGCTTTTAAGAGTCAATATTTTTCAAACAAAAGGACTTAAAAGGCAGTTAACACATCAAACGACTTTGCAACTCAGGGAATTGGACCATCCAAGGAGTGTGTGATTGCAGCGTTGGCCTCTCCGCTCTGCGAGTGGCACTCGAGTTGTGTTTGTTATTGATGCTGGTGTCACGGAAAGACCTACCTTGCCTCGTTAGATGGAACTTGCCAAAGTCTTTACTGTGAGTATGACCCTGGTAGACAAAAGTCTTCTGGTCGGATTCTGCAGTAACCTGAAAAGTGAAAAAGCAGATTGTTGTTTGTTCTTAGATAACGACATTCAGTTAGAGGCTGTTTCACATGTGAAGTATGAGGCATGTGATAATATTCTTAGCATGTAGATAAATATGTAGCTACCTCTTCATTTCTTGAATTTTACATTGTGGTATATCAACGTTATTTTAGTTTTCACCCTGTCTTCTTCCCTGATCAGCAATATTTCTGCCCCTCATGTACTTTGGCCCTCCCCCCCCCTCCTTCTTTTCCTCTCTTCACCCTCTCTTGTTTGGAGGCCAAAGCAGCAACGCTTTACCCCCAAATCGACAATTGAAATTTCATCTTCTAACTGTAAAGAAATTGCTTTCCAGGAATCACAACTAAGCCATAACCAGCCTGACTCTCCTCCTCCCTTACTCTTTTTGTCATCCGCAACATGAAAAATGGTCTGTCTCTGCCTCCTTCTTTCCTTCCTTCTTAACCCTTCTGTTATCCATTCCTGCCTGACTATCTTTTAAAATCATCCCACTCGGTTCCTCCAATACGCCCTCTGTCCTCCTCTGTAATCAAGTCAAACAGGAGCCGGTTTTTAATCCATTCCCCAGCTGTAGACACGATCTTCAGAAGTCCCAGCTTCAAAAACCACATCGAACAAAGTTTAACAGTCTCTATGGAACATGAAAGGTGACTTTCTTCTTTTTGTTTTTCCTTTTAAACACTTCTGGTATTCAATATTTTCACATTTAAAGGAGCTGATTGACTAAATTCACAGCTTAAAGAAGCCCCATTTGTGTACATCAAAGATACATTATGAATGCACAGGGAGGTGTAAATAAATCAAATGTAGGTTTTATGTGAGGATACGTGCTGGAACTATTTATTGGCTGAAGTAACGTCCTGGATTCTCTACGGTACGCCTTGCAACCTCACGTATACATGCAACCTTGCAACACTTCTTGGTAAACCACATCAATCCTGTATTTTAAGAAAAAATTGTATTTCAAAATCTGATTTGTATAACGTGAATTAACATTTGACTGGAATTTAAATACATCTCTTTAGCAAGACCCTGCCCAGCGCAGTAGTGTGGACTGTGCCACACTGTTGTTCCAGAATAGGGCAGTGATGTTGATATTGTAGCATTGATTTTGATTGTGAATAAAGATATGTGCAAGGGCAACATTCATTTTAAATTGCTTTATATAAAATGAGAGTAAGTGTATCTTACATATCCGTCCATGGCCCAGTTGTCGTTTTTAAACTTGCTGTAGTAATGCTCTGTGGGCCCCTTCACCTGGTACACCTTCAGCAGCAGCTGGTTTTCCTCTGACTTGTAGGTACCTGCATGAAAAGATACATATATATTGAAAAAACGGACTTCTAATGAGTAAACAAACAGACAGACAGTTAGGCAGACAGACAGGGTGGTAAGCAAACGGAAGGACAGGTTGACTGGCAAACAGAGAAAAGGAGACACCTTGACATTTTGATTTAGAATACTCTTTTCCCTTCACGAAGCACCTGACACATTAATGGGGAGAAAGTGATATTCACCCTTCAGCTACATATCCATACAAGGTTAACTTAAGCACCAACATAGAAACTGTTGCTTTCAATATGACAAGCCCATGAAAGAGAAATATCACAGATTTCAAATGAAATAATTTATATGTTGAGAGCCCTTGCCTCCTACCTGCAGAACATCTTTCATGACCCGGAGATCAAGCTGAACTATTGATTGTGAAATGTTGTGAAATGTCAAAACACACATAAGTGTCAGTTGGTGAGTCAGACAGTTTTTTAGGTTTCATTCAATAGCACAGCTTTACATTTTTAACCTTCCACTATTTCTCATACTCCAATATCTGAAGCACATTTGAACACAAAACATGTCCACGGGAGTAATGCTGTGAAAATGTATGTAAACTGTACTGTACTGTACATTATTGGTGATCCTGCAGTTGCATTGAGGTTCTTGGTTCCCACCTGTGCCTCTGTACGTTGTATTTTCTACTGGATTTGTATCAAAATGTGAATGGCGCCAACATTATTTTTAGATTTCAGTGAGGCTTTGCTAATAAGTGTAAATGAAAGCTTGATCTTTATCAGCCGGATGTGTATTAACACCCAAAGTGTGATTTACACTGCATTTAAAGTTTGCAAATCTTCAAAATCTGGAAAGTGAATGCTTTTTTTTCCCAGCTGGAATCAAAGGTGGTGTTACAATGCTCATTTGCACAATGACAGGTGCATTTCTTTTTCCCATTATCTGTCTAGTGTTGTATGAAATAAAGTATTTTTCATCTGTTGTCTACATGTAATTGCACTTATATAATTCAAGGTTATTCAGTTAAAATCTTTGTTTCTTTTTCTTTTTTCCTTTTAAAGCTTATAACATTTAATATAAGCTAATACGTTTTACAGGGTTCATACACTTTTTCACCAATGATTTTCAATGACTTCTCCATGACCTTTACCTCATTTTCCATGACCAAAAAAATTACTCTTTCTCAGCGGTACCACTGAAAATGGTGTATTTTAACATGGAACAGGAAAATAAGGTCTGCATATGAAACATGTTGTGTCTAAAACAAATCCAATAGTAGGCTTACTAGCTTCTACACGCTAAAGCAACTCAAATCTCTCACCAGCAAAATACCTCAACAGTTAAATGCCATTTTACGTTTCATTACTATACGATACAGTATTTATTATCATTATAGTATTACTATTTCGGCGATTAGCTAAAATATAAATTATATTTGATGCAACTTTAGTGACATTTCCATGACATTTCCAAAACTTTGGGAAAAATATTGTTTTCCATAACTTTTCCAGGGCCTGGAATTAGCATTTTGAATTTCCATGACTTTTCCAGGTTTTTAATGACCGTAAGAACCTTGGTTTTAGTATCCTATATGAAGGCTCTGAAACATTAAACAACATTATTACAGTTATATTTTTAAGTTTCTCAAAATAAAAATGAGAGTATCTGTTTTGCTTGTTTTTTACCTGACAGTCTGATTGACACCCCGCTGGTTTCCAGTAATGTGACGTTGACTCTGCTGCTGGTAGTGTTGAACCCAGTAACTGTGAATGTGGTGGCCTGTCTTTTCCCTAGATACTCGTAGAAACCGCTCCACTCAGAGTTTGGAGAAAACACATCCACTGGAACTGCAATGGAGAGAGAGAAACAAAGAAAGAGGAAATGTAACGCTTGCTCTGGTTCCTTCACATTAAACTGCAGCAGTGTTTCTGTTACTCTCTATCTGAATCACACACTTAGATTTATGACTTATTCAAAACTCAACAGCTTCAGTATTCTTGCAAAAGACTTTGTTGGTGTCTCTTCACAGGCTCCCTCTAAATGCATATATTGATTTAAAAAAAAGCTTTCTTCAAACTTACAAGGTATTACATGGTATTGCACCTGAATGTTTTCACTGATTTATTTACTCAGTCTGAGCCTTCATAAATCTGCAATAAGGCCCATGTAGTCGACACTCGGTACGACCTTCTGCAACAAAAGCTATCCCTCTCTGGATATACTTTGTGATTTTTTTGATCAACAAGATGGCGTGATGAATAGTATTCCAAGCCAATATAATAACATTACAGAATTGACAATACATCTGTGGTTTGAAATTGTTTATTCTGCATACCTCGAATCTTGTTTTTCTGAACATCTGAGTCTCCTCTGACTTTGGGATTGACTTTCACTCCAACTGAAACAACAACAAGCACTTTGTTTAGATCAAATCACTTCATGTTTAAGCTTATTGAAAGTATATTTGTTATAGAAAGGGTTGGGAATAGATGACATGAATAAGGTAATATGATGAATGTGTAAGATAACATGTAATCTAGTGACATTTATCAGTTATTTGGTTCTACAAAAGAGCCAACTGGCAGACTGTTTACTTTATCATTCATCACGGTATTCATAGCCATGGGCTCCTTGTCTTTGAGACTAGATAGGGGCCATGAGGACGTGATTACAAATAAATAAACAAAACAAAAACATCACCCGAGCATTCATGATACGCCTGAGGGAGATTTATGAGAGCATAGCAATAATATCAGGACGATAATCTGTATTTATCTTAAACCATATGGGATTAGGACATCCAGTTAAGATTCTAGGCTCAACATTAGCTCATTTTATAGATAGGATCTGTATACCTTTACAGAGCGGAGGTTTACCCGACCATCTCCCATCACTTTTGCAGGTTCTGTGCTCTGATCCCCCGGCCAGATAGAAACCATCCTGACAGGTGTAGATCAGCGTGTATCCCAGGGTGGGCAGCTCCATGGACCGAACATCAACATTACTGGGGGTCTCCGGCTGTCTGCATGAATGGGCTGAGTGACAGGGAAGAGGAAAAATAAACACAGTGTTAACACTTCTTCATAGAACCAAAATACAACATTTGAACATATAAATGAACACACACTTTGATAATATTAAATAGGGCTTAATTATGAGAAAACTGTTATTTCTTACCGATGCACTCAGGTTGAGTTCCACTCCAGGTTAGGTTTTCTAGGCATGTTCTCGTGGTAGAACCAAGGATGTGATAGTTCTTGCGGCACTTGAAGGAAATCTTACTGCCAACCTGCATAATGTAAAAGCACAATGAATAAATCTTCTTTATTTGCAGCTTCTTAAGACCTGCCACACGCAGCATGGGGTACTTCTTGTCATTAGTTTGAACATAAAAGCTTTTAACATTCAATTCATTGCTTATTGTTTGATTCTGACAAAACAAGAAACAAAACCAAATCATTTTTTATATCAATTTATCTCTTTTAGAGAGCATATTATTGTTATCCTGCTCAATGTGGGTAGTAACTGTCTGTTCTCTTTGAAGAGATGGCAGAGGAAATATGACTTGTGGATAATATCCAATTATACCTCCACGAATTGAATGATTTGCGTGTTTGCTTAAATTCCATTAACACCAAAATCTTCCATCCAACAGGATCTTATCTGCGCTCCAGACACTCGGTTTCTAAGACAAAAAACAATGTGGCGGTTTGACATCCATGAAGTCTAACTCCCCTCTAATGGGGGGCCACTTTTCTCATACCTTTATTTCTGATGGGCATGTCATGTGTTTGATGATTTCTTGTTTTTCTATCTGATGATCTTTTAAATCTAAAGCCCCCCATTTCTCAAATTGTTTACACATTCATTAATTCATTCTTTCTGCTTGCATTATTGAAACTTCTTTGGGCTTCTTGGTGCATCTTTGAAAGGCAAGCAAGTGTATTTATACAGCACCTTTCAACACAAGGCAATTCAAAGTGCTTTACAAAAATGAAAGACATTTAGAGCATTAGAAATAGTGCAGCGAAACACATTATGAAATGGCATTTAAAACAGCAAAGAGAATAAAATAAACAAAAACAAGCTAATATATAACAAATAAAAGTTACGATGCAGCGTAAGATATGAATAGTTCAATTAAAAGCAGCGGCAAATAGTAAAGTCTTAAGCCTGGATTTAAAAGTAGTAAGAGTTGTATCACATAAAAGTGGTAGACTCCCGCTGCTATTTTCTGACTTGGTATATTCATCAATGGGAGTGAGTGGGGGGGTGGGGGGGCGTCCAGTGCCTTGCTCAAGGGCACCACGGCAGGGCCCAGGAGGTGAACTGGGACTTCTCCAAGTACCATATTCCATATACCATATTTAGGTCTGTTCGTGGACTTGAACCGGCAACCCTACGGCATCCAGTTCAAGCCCTTACTGACTGAGCCACTGCCGGACAATCAATAATCAATAATCAATGTTTTTGTATTCAAAATGCATACAATTCAGTATCTCTAAACTTGTGTCTTTTAAAAAAGGATTAACTCATACATTTAAAGTCATTAGGAGGATATACAGTAGCTTTACCAAGTGTAAGGTCAACTGGAGTCTCACCTGAAAGCCCTGGCCCATGACTGGGACCCCATAGGCCGGAGTCCCTGGGTCACGACAGCTGTTGAAGGCTGGGTCTACACACAAACATAAACATTGAGTATTTAGAGTATTATCATTTGAATGTATTGCAGTAAGATTAGCATAGTGCAGCTACTAACACTTAGTCATGACAAAAGTTTTCATATCCTCAACAGTATCACCATTTTTTCTTTTTTGAATTTGCATTCAGTAGTTTTGTTAAACCTTTATTTAAACCTGACACAAACCTAAAGTAAATTGTGTCAGATAAATGTACAGTCATTAACACAAAAGGATAATATTTCACACTGAAATGTAGACGAAGAAAGTTATAAATTAGCACAACTTTTTCTGAAAAAGATTATTTAATAAAAATACACGTTTCCCCTCACCTACAGCTTTGTGTACCTACAGTACACTAATGTGTAGGATACATCATATAGCAGCAATGACAAAAGCAAAACAGTCACAAGTTCAATACTGTTTAGGGAATATGGATATATTCTGACAGATATTATCTGCACGACAGATAAAAGAGTTATTTACATCAGAGGAACACAACTGAGTTCTGTGACCGCTGCAAGGCAGCTTTCCATGTTCACTCTTACATCATTATTCAGATTTTGCCTTGTAATTCCACAACTTTTATTTAAAATAATCTTCATGCTTTCTGAACAGAACAACAACCACAACCCACATTTCATCTAAAAAAATGAAGCGCTTTTGAAGATATAATCTTAAAGGAATCAAATGCTGACATCAAAACTACACGCTTGATGCATTGATTAGATGATATCTTCATCTCTATCTGCACAGGAATACTAATGCTTGAATGTAAAAGAGTAAGCTCCGCAGTCTTGTTTACCAATAATCGGATTTCACAAAATGGTATTCATAACTTGATGAAATGTTTCTCTTTAGCACGAAACAAAATGTGTGTTCCTTCTAATTATGGAAAGGGTGTTTTATGTAATATTTCAAATATTTACATAAACGCTATGTAAATGTATGCATGTTTTTCTGTGTGAATGGCTTTAGGAGTGTTGATTACTACAATATTCAATATTTCCTTTAGAAAATTAGCATAAAAGAGCTTTTTGCTGTGAAAAAACAAGTTAGTTCACAGCAAGATTTGTTCTATATATCCGTCAAGGCAGACTCATTTCAAAGCTTGGAAATGCTTTGTAATATAACATCACACCACAACACTTCCTTTAACATGTTAGTGTATCATGTGGTGATTTGATATGCAGCTACAGTCTAAAGCTAACCATCATCATGGAAGTTCACTTTAAACACATAAACATAGACTTGCAGTGTGTCCTTGCGGGGGTTTTAAATACCTATACAGGCTGGTTGTTGGCCGCTCCAAACCCCTTCAGCCTGACAGGCTCTGGACGCAGAGCCCACCAGCAGGTAGGGCGTGTGGCAGTAGAACCGGACCTCCGCCCTGCATATCAAAACAACATTTGAATTACAAAAACCCCATAACATAACAAAACTTAGTGAGCAGCAATAGTAAAACTGGGTTTTAAAGTTTCTACTTTATCCTTTGACGTCCAAAGAACAGGTTAGGGTGTCATATGTTCGACTTTTCTGCTCCTTACCTAACTGCCTTGTTGTCTACAACTAGACCTTTGGCCTTTATCTTTTTCCTGTTTCTGCTCACAATCTAAAATCCACTTTGCCCTTGCAATGTTTCCGACTGACATCCAGACATGGGGGCTGAAAGAAATCTATTTTTGGAAACAACTTATTGAGTCAACATTTGACAACCACTGTGGAACAAACAACATTTCCTGAGATGGTTTCAGAAAGTAGAGTAAAGCCTCTATATTTTAAGAGATTGTGACACATTGAGACAAAAACCACAACAACGTTTGAGTGACAAGATATCAGGTGGCATACGGTATTGGTCTATAAAAAAGCCATTTCCTTGTACAGTTCATTCAATCATGCACAGGTATTTAACTATACAAAATTCACATAATTGCTTTGTCTACGCACTGACCTGTAAGAAAACATGTTCCCCTCTCTGAATCCACCTCCAGGAGAGCCAGGATCTCCACACAGGACAGCTTAAATAAAACGACGGATACAGTTAGGACCTCTTTTTAGTTCTAGTGCTAAAATGACTGAAAGAGGAACAATGATGTGTATCAGTTCAGGGTACTGCGTAACACAATAAAGCTAACTCACGCAAGCACTGCGGTACGTCTCCTGTCCACGTCCCGTTCCCCTCACATGTTAACACAGCAGGAGTGGACAACTGGTAACCATGGAAACAACTGTAACTAACACTCGAGGCCCATGAGTAGTCAGTTCCTTCCACTTTCCCGTGGTGCACTTGAGCAGGAGGTCCACACTGGATTACTGAAACACACACAAACAGGTATGTAAGGATATCATATAACGTCTATTTACACAGCTCAAAGGACAACATGGTGTTACACTTCTGGCTGAAAAGCATTTACTGTCAAAATAAGTGGACATAGTGACCCATCGGTTTGTGGACCAGGGCTTTAAAACCTTGAGTATGTAATTTTTTTCAATGACATCTTATTTTCCTGGAAGCAAAAGTGACACGACAGGATGGAGCCAAGTACAACAGAACACTGAACAAGACCATTTTATCGACCAAAACGTTTACTGTTTGCTTTGATGAACTGAAAATAAACAGTGAGAGGGGTTAAGCTCTATGACAAACACACAGAGATCACCCAAACCTAACAAAACTAATGTTAAACATGCCCTAAAGCATACAATGCTTTATCTTTTTCACTAGCGTTGGAAAGGTGAAAAAGATACTTTGGAATATTTGTGTTGGGTATTAGAGAACGCAGGTGGAAGACGCTTGCACATAGGCTTCATTTTTCAGACCTGAGGCCTGTACTACGAAGCTGGATTTTCTCTTAGCCGGCTAAATTCAGGGAAATCTCGGGCTTTCCGGTCCTACGACGCTGGTTCTCTTTTTAGCAGGCTAGATTTCCATGGTAACTTATGCTGAGCGGCAAACCTGCTCCGGAGCAGGTTAGGTGGCAGGCTAAGAGATCAACTCAGTGAAAGCACTGCCTGCTGACCAATCAGAGCTCCGTGTGCGGAGTTTAAAGCGATCAATTCATATGACAGGAGGAGAAAGGAAATACAGAAAAACTGCCGTTGCAGGAAAGACGACCGGCCAAAATCAACTGACTGTGTGAACGTGAAAATGAATAGAATATCCCCTCCCATCTTCAGAGCAATCTGACTATTATAACATTAGCGTTAAGAAAGCTTACTTAAATATCTGCCACGACATAAGTAACCGGATCAGAGTAACATTAAGTACAGTCCGCGGCACTGTGAGTGCAGACGTAGATGTGTCCCATTATCATTCATATCATATCACATCATAATGTATCATATATTTCCTTATTTGAGTCAGCTTCTTGAGCCGTATCTGGCCGTGCAACACTCAGTGTCACATACTGTATGCAGAAGTATTATTTTAAGCAACACATTAAATTGACGAAACACTCGAGTCAAATTCTCCTAATTAAAGTCAGATCCACTCGTGTCTTAGACGGGGCAGTGATTTCATAAACCTGTTAATGTACGCATTCAAACACTTTTTCTTTTGCCAGCTGTATTCACCTTGCAGGTGCAGCTATGTGGCTTTTATCCTGGGTAAAGTGTTTAAGTCATGGATGTTTAAAGTTTAACTTCTTCATATTTGACTAATATTAAAGTTCACTTTTCATTCAGGAAGTATGACGCACTGCGCTGTCAGTACGCTTGTCCGTGTTTGAGATTGGTCGAATGCTCCAAATACCACCCCTTTCATGTGAACGCGCACCTAACTAGATAGGACACGGCTGGCTTGAGCGATCCACTTGATAACCAGCGTCGTAGTACAGCTTAGCGAGAGCGCGTATGTTTTGGATTACGCCAACCAGCTAACTCAAACATATCCAGGTTAGGTTGAACCAGCTTCGTAGTACAGGCCTCTGAAGGTTGCTACTTGCTCATTAGCTGCATGGGAATTTATTTACTCATCCTTATTGTGTGTGTGTGTGTGTGTGTGTGTGTGTGTGTGTGTGTGTGTGTGTGTGTGTGTGTGTGTGGATATGCTCTAACACTGTACAGTAGCTACAGTGCTAGACTGTAGATAGAAGTACAAAACAGACAGTTTAACAAACACTTTGCAGGTAATGACAAATACTCCTTCAATGGGATAATTATTTGCTAATATTCGCAATTGTATCTTCAGTTGAGACAAATAACTCATCACCAAATAAGCACTCAGACTGTCACAAAACAGCAGTTTATAAATGTCCCTGGTGGATATTCAGTCCTAAGATGTGAAGGATATGAACAGACAGTTGAAACAATTTCCTCTTTGAAAAAACGATGGATCACAGGCAAAAGACAAAATACCAAAAGCAACAAGGGGTTTCTCTTAACAACCCTAGATTGCACCAGGTCAAATGCAATAGATGACCTCGTTCACCACATTTAAGTTGGTTAACCTAAAGAGACACCATGGTCACGATATGGACTGAGACTTTCTGAAAGGGCATTTAGGGACTTGCATTGTCTGTGGTGCATTCCTTCTTCCACACTTGTGATTGGGAGTTAACGTATACATTGTTTTCCTCAAGTCTGCTCAATGAAATGCTGGCAATATTATAAGACAACTTTTCCATCAACCCTAATCTTTTGAAACGCTGTCCTACACTAGGGATTTAAGCGAGAAATACATATTTATAATTGAGACTCACTACGTGGGCTTGCTATTTATGTAATGTTAATGATTCATACAAACTTAAAGCTACTTTGAAAATGTCATAACTGCTGTTGTACATAACCAATGTTTATATCAACTGGTCCAGCGAATCAAATCGATTAATATGCATTACCAAAGCATCTGTTGAACACAGAGAATGGAATCTGTGATCATATGAAGACATACCGTTTATGCATAATGATGTTACACCAGCTGTGTGCACGTACGCAGCGGTAAATTAACGCTCAATCTGTTTCGGGCTGCAGCCTGGGGCCCTACATGTGCATGGGCTGCATCTATCCAATCAGCTGTCCCAATAAGGTCAATAAAAAAACACCGTGACCAAGATCTATTCAAGAAAATCTCTTTAATGACTAGATTTTGTAAAGTCTGTGTGTATGTTAATGCCCCCAAGAGTGCGTGCAAGCCAAGTATTATTCGTAGCACGATTTTACACAGGGCTCTAAATTATATTTTTTATGGTAAAGGATAACGAGTATTAGAGGTGGGGCCACACACAGATAGTTGCTTAGGGGCCCCTGACCACCTTAATCGGCCAATGCATGTGCGATTGCATGCACCTGTGTGCGTGTTGTACATGCAAATGTGTTGTTTTAGCAAAGAGATGGGTGCATATAACTTCATAACACCCTGATAAACATCCGAGTGTGTGTGCTTGTTTGAGTGTGCGTGTGCCTAACTCCCTAAGATAATGATAACCATCTGCTTGGTTTCAAACACCTAATAAAGTCAGTGTAATTCTCATCTAACCAGGAGACAGATGGCTTCATGCTTCCCTCACTCTGCTCCGATGATATACAGTACAGTGCAAACAAGCATGCAAACTGAGAGGCAGACCGACACAACTGCAAACAGATCCATACACGCTGTATATCCAGTAGAGGCAGCAATCAGCACAGACTGACATTAATAGAGTATGGATAAAATGCAGTGATATAACCTTTATAGCTTAAGCAGAAATATTAACTTATTCACCCCAATATGGACATCTTCTGTTCCCTCAGTGTTTGACTATATCTTATTTGGTTTTTCTCCCTCCCTCCCTATTTAGTGTTTTTCAGTCCCTTTTCTGCTTCTTCGTTGCATAATGACCAGTCTTTTGGATTCAGCAGTGCAATTAACAAAATTGTTTTGAACTACAAAAAATATCTTTTGTTTGTAACATTGCAGTTTCTAGGCAACTGCTGGAAGCTCCCAGCAAACTAATCAGTTGACTTATTCTGGTTTTTGTACGTCACCAGTGTCCCGGAGAAGCTCGTATCTCCCCTCAGTCATCCTCCCAGACTCAAAAATGTTTTTCTCCAATCTACTAAGTGTTAGTCCCATTAAAAACATCTTGACACCTGCACACAAAACACTGACAAATCCTGCATGCAGTTCATCACTTTCCGTCGTGTGACTCCAGGAAAAATTGCTGGTGGCTGGCCATTAGCTAATGGGGATTCCAATGAATAATTAAATGTGTTTTCTAAAAACAAATCTGTAGTTAGGGATCGAACAGAACAGTCTGCAGGGCTCTGATGCCCTAAGAACTGCAATCACAGGGCTCTTTGTTGTGAATGGACTGGGTTTGCTTCACATGACTTTTCCCCCGGCTGTCTTACACACCTACGTCACTGTGATCATTCACCCCTTCCCTTTTCCTCACCACTTCTTCTTTCCCACTCACATCTCCATATTCTGTTCTTTCTTACACTTTGATCTCCTTACTTCCTCTGACTTCCCACTTGTTCTCAATGTCTTCCTCAAGCCCCTCTCTTCTCCTTTCTTACTCGTCTCTGTCTCAGCTCCAATCCTTTTTATATCCTCTTCCATTGCTCTCTTGGTCTACTCCCTCCATTAATGCCTCTCCCTCCCTTCGTCTCCCAGGTATATATCGTTCTTGGCTCCACTCAGCCAGCCAACACATTTTATGGGCTTAATCCCTTTTCTCACTGTGTGTTTACAGGTTTGGGGCAGGTATTGATTAGCTTCTCTTTGTTTCTCCCATCACTTGCTTCCTCTCTCACTCACTTCTCTGTCTATTTCTCCTTGTAGCTGCACTGATGGCTCATCACATACTCTCATTTCCTCTCTTCATTCCGCTCTTAAAAATCTCTTAAGCCACTTCACATTTTCTGTGTTTCTTAATCTCTGCATTACTCTATCTTTGTGTGTTTTTTGTATCTCCTCTATTTGTTGATGTTTGTTCCACTACACCTCTTCATTCCCTCAATTCGTCCCCCCCTTCTCTCCTCCCTTGATACTTTCTGTCTTTCCCCCCCTTGTTCTCATCCTCATTACTTCCCATTCTAAATCTCTCCTCCTGGCTCACTTGATTTATTCTGCCTGTCGAGCTACACCTTTATAGCTTACAACTTCTTCATTCAATATGTTTCAGTGTGTGCTGGTGTGTCTGTGTAGGAGGAAGCTGCTGTTCCAAAATAGGATCAAATGAAGACTTATGGATTGTTTGAAGTAGGAGAAACCATAGGGGAGGAAAATGGGGAAGCTGAACAGAAACATGTGAGCATAAGAAGAACGTGAAGAGGAGGAGAAAAGTGAGATGCAAAGAGACAAGGGGAAAACAAGACAAAAGATACAGAAAGAGATGAGGACTTGCATCAGTTGTATCTCCACTGTTTCCCGTTTTTCATCTCCCTTCTTTTTCTTCCCTTTAGACCTGCAGCCTAAGTCTCATTTTCTATCACCTACAGTATCTTTCACTTCTGCTGTTTCCCCCCCTCTCTGCATCACTCTCTGGTTCCTCCTCAGTAGCCACTCTGACGGCTTTCTACATTTTTTCCTCTCAGTTCAAAGCTTCTGCAACTGCAAGAGCCAGCAGGAGATTTTCTGTTTGTGGGAAGAAACGGCAGGGAGGATCTCAGGAAACCATCCCCGTTCCTGTTGTTGAGCCTCATAGTCTGAACTGCTAATATGGGCTGTTGGAAAACTTGGATTCATTTGATTTCAATGCGTTCTGGTTTATTTTCCCCTTTCAGGGTATATGCAGGAATCCTGAAGTCAAATGGAATTCCTTTTAAGACCTTTTTTAAGACCCTTTCCATACATTTTAAGACCTCATCGCCATTTGGAGTTTTAACCGGTTACATTGGCGACACACTTTACCTCACATTGACTATATACAGTATTGATTGTCCTTCCTCCTTATCTTCCAACCATTTGGACGCAGACTTGCATTTCCCCATAACGATGTTGTTTAACAACCGGCGTAAACGGACCTTCGCGCGCTATCAAGCAGTGAGCGTGTGATGTCCTGTTCAGATGACGTCAAATCCAACGGGATGCCATAAATAAACTACACAGAATCACACTACACTCCTACGCAATGATTACATTCAGGCAAACTGTAGAATACAACCTCTTTGGACAATTTAGATACTTATTGAAAACAAGCTACAAAATGTAATACCTTGGAAAATGCCGTTTAATACTTTTTAATAGCCTTCATTTTCGCTAAATTGATTTATCAACTTTTAATACTTTTTAAGACCCCACGGACACCCTTCCTTTTGTGTTGGTGATAAAAAGAAGTGATTTAGGGAATAAACCCTAATTCACCACGGTTTTATTTTAAGCAGCAATGTAAATCTTCTCTTGGCCTCTTTCTATGTTGAAAGTCAGTCTCTCATTCTAGTATGCCAGCTCCCATTCAAATTGTCACTTGTTTTTGTGGAGCTTTATTTGCTCCAGTTGCACAGCTTTGTAACAACAACTGCCATTGCTTTACTTTATTGTTTTTAACTATTAGAACTTTGCCGTTACAATGAGATTTTTTCAAAGTGAATCAATGATACATTAATATGACAATATACGAACAATGACTATCCAAATTATGATTTGTTGTTGGTATGAAATTCTTGCTCATGCTATATACTTACGTTTTTACAGTACAATATAGTTTTGTTGTTATTGAAATAAACGTAATTACTCTTTAAAAATACATGTGCAAATAAAATATCATGTTTTAAAAAAGAAATGTAATTGCAAAATGTCTCTCAGTACATAACTATTTAAAAAACCAAATGTAAGGCAGTTGTTTGTAGTCTGTACAGTATATAGCATTTGGGTTTAAAAAGTGCATTATTTATTTTGATTATACATTGTGTACGCACCTTTTAGTTTGACTTATTAAAAAACATTTATTATAAAAACAACAACATATAACATAATTTAATTAAATAAAGGTGAACACTACTGAATACATAATGCGTTTATGTTAAAAACAAACAAAAACTAATTATGGCTAATATAAATCAAACAAATTTGGCAGACACAGTGTTTCCAGACATGCTACTGGACCTGTGGATCCATCCTAAACTCAAATCTTGCATTGTCCATCATTTCTTGTGAAGGAGTTATTTAGAGTGTCCTCACCTCTGCAGCTGGGTTTGGTCTGGTTCCAGGTTCCCTCCTTGCTGCAGCGCAGGACGCTGCGAGCAGGCGGCTCCATCAGGTGACCGGGGTTACAGCGATACGTCACTGTGTGGTTGAAACTAAAATCACTTCCTATATAGATGCCATTGGCTACTGGGCCAGGATCTCCGCAACTGATCACTAAAGGAAGGGAGAGAAAAGTGACAGGACATGTCATAAATCAGGTTATGTTAGATGTAATCCTGCAGTGGTGCACACGGGCTGTAACATTTTTTTACAACTACAACTAACCTTGATTTCACAACAGCCCAGAAAAACATTGTTTTTACTCGCCTGCCCCTTAACTTCGACCTCCTACTCATCTGTCTTACATCTTGCCTTTTAAAAAAAAACTTTCCTGAAGCACGTACCAGCATGTTTTCATCCACCTCCCACCTTCTTTTCCCCAAGCTTCTGTCTGGCTCTGTTTAACTTTAGAAGCTGAAATCTCAGACACAATAATATTACAAATGTACAGGCCTGTACCTGCACAGCAGCGGGCTGCACAGTCCATGCAAAATGTATACTACCCTTGGATCCTTTACTAAAACACCACTATTGATGCACCAACACCAGAGGTGGAAGAAGTACTCACTTAAGTAATGGTCCTATACTCAAAATGTTACTTAAGTATAAAAAAAGATAGCAAAAATCTTACAATTTTACATACTCAGATTCTTAAAATTGTTATGTTATGGTAGAATGTCATATCATTCAGTTTTGTCACAACAAGTTCGGCAATATAGGGGCAATTTAGGCAGTTGGTTGTATATAACTGCATATTATCATATAAGTTAATACGTGTTTGTGATGTGAAAAGTAACTAAACGTAAGATAAATGCAGTGCAATAGAGTACAATATTTCCCTCTATAATTGAGACAAGTTAAAGTATAAACTAGCAGGAGTTTGAGCGCAAAATGGTACTTAAATACAGTACTTTAATAAATAAAAAAACTGTTGTTACATTTGATCGATAACCAATACTGATGCTAATTGACTGTATCATAGTAATAAACATATTTTGTAATATTGACTGCACCGGCTGCTGTAACCACTGATAATAACAACACACATAGTAACAGTAGAAGCAATGATATTATATCTATCCTACCTGCGCAGTCTGGGGGTTGTCCTGTCCATGTCCCATTGGTTGTGCAGTGTCTGTTGGTCAGACCTGATGTTTTGAAGCCATCCCAGCATGCATAAGCTACCGAGCTGCCGAAGGTGACGCCATCATTTACGACTATTCTGCCGTGTGCTGGAGTGCCAGGGTTACCACAGGATACAGCTGAGAATTGAGGAAATATTAAACAGCGGGGATTAATCATAGTGATGATATCAGTGTGAGCAATGCTGTCTCACTGTCACTCAAGGATCAGCTGTAGGCTGCAATAATGAGCGTAGCACTGGAGTCAGCTGGAAATAACATAAAATATGTCTTTGAGGCAGTGAGGCTGATTAATAACTAAAGGGTGTTGGATTGATTCCCAGCTCTGAATGGCAGCTGTACAGCATTCCAGTTGTGTGCTAGAGACTGGCAGGAGGCTGGTAATACATCTACACACCCCCCCAGGGAGTTCCTGGCATTTTTGAAAATAGTATGGGATGGTCCAGAAATGGTCTTTCATGTCGATCAGAGGTACAGTAATAATCTGTACCATGTTTCTATTGATTACATTGTTGAATGAGGATTCTTTATTGAAATTGACACTTACGGCCCGTCCACACAGCGGCGTGCGTTATCGCTTGCCGGCGGGCATGTCTGAAGCTAGACCAACAACCAATCACCTGAATCTCCCGCCCCGGACACACAATTACATTACATTACATTACATTGCATTTAGCTGACGCTTTTATCCAAAGCGACTTACAATAAGTGCATTCGACCAGGAAGATACAAACTTGAAGAAAACAGAATCATATAAGTACATCAGGTTTCATAGAGCCAAAACATTTCAAGTGCTACTCAACTGGCTTTAGATAAGCCAGTCCTTTATTAGTATATGAGTGCTTTGTTAGAACTTCTTTGTTAGTAATTCTATCGCTCGAAGTGGAGTCGAAAGAGATGAGTTTTCAGTCTGCGCCGGAAGATGTGTAGGCTTTCTGCTGTCCTGATTTCAATGGGGAGCTCGCAAGCAGCGGTTTGATTGGCTAGAGCTTGTACTGGCATATGATTAGATTGGCTGACGCTTCCGTCGAAGCTTCAAAAGTTGAACATTTCCCAACTTTTGCAGCGAGCAACGCGAGCAAAGCTACGCTTCGCTCCCACAATGCAGTTCGGCGAAGCGTGACGTCACCCCATTCAAAGTGAATGGGCTGAAGCGTTGAAGCTTTAACGCAAGCCGCTGTGTGGACGGGCCGTTACTGTAGAAAAAACAAATACCTGTATTGATTGCTGGCCTAACAGCAGCCAAAAGACATGGTCCATCTACATCAGCAGATGGACCCTGACTATTTGCAGAGACAATGATGGTTCCCTCATAGTTTTTGATATTATTTACAGTGAACAGTCTGTTGCAAAACTAAACAGTTTGGTGAAAAACTAAATAATGTGAATATTTCAGTTAATGCTGTTCAAATAAAAAAGAGCAGCTTTAGGTCATTCTAAAATAACTGTATTTTTGGGGGGGTGACTCCTACTAAATAAAGTAGCTATTTATACATTTATGTACAATGATAGTTTTTTGTGCTGAGTTGTTCCGTAGTCCTTGGTTTGTATCTGTGCCAAATGCTGGGGTCTTAATCCACCCTTAGCTTTCTTTGTTTTTGAAATCTGGTGGATTGAAAGACAAATCTGTCTTGAAGGACACAAGAATGCACATGGCTATGGAGTCTCTTGTCCAAAATAGTGATTCATCGATCTTTAGTTTGCTGGCACAGCACATTAACAGCAGAGACAGGGATACGCAACCAACCAAAGCACATTTCACTAATAAGATCATGACAACTGACAGCGGCTTAACAATCAAACACCTATTGACGGGATTCATTAGTTAGAGCCCTTAAAAGCTCTGTCCAAGTGTGTGTGCCATGGAGTGTGTAGGTGGTGCACATAATGTACATCTACGGCAGTGTAATCCGTATCCATACTGTGAGTAACGGTCTGTATACGTGTGTGTGTATGGATTTCTTTGTGTTTGTGTCTCAGTGATAGATGTTTCATCCTTTCTGAATCAGCTTTTAACCACTATTAGCTTAATGAAAAACAGCTGTAGGCAGACATCAATAATTAGGTACACAAACACAGACCTTGGCGCACACACAAAGAGAGATACACACCTCTAAGGTAAGGCCAGAGGGCTACATTTTTGCAATTTTAAAACTACAAAAATAATTTAGTCCACATAGAAATAATTGTCAACTGTTTTTGATCAACTTCGAAGAGTCTGTTTTTACCCTAAAAAATTCATATTTCTTGCTCTTATTACATTGATATTAAATTAAAAAGCATATATTTGGGTTTTATACTGACATTACAAGACATTCAAGAATAGAATTTTCAGACATTTTATGGACCAAATGCTTAATCTAGAAAAAAATCATAAGATTAATGACAATAAAACCATGAATTGTTGGTTCCCCTAAAAAGGTTTAAACTAAAGATGCCAAATATATTTGTTAATGTTAATTCAGTGACTACTGATTTCTCTCATCTAAGTCAGTGCGGTCTTCATGCTTCACAGTACACACAGTACTTACTATATTTAGCAAACTGCTGGTGTTTAGGTCACCTACAGTAATGCAGAAGAGCACACTGAAACATATGAGTCACTCTTCCTCCCCCTACCCACTTAAATTACTGCCTGTTGATCTTTATCTAACTGAATCTAAAATCTGCATCAGAGTGCGATGAAGCTAAATTACAGCGGTGCTTTCCTCATCCATCCTAACATAGTTGGAGATGGGGAAGGTAACACAGGCGGCAGCTTAGTATTCTAGTGTCCCTACAGCACTATGGGGACCCACTTTAATTTCCCCCTAAACTCCCATGGGTTTAAAGAGTGTCTTTGAAAACTGCTGTTGTATAGGACGCACTTTATTATCACAGCGCTGTGGAAGATCCAGTTCAGTAAGTGAGGAGAGGCACCCTTCAATCTAAACATGCGAACACTCGTGAACTGAAATCTCTTTTTTCCCCTTTTTTCTACAAACTGCTAGTGCTATAAACCTCCTACATATGTGGACTTTTCCTTTCGAAAGACAATTGCAAATTTGGTCAACATATTAGATCACCATTTAATTTTAAAAGTGTGTGTGATATTCATAAAAAATAGGGACAGAGGACGGATAAAACTGTATATATTTATTCTACTCTCTTTATGAATGTCATCCATCTGAATGCATGCATGTATAAGCAATGTGTAATCTTTGCTCACGATACATCGGGTACAATGTACGGCGGCCGCTGTATGTAATGTACTTTAAGCTATGTTTGGTAATGGATTATTTACTTACTGTCACCAGCATGCCAAGTACCCTGATTCTCTAAGAAAAGATTAAGCTGTTTAACTTAGCTCTGCTGATTTATTTCCCCATAAAATGCTGAATAATTAAGTCCATATGCCACAAATGCACTCTGGGTTCATACAAAATATGCTCTGCTTAATTTTACAGCAATGTTTATTTTTATATAGCAATGTTTTATAGAATCTGGGTTGGGACCCAAAGGTAACGTCAAATAAGACAGGGATTAGTTGGTATCTAAGTATATGACGTTTTCTAAACAGACATATCAAATGTTGCCAAATCAAGTCCCTTGAATGAAACAGGCAGCAGTTTTTTTAATATTAAACATGACTAATGAAGGATGAATATAAATGGAATATCAGCCCATAATGTAAATATTTATTTAGACTGAAACTCAATGCTTTAACATTCAATAGTACAGAATCAAGTGCAATGATGTATTTAAAATAATTAAAATAAAGGTGATTTGTTTGATGCTCGGAGAGTGAGTTGCAGTAAGGGTGTCTAGAGACTTTAATTTTATATTTTTTTAATTTTTTTGCAGAGTCAATTTTGAATGTAGCCACATATGTCACATTGACACGCTTCCCCACCTTGGCAGACAGGCTGTGTGCCGCTCCAAGTCCCGTTGTGTAGGCAGGTCCTCTCGGCTGAGCCAATCAGATTATATCCCGCCTCGCAGCTGAAACGCAGCAGGCTCTTGGTTTTAAATTCCTCGCCTCCTAGACGGGCGCCGTGGGGAGGCATCCCCGGGTCGCCGCAGATTCCTGGACTTACACCTATAGCAGCGAGAGACATTAAGTACATAAAGTTACTCAGTCGTACATACTCGTGAAGTGACACATACACATATACATTAAATGCACATACCCACACATGGAAAACTTTGAAGAACTGCACTTTGCATTTAGGCTATACTAAATTGTTCTAGCATTAAAAGCACTGAGCGTGTCACAATTTTAGCAGCTTAAATTCCACCGGTAGGGATTTGAGAGTTTAACAGGGTACAGCTCCAAATGCAGCGTCTTGCATCTCAATGAGGTCCTCAGCTGCAGAATGGATTCTGCCCTGCTGAGCGTTCATTTTTGAGGCGAGCAGAGTAAGCTTATTGCATTTCAGCTATTGAGACAGTTGATGCTGAGTTTGGAAATGATCAGTTGTAGTGTTTTCGTGTTGTGGGATCTGTGTAAGCCGACTGCAGAGCAGCACTTACAGCCTGGGAAGTAAACCAGGACTCATCGCCTCATTCCCATGCCTGTTGTTACACATGCAGCTCAAGCCTGCTCACTTGCAGAAGAGTAGATTGCTCAGTTTACACTAGTTATACATGTTTGTTCTCTGTATTTTTAAATGAAGTGATAATAACGACACATACTACTTTCTCAAGATTACTAGCATAAGCAGAATGGTGAAATCTGTCACAAACACCAGCAGGGAAATTACTGGAGTTAACGCTGTGGAAAATAGTTGAAATGATTTCTCCCTACAGAATGTCTTATGTAAGTGGGACAGAGATGATTTTGTGGAGCAATGTACAAAGAAGGGCAGCATGTTCATAGAGAGCCTAGTTTTAGTAATTATAATCAAAGATAAAAACAACTTGCTACAGTTTGTCAGTGAATGGTTGAATGGATTTTAAATGATAATGTTTCTTCTGGTATGTTATGTTATTAATGTCTAGAATTAGGGAAAGTCTTGTCCTTTAACACATGCTCGTTCGGCCAACAGTGGCAGATCTAGGGAAATGTTTATTGGGGTGGAAAGAGTGTGCCATAGAGTTGGATTCATTCCTGTTTTCCCATCATTATGTTACCTAATGTCGCCATAACAGATCAAATGATTGCGTTAAATAAATTGCCGCCGCATTGTTTACTTGTGTGGATTTTGTTTGGGACTCTCAAATATGAACATGTTTGTTTGCAGAATGAGCAGTTTAGGGATGTTGGTGGCTGCAGGCAAAAGTGACAGTCGTAATTCTGCTGAATATTTAAGTTTAGTCAGGTTTAGTCCCTCCGAACATAACAAAGCACAAGTTACTAAACAAGACAAGCTTCAACAAAGCCAAATAACATTGTAGAAGACTGGGGTAGTAGGCATTTGTTATGCATTATTTATGCCTACCACCCCAGATTTGGACCAAAGAGCCATTTTATTGTGAGGCCAACATGAAGAATGACCTTTGGCTAGAGTAGGTAGTAGCCTCGTTGACAGTCTACTGCTGTTATCATATAAATGCAGTACATCACACCCACTGATCTAACATCAAAGGCCAATCCAGTTGAAGAAGTGTGTGCTGAAATGTATATGGCAATCTGAGTCACACAGGGACCCTGTCTGTCATTCATATTTTACTTGTCTGTGCCTGTTAGTACATGCTATTGTTGCTGGAGAAACAACAATCTGAAAACTGAAACCATTTTTTGAACTAAAACCATTTTTCTTTAAAGCAGCAAGTTTTAGTTGTTCTTTTGTAGTTTGTATATCTGTTGAGCTTAATCTGGCAATTAGTTTTCTTGATGGATATATATTTGTTTATTTTCTTCGAGCATTTACATTTTTTCACAAACTAAACTCTCCAATATCGATGCCGTTGATTTTGAAGGGTGTGTTTGCTGGATTGTCACTTTAGATATAAAATCACAATCAAACATGTCTCCCATTTTATGACAGCCTGTAGGATTATGCATGACAAAGTAAAATACTTTTCTACGCTTTGCTTTTCCACCAGCTGAAAACTGTGCCTCCCGGCCAGTGGACCAGTGTGCCTTTACCAGTGCAGTATGGCGGCGCTCCGCTCCACGTGGTGTCCTCCTGACAGTGACGAGAAGCGTTGCCCACCAGCACCCCTGCAGGCAGACAGGAGTACTGCAGCACTGAACCGTACGTCCAACTGTGAGTCCCAGATATTACCGCATTGGGGGGTACACCCGGGTCACCACAGGAAATAGCTACAGAGACAGAGAGATTGAAAGAGAGTGTTAAGAGTGTGTGTGCGAGACTGGGTCCAAGTATAGATTCCAGATACTACTGCATTAGGTGGTGCAGCTGTGTCTTGGCAGGAGACAGCCAGAGGGAGAGGGTGACAGCAAGGATGGGGTGGAAATAACATTGGGTCTGCGTTGTTTTTGTGTACGTGTGTGTGTGTTGGTGTCAAAGTACACACTCAGCAAAAAGCTAGAAAAACTTCAACAACAATACAATCTCGCTTGTTTTTTACTGCATACATATTCATTAAAGGTGGGGTAGGTAATTTTGGAGAAACCGGCTCGAGATCGCTAGAATTTGAAAATACACAACCGGAAAAAATCTGCCACTTCCTTACAGAGCCCCTCCTCTAACACACACGAACGTGCACATGACCAATGAGGGCACGAGATAAGTTTGTGCACAGATGGAAGGCTGACAGGCAGGTAGGCCATCCAGTTATTTTAGCCGGTCCGGCTAAAATGATTGGTCGTACTTTTTACAGTATTACGGCTTCCACAGATGACATTTTTTATGGATTTTTTGTCAAAGCACTTAAGATATTCATTGCTATCGGGATGTTAAGAGCATTCCATGGGATATAACAAAAAGTGTATCTCGAGCCGGTTTCTCAAACTTACCTACCCTACCTTTAAGTTTGGAAAGAAACCCTTTTCTCTTACAATTACTTTTTTTAACTTTTCAGATTAAAAACTATTTCATATGTAAAAAATTGTTTACACTTGGTTGTTTGTCTACCCCTGTGTCTACAGTGGGAACATTTGACATGCAAAAAAGGTCCCCAGGTTGGAATCAAACCGAGGACGGTTATATTGTAAAATTTGAAAAGGCATAAAAATGATGCACCTAATGGTTAGGGTGCATAAACTTGTAAATATACACATCATTAAGCAGTGCCCATACTCCTTTCCTTAACCGTACAGAAGAATATAGTCATGCCACTTAAGATTATCTTTATTGAGTTTAATTGAACTGCCTAAGAGAGAACCAATAACTTATCTTAAACTAAATTCACTTTAGCCAACAAAACATACAGTGTCTCTCCCTTTCCTCTTTGTAGAAAAAAAGTAAAAATCATTCCGCAGTGTCAAAGCAACGAACATCAGTGCGGTAATCTGCTATTTCGTTTTCCTTCAATTTGGGGAAAATCGACATTTACAGAGCACATCTTACTTGGGGAAACAGATATGAAACTGTTCTTGATTTTCTATTTCTTCCAAATGACTGGTCCTGCGATATCTCCCCTTACCCCCAAATTGTATTACTCTATCCTCTCCTTGTCTCTTAGTCATCAGCCCTCATCCCCCAATTTTCCGATAAGACATTGTTTCTCAAATATAATGCTCGATGCACAGACACCCCTCCAGTGTCTGCTGCTCTCTCCCTCTCTGTCTGCTTCCTCGTCTCTATCTCTCTGTACTGTGTCCTCACTGCTGTTCTCCTCCCTGTGCTTCTCTCTCCATCTTTGAATCAGCATCCTCTCTCCATCGCTCTCTAGTTTAATCTCTATGTTTCCATCGGCCATTGTAGCTCCCTCACAAGAATGCCTATTGCCCGAAGAGACACATGCTTACCTTTTTTTCTCTTCTCTTCACACGGACATAGACACAGAACAACACACGCGCACACACACTCACACAGATGCTCAAACCTTTAAGCTTCTTCCTTTGATACTCTTGCCCTCTTTTTATGATTACTTCCCTCCCATTTTCTCCCTTGAACCCTGTCTTATTCTCTCAATTTTTCATTCGCTCCTCATCCTCCTCCCAGTAGCTCTCCAAGCCATTTCACTTTCACAAATGGCTTTCTCTGACAAATATAAAGACAAAATAAATAGAAAAACACCTGCCTATGTCTACCTGTGTTCAGCATGCCAAACTTTTGCAGACATTGTTTTTTGCAGGGTTCCAAAAAGTTGTAACCTGTTTTTCAATAGTAGAAACCATTTCATTAAAGGCCTATGAATGCCCCATTTGTCTCCTAAACTTGCATTGACATAGTTTATATCAATTCAAGAAAAGATAATTATTCCATCCATACCTAGGCAGCGAGGGATTGGTCGGTCCCACCGTCCATCGTGCTGGCATGTGAGGATGGCGGAGCCCAGGAGGTAGAAGCCTCGTTTACAGTGGATCGCCACGGATACACCGTAGCTGAAGACTTCTGGGTAACGTAGGCCAGACTGACGCACACCATTCTCCACGTGGCCGGGGTCGGAACAGTTGACCACTGCAGGAGAGCAACACTGTTAAAACCTAATAAAACTATTTATTTAAGTAGACTTCAGTGAACTTTTCTTCATATTGATGGTTAGAGATTGTACTAAGAAAAATCTAATATAACAGTAATGTAAAGAGAGGAGAAGAGAAGGTCTAACACCTAAACAACATTTTTTTAATGAAATAAACATTAGGGCGTAGATAACATTGTCTGTGGCTGAAATGACCACTCTCTGTATATTAGGCAGTCTACAATTTAGTTTAAAGTGACCATTAGATTAACATTATGGACACACAGTACCGTAATCATCATTACTTTACGTCATTCTTGACAGTTAATGACTGTCATTTTTTCATCCCGAAAGTGCAACAATGTCCATAATGGGGTTGTTAGCGGAAAGTAGTGCATGGTTGCTATATTTTTGTGCCATTGTGAATCTTTTTTTGAAGACACTGAAGTGCATAAATGTCACACACACATGTCCTTAAATGGATCTAGATTCTATAGACAGTAAATATATTGCACCTTACATTGGATTTGGAGGGATTTGGGGAACAACTAAATCAAATGACTGTGAATAGTTAGGAGCTTAATCTTTGAAAAGCAGCCATTAGAAAACAGGACACAATTGGGTACTTTTAGGGTACTAAACCCCGGATCACAGGGTTACAAATTTAGATTATCTATGTTACTCTGGTCTTTTCTAAAAACTGCTCTTTTGTCGTGTCCCGCTCTTTTTTCTGGAGCTCTTTGTTCTACTCTCTCCTATGGTCCCTTCTACTCTCTCTGGGTGGAGGCCAGTCCAATAAGAGTGAGGTTTTATTTTTCACATGTCACAGGGGAGACTGACATTCACTCAAATTGAAGTCCATGGGGGACATGGATAAGGGTGTGTGTGTGTCTGGCACCCCAAGGGAACAAAGAAAGTTTCACTCTTATAATTGACAGCTGCTGCTGGGAGGGAGAGAGAGCAGGAGAGAGGGATAGGACTGAAAAATTAAGGGAGAGGGAGAAAGCAAGCAGGCGAGCATGAATCTCCTCATAGAAAACCCATGTGAACGACGATGTTGAATCGATCTGCTCTCATGGCTCTGTGTGTGTGTGTGTTTTAGTATATCATAACCGTTACACTACCGGAGGTTTTCAGGGGCTTGTAGTGTAACGACCATGCATGGTTAACAGAGTAGAACGTGTCTCTGGACATGAACCCAGCTGTGTTTGTGCGCATGTATGAATGTGTTAGTCAATTCAGAGACACACCACACAGATTGTGGCTGAATACAGCACAATGTTAAGTGTGTTTACACGCTACAATTATTCAGTTCTCAATTTTACAGTCAGCTGGCAGAAGATTCGGCCAAAAATGTTCCAGTTGACATACTGGAGCTAGAAGCAAATCAGGGCAAAAACAAATACTGAATACATGCTGACCATTTAAAATGCATGGGTTTCTGATTTTATGATGATATTTTACTCTTCAACTGATAGGATCCAAGGTGTTGGAATTGTTAGTAACGTATGTTATCTAAATCAAGATAAAAAAGCGAAATCATTTATTTCAACTGAACATACAACACTACATGTTGTCTGTGCAGTGTGCACTATAATTTCAAGAGCTTATTCCACTCGAGTATTTGCACGGATGTACGTCAGTGTGTAACTTTGGTAATAACTGTGTTTGTGACCTTTGCAGACAGGTAGGGGGCTGCTCCACTGGCCGTTGAGTCTGCACTGAGCACGTGCATTTCCACTCAGGACGTAACCTCTGTTGCAGGTGAAGTTTACAACATCATTGAGGTTGAACTCGCTGCCATTGGTTCGCCCGTTGCCTGGGTTGCCGGGGTGACCACAAGTGATTGCTGAGGGAGCAGAGAGAAGTATGATGAGAAATTATGATGAGAAATTTGAGGTGTGGAAAAAGTATTATTTGCAGCATTGTGTTATATTCCATATTTTTTGGAACACATAGATGCTGCAGAGGCTTTCATTCAAGGAACAATTTAAACCCCAGAAAGGCTTTCAAAGAAGATGTGGTTTCTTTTGAGACTAGTGTGTGTAATGGATTTACTTTATATAAAAAAAGCATTTTAGCTCTTCACATTAACTGAAAGAGCAATGACTCATCATACAATACAGATGAACTACAATGGTTGTCGAATCGCAAAGAACTTACGGACGCAGACGGGAGTTGTTCCAGACCACCGATGGTCTTGCTGACAGATCCTGACCGATGTGCCGATAAGACGATATCCCAACATGCACTGGTACACCACAGTGTCACGGAAACTAGAGCCTTCTCCACTAATGTGTCCATTGACTATAGGATCTGGAGAGTCACAGTGACCAGCTGCAGGAGAAGAAATGATAGGGATTAATGCAGTATAATGAGAAACAACTTTAAGTCACTTTCCCTATCCGTGACTTTAAATCATCAGTGCTGGATCAATGTTCCCATAGTTACGACCTTAAGACGCCCATTTCAACTACTTATTGCAACAGTTAGTCTGTCAAACAATGTATATGAGCTGTCTTTACTTAAACTAGACATCAATCCCCTTTATGACGGGTGATTGACATCCTCAGTGCATTTATGAAATCAATGTGAGAAGGCAGCACTGCTCTGCGACTGCCCTAAAGGCATTTTCAAATTGGCAAATTAACACAATTTAACTGCGTTCTCCTAAGAGGCCTTGAAGTGCCACATCCTTTTATGATTTCTGAAAAACTTTGGAACATTGGCCTAGGTGTGGGAATCATTGAATTCTGCTCAGTACCATTTCATCTATTAGGAGATCAATCACTCGTATTTCGCTTCATGTTTTTGTGCTGCATGGAGTCAGGACTGTGTCCCAGTACCTTTTCATGTATTTAGCTTTTAATAGTCTTTTTTCTTTCCCAATTGCTTTGCACATATGACATTTCTCAGACTTTAATTAATGCTGTGAAAACAGCTATACGATTCAATATTTTGCAAAGCTCTTTGTAGACTACTGTTGATGTAATGCAAATGTTTCTACTACTTTAAAAAAAAAACACACATATAAGGAAAATCATTATCCAAGATGTCTGATTTGATCAAACCAATACTATATAGACGTGTCATTATTTGAAAGGTTCTTCTGAAGCAAATAGTGATTTGTTTTGTCATTAATATTTTTGCCTCCTGAATACAAAGATGAATATGTAAAAAAGCCTGCATGTTACTCACTGCAAGTCATGGCTTTTCCAAATTGTGAGCAGCAAGTGTTTTTTCCCGACATTTTTCTTCAATCAATTACAACAGCTTTTAATGAAATAACATTTGTGATTGTATTATGTCAGCATGAGACCTGCAGAAAGCAGCAATGCACAGCCTGTGGTAAACACATTTGGCCACTTAAACCCATATTTGTAGAGGTGATTAACTTTTGATTAAATCAATTTTGAACTCTTCTTTCATCAACTCTTAGGTATATTTTGCTGCCCATGCTAGCATCAGAATCTGAGATTTGAATGTGACGGTGGTTTGATTTATACGTTCATCACATAAACTGTGCATCCCGCATGAGACTTATTATTCGGGCGTAACCTCGAGGCTGAATCCTGAACCAGAGTGTGTATGTAACATTTATTAATCATCTCTGGTCAGTGCATTCTGAAGGTCTATATTAAGCCCTTAATGTATTAAGTAATAAAATGCCTCAGTACTAGATCATTTGAGTTACTGAGGCATGTGCGTAGTTTGTCTTCCTTTCTGCTGGTCTCATTTCCATAGCCCTTACCTAAACACCTGTAGCAATCCCATAAATTAATAAAGCTTACCTGTACAATTTGTATGTTCATGCATTTCCATTAGAGGCTAAGGTTTTACAAATATCCTTGACACAGGTTATGGCAGAAAAATATACATTAAATGCCTTTTTCTTTTCTTTTTCGCACAAATGGGCCTTTAAATTGGAATATCATATGAACTGTTTTGCTCTTGCGTGCTATATTATATACTGTAATATTGATAATACAGTCAGTGTGACTGTTGATACTATGCACTAACCTGATTCTGTACAGAAATGTTAACAATATAAAAAAGCTAAAGTGGTTTTGGACAGACACAACACGATTTACATGCCATCACATTTAATGGACCTTACCTAGACACCTGGTCTCTGCTCCGCTCCACAGCCCGTTAGCACCGCACTCCCTAACATGTGACCCCACCAGCGTGTAACCATGGTTACACATAAAGATTGCAGTTGCTCCAAATGTAGTCAGCGTCCCCAGTTTGGTCCCAAAGGGTGGAGTGGGAAGCTCTCCACAAGAGATGACTAAACAATGGAATAAATAGGATCACATAGTTACAAAAAGACAATGGAAATGATATATAACATCACATTAAGCAGCAACGGGTACGGTTTTATTATCTTTAATTTCAAAAACCTGTATATGAATTGGAGGATGTTACTGTAAGTAAGATGACACTATAAACCATCCTGGATTAGAACAGAATCAATTGAGTTTTGGGAACTATACCAGGCTGAATTAGATTTAGGTCAGAAGATTTAAGACCTTTTCTTCCTTAATATCCTGAGTGACACTGTTTCCAAACCACTGGCCAACTTAAAGTAAAGACACTTCTGTTACATTGCCAAATCCCTCAGAGCTGCAGCAGTGTTAGGTAGGTCAACTAGAACAATTAAGAAATATATTTAGAATGTAGCAAAAATACATTTAACAAAAACATTGGTCTAATGTAAGATGGGTTTCAATTTGTAATCATGTTTTAAACTTTTCAACTGTACCCATTTCACCCTTTCATTGGCACGTAATATATTATGCAATGCTAAGAAATTCTGGTGCCTATTGGAACGTTTACAAAGTCACAATGCGCTATCACCCCTTCCCTTTATGAAAGAAGCAGCAAAGGCACATTTCATAATAACACTCAATTTGAAAAGCCAATCTTCCACTATTGCCCAGAAATAGCATTCTGATTAAAATAGTTATCACAGTCCCAAGACAATGTGCAGTAAAGATGCCCCTGGTAACTCTTTAAAAAAAAGACACAGACAGAAAGTAACTCTGTCTTGCAATCAATCCGAGACCATCGGCGGCCATTTTAATACATTTCCATGCTTTTGCTCAAACACGTGTTTTTCATGCACAAAGAATCATCAATCTCTTTGACTTTCTCTTTTCCTTTACGTTTTGCTTTTACAATGGTGGGCAAGCTGTATTGATGACTCGTTCAAAACAGACTCTGGAAGCAACTGCATTGTGGTTTTATTGTTTTGATAGCGAATGTGATGCCCGCTCATGCAGGTGTGTCTATATGTGTCTACAGTATATATGGTTTGTGTGTGTGTGTGTGTGTGTGTGTGTGTGTGTGTGTGTGTGTGTGTGTGTGTATGTGTGTGTGTGTGTAAGAGAGATGAGGTTCCTTTTTTTCATCACTCTGTTCATGTGCCTTTTCTTCTCCATCTATGAAAGGGTGTTTACTTTAATAACTTACGAAACATAAATAGTAAAAAATGATCTGTGCACTATACAGTATAGTACCAATAACGTTGAAGCACTTATATGTGTGTATCAACCCAGTTTAAAGGGTACAGTATCTCTTATAATACAATTCTAGGCTCGAAGTCTGAGTTGACTCATAAATAAAGTTATTTGTCATCGAGTTGCCATGGGAGGTGAACAGACGCACAAAACTAATATCATAGTGAAGTTTTATTATCTTGTTCAGAGGGGACGGGGTTAGATGCTTTGACAGCAGCATTTGAGATTTAATTTGCACAGGATAGTCACGATGTTGTTTGTGTTTTTTTAAATACTTACTCTTGCATGTAGCTAGGTCGTCTGACCCCTCCCAGGTCCCATTGGCAAGGCAGCGAAGAGTCCGATGACCCACTCCCAAATAGTACCCTGTGGAGCACTCCAGCATCACCATAGACCCAAACTCTGCCGACCTACCAGAGAGCAGGCGGGAGGTCATGTGATCTGACAAGGTGCCCTCAGTGCTGGGGCAGTGGACCGCTGGAAAATAAAATGTAGTCAAATTACTATTACATAAAACATTCAATTAGGTTTTCATTTATGTCCTCAACTACAAGCTACTGTATCGACTCCCATTTGATTGTCATGTATTTAAGAAACAGGGTGTTATGTGAAATACTCTTAGCATCTCTCAACAAAATAATTTAAAAAGAAAAAAGGAATAAATCTGACGATCCTTGTCCTGTCTTTTGCATTTTCTGAATGAAATGTGGAATTATACTATTGACCTTGGGAACAGCAGTATATTTCCTCAAAATCCACTAACAAGCTTTTAACAGAGCTTTGAACTGCATCTCAGCAGCTGTCATATCATGGAGAAAGTGTTACACCATGAAAAGTGAGCAAACTTCACTCTCACCTCTTTCACAGAGGAAGACTGCAAAATATGGTGAAAAGCTCAGAAATGATAACCATAAGTGTCCTAAATGACCTTGAGTTAAGAATATTTTTTCTTCTTGTCATCTCATAGTCTTGACTGCCCATAAAACTTACGTAGGCATCTGGGGGCTGAGGCAGCATTACTCCAGCTGCCATCCTCCAAACACTCTGCAGTCATTTGAGCACCTGGGTCAAGGTGGAAACCATGGTTACACTGGTAAGTGACCTGGCTACCAACGGTGTACTGGTTGGCTTGGAAGCTTCCGTTGCCGGGTGACTGAGGAATTCCGCATGAGACAGCTGCCGTAAAGAGAGAAGTGATGAAATGGTATCGTTCACAAACTGCTGTCATCTCTTTTGAAGCAATCGTTTAAAATATTACCTTGACAAAATGGTGTTGGTACGTCCCACTGGTAAAGCCCATTGGGGTGAAGCCTGCAGGTGGCATTGCTTGAGCCTATCATGCGGTAACCACGGTTACAATAAAACTGAAGTCTGCTCCCTGGACGGAGTTTGGTTCGGTTGACCACGCCACCGTTCACTGGAGGATCATTGATGCTACAGTAGGCAGCTGGAGATACAGAGGAAGAACAGTTGGAAAAACAACATTTGTTATGTGTTCACACTTCACAGGAAACTAACCAGTCTTATCCAACTCATTTTCTATGAAGATAACAATGAGCAGGAGAGAAAACAGAGGGTTAGCTCCGTGGGGGTGTATTTAAAATGAGAAAAGGTGTGCCTGGAAACAATACGGCACTAATGCTCCTATTACCAGGCATATCAAATATGAGCTTTATTCCTTCTGGCATTATATTATACAATAATGGACTCAAATAAATAACTTTTTCTGAAACCTTTTCAAGTAATGCATTGTTTTTGTCTTCCTGGAACTGAATATAGAATCAGTACAATATAAACATCCTCCACAACAGGCCTCAATGGGCCACTTGCTCCTCCCTGTCCGGTGTGGTCGTTGCTCTGCCTTGTACCGGCTCTTTTCCCTTTCAGCTTCACATTGGACGATTTACTTTCCCCCGTCAGGACAAAAGAGTAGCTTTCATTTTCATTCTACTGTAAACTTTTGTTTCCAAGAAGTATCTTATGCCTCCCTTTCCTCAAAAGAGTCATATTGGCCTTCTTTTTGCTCACTCTATCTGCTCTAAAATGTGTTTAATCTGCATGATTAATTGTATATCTTATCAGTCCACTTCTCTCTAACAGGAATATTCTGAGGTTGCACGAATATTCAGTCCGAGGATGAAGGCCCAGTCTTCCAGTTCTTAACTACTGAATGTTTATAATTATAATAAAAGGGACATGAACTCCTACTGAAGATTTGATCCTAAGGGCCTTAATATCAAAGGATCAGATGTTGTTAAAACTGAATTGCAAAGACAATTTTATTGAGACTGTCAGGGTAGAATTTACTTCATTCCATTCTGCGGGAAACATTGAATTTGACTTCCAAAACTAAAAATAAAGACAACTTAAATACAGATGCAGTATGGGAAATTGCAAGAGAGATAAGAGAAATTCCTATGAACAAAACATTGATAATGTTCCAAAAGTGCTATACTGGAAAACGCAACAATATAATTATTAGAGACTGTCCGTCAGCTGCAGGATAATGGACGATGCAGAGGCAAAGAATGGCATGGTGTGTATCATTCGTTGCCTTTGCATTGAATGATACACACCATACCATTCTCAGTTTTCATCATCATTATGCTTAATTTGTTCTGTGGCAACTTCCTAATACATGCACAAAATAAATGGTGATGTTCATTGATACATTTTGGATAAGAAGTAGATATGGTATTACTTTCACAGATAAAATGGGACAAAGGATTTTACGATAGTTAGGCAGCTTAATTTGAAAACCCTGTTTGCTTAATGTACAACCGACATCAATGCATATCTAGTTTCATATATATACTAACATGTAACCCTAGCCTTGATATAATATACCATATATAATAATAACAACGTGTCAACACACAATGCTTATCTTTATAATTAAAGTGACTGCATTTTTATCCATTTGTAATATAGCTATCAATGTCTCTCTAAGATACTGACAAACATATTGTTTGGCTTTGGTACCATTTGAAATAGCTTTAGCTGAGTAATGCTGACCTCTTAATGTTTATGTAAGAAATATAATAGCTTTGTTCTCACATATAGAGGTAAAATATGCTGAGATAAATATTATTGATGGCACTTCTGTACAATTGCTGATACCTACTTAAAATGTACTAAGGGCCATTATTGTTCATAGCATTAGCAAGTGCCCCCCACACACATTCAGGCAGCCAATAGAAAACATATCACAAAGAGAGACACAAAGAGAGGAGTGGAAATTCATAGTGAATCACCAGGAAAGATGCATACAAGCGATGAGCTATTGCTGTTTTCAGAAAGGTCAGTGGGTAAACCTGATACCATTAAGCATAATGTCTGCAAGGTCATTTCACAGCTAAAGCAAGCATGAACAACAAAGAAAAACTTTAACGAAAATGCAGCAGTGAATGTTACAGCCCACACAGATCCAGAGTCACACAAACTCACGACATGTTTGAGGACCCTCATAAAGATAACATAATAACTTCCCTGACACTAAACTAAATTGTTACATTGACCCTTAAACCAGGTCTTACACCTCAAATAATCCTTTGAAGAAGAACCCATGTTATAAGCTAAAGCTAGGTATACCATATATATACTGTGTGCTTCAATATACGAGAGCATCAAAAGTGTATTGTAAGTGAAAGTCTCAACCATACATTTATGTCCTCTGTATAGCTGCTGTTGTCAAGGCAATACAACACCATGGGGAAAAGAAAACACTATTACTTCAAGCCACTGTGCTGATATAACCCACAGACTAAAATATATCACTCTGCTCTTCAGTACAGACAGCCATGAGACAGACCTTGTGACTCACTCATCTCAAGTCCAAAGAGGGTCAGTGTCACTGTAAATTGTATTTAGAAATATCGAAAGTGATGGTCATCTTCAATACATTCCTCAAATGTTAAAAGCAATGAATAAGGAGCGTCTGAAAACCTGCCAACCTAAACCGAACAAAGCTAAGGATCAGAATGCCACAATGTTGGCAAGCACCTGCAGATAGATATAATAAACTCAATCTGAAACAAATTGGCAAATTAACAAAGTGGATTTCCTAATTCTCTGTCGCTCTTAATTAGTCTGATGCATTAAAAAATAATGTTTCTCAGTTAGGAACGTCTTCTCAATGATCAATGCTCAGGTACCTACAGCCTTGATGCACCAATTAATTTTCAACATAAGCAAGAAGCTGGGGTTGGTTATAAATTCTATGAGAGACCAATCACTTCAGCCAACATTAGTCAAACCTTTTTCCACACAGAAGGATGGGTACAATGTGTGAAAGCATAGACAAAAGCAGGGCAGCCAGCAGACAGTATTCTTCAGATGGCAACACACTAGTCTTGATCTCACATTCAAGATTTCCTCCCTGACATGCAAGTAATGCACATCTATAATATTGGGAGGGATGAAACCCTCTTTAATGGTCACACATGCAGAGCACACAGCACACACAGTGAAATGTGTTTCCTAGTACCAGGAGTTATTGTACAGCGCCCGGGGAGCAATGGAAGTGAGGGGGGATGGGGGGGTTGTCCGGTGCCTTGCTCAAGGGCACCACGGCAGGGCAGGAGGTGAACTGGGACCTCTCCAAGTAACAGTCCACACTCCATACTTTAAGTCTGTTCGGGGCCTTGAACCGGCGACCCTACGGCTCCCAGTCCAAGCCCCTGCTGACTGAGCAACTGCCGGTCCTATCTACATGTAATTGTTATTCAAACTAAAATAATATTTAGAACAGAGAGAGAATTACACATGTAAACAGACGCATAATATGCATAACTGGTGTTTTATTAACAATAACAAGGCCAGCTATATATAAGGGACATAAAGAATGGAGAAAATGAAAGATATTGTATGTACCTGAGTATCGTATCTTGAACCCTCTCTTGTTTGTGGCATGGTCAGTGGACCAGCGTAGATAGAGCTGGTTTGTTTTAGATGTGAAGTTGAGCTGAGATGAGTGATTTCCACTTAGAGCGACGAGAAGAGGACTCTGCCCTGAGGATCCTAGAGAAACAAATGAATGACACTTCAGGACGGCTGTGCGTACAGTATACTGTATATATTAGTATTTCTCATGGACACACATGCACGTATAATATGTCGTTTTGCTTAGTGGTCTGTTTTTGTTGGTGGGAATCGTAGGTTTACATATAATGTTCCCCTAGAATAGTATGAGCCGAAGCTCAGATGAAACATGTTGTAGTGAGAATGTGTTTTATTGTTTCTGAGACATGCATCACATGAAGGTGACAGCATCATTCAGTCGCTAACTTCCTCCAGATGACTTGTTTTACATGATCCTGATTGAAACACATTGTATACTTTCATCCCAGGTTTATGGACCACGACCCTCCACCTGTTCAAAAGTGGATATTGTGGATATGTGTGTGTATGCATGTATGGGTATGTGATGGTCTGTGTGTGTCTAGTGAGTTGCAAAATAGAAAAGGACAGCTCTGTGTACCATCAAAAATCTCCAGTTCATCAAATTGTTTCTCGCTGTGGAACATCTCTACATATATGTTGATGGTGTAACCTGGAAAAACAAGACAAAATTATTAACAAGCACAACCAGAAAACCGCAATATGCCACACACACACACACACACACACACACACACACACACACACACACACACACACACACCCACACACACACACACACACACACACACACACACACACACACACACACACACACACACACACACACACACACACACACACACACACACACACACACACACACACACACACACACACACACACACACACACACACACACACAAATGCAGGGGGACACGCACACACTGTTATACATATTTATAATCAAAGTGCAGATATATATAAAACAGCAGCCTAGACAGACACTGGTTACACCCCCTCCATACACACTGTACCTGGAACCATGTGAAGCAGCCAGGAGCACGTCTGGCTGTTGGGGTAGTTGCTAGGAAACCCAGGGCTAAGTATCACTCCTGATGACAATGTCCGCTCCTCATTGGCTGGGCACTGGGCTGGAGGAGTTATAGACAAAAGCCAGTGAGATTGATAAGAACCGTGAAACTTTGGTAGATACTAGGTGTGAACCACTCTCAAAATGCATCCATCTCACTGTTCTTGTTTACCTGTTCATATCCATTATCTGTATCCTTTTTCCAACTCACATGCATTAAGGACCTTCTTTTGAAATGTACTTTCTATAGAATTAGCTTGCCTGCGTCAGGGTCATGTTGGGTCTGCGAAAGAATCTCAAAGCCACATGCCCATCTTCTCTGCCTTTAAAATGCGCCTATTTATTAGCCTTTAGCGAGACACTGGAAGTCTGACTCAATCTTTCTGTGTGATGAGTGTTTAGGAATCAGGATTTCACACAAAAGGCACCAAACTTTCTTCTTATGCTCCTGCTTTATAATAAAAAGGACACTCTGTTCATCTTACATGATGATGGCGAAGGCTGAGCATCTGTTCACAAAAGAGTTTTCTCAAAAGAGGAATTCAAATCAGTATTCAGTTGTCTCGTAGAAATACCAGGTACTGCTGCCAGCACCTCACAGTGTGGATGTATTATACATTTAACTGAAAATCTAAAGTGCTTCTTTCCTGCTGCCTCTTAATTTCTTGAAATAAAGAGCCACATACATGCCAAAATTAAATGTTGTACTAATGAAAGAACATTCAACAACCTGAGTATTGAAAAAGTGGAATATATTATCAATTGAGAAATGTTAACTTCAACACACAATAGTAGGAATGTCACACAATAAAAACATGTGCTATTTCACATGTCATTAACTGGTTTGGCTTTACTCAATCTGCCTAATATACTGTACCTCACAAAAGACATTTAAGCATGTCATGGCAGCAAAGGCATTACTTTTAGGTCCAGGGTCTTGGTTCTATGCACGCTCGCTAACTGGCATCTCTTACTTGGACCAAACAAAGTAGCTTGACCTGTGCTTTTCCTGCTTTAACATGTCAATATGTAGATAACTTCATCCAATACGTAGGATCAAGGTTTCCGAATCATTTTGATAGTTATGACATTTTATGTATTCATATTTGTTTGAGGATTTTTTTAAACGACTCAACACAGAGTCAATGTATGATTGTGACATAAACATGCACATGCTGTATGTTGTATTTATGGTTTGGGAGTAGCATTACCTTGACATGTTGGTGGCGGGGCTTCAAAAAGCAAATGGGTATTGAGTTTACACATCAGCTCGGCTTTTCCCACCAGTGTATATCCAGGTAGACAACGGTACCTCACAATATCACCTAAGCAGGAACAAAATAAAAAGTCTATTGAATGATCATAGATTATACATTTAACAAGTGCTTCTGATGAGTCTTTATGTTTGTGCAGTAAGTACACATCATATCCAAAAGCAGATTCAGAGTCTATGTTAATGCTCTCGTACGTACCTGGGGTATTTTCCAATAAAAAGACTGATTTTTAGATAAAAGCCTTAGATTGTCTGCATGAGTACATTGCTGCAAGGAATGAATATAATATTTGCATTTTAATACACATTTGTGCAAGGAAGGATCTATTTATACCAAGTATAGACAGGAGGACGATTACCGCAACCAATAACTGTCTTTATATATTAACTGTAAATATTGTACGCTCCAAAATAGTTAAGATGCCCTGTTTTAAAAAGAAAACAAGTTTGAAGGGGTTTTGATCTTGAATCGGGAGGATATCCACCACCTGTCAGCCAGATTTAATGCCTATTTCAAACTTTGCCCCAGAGGCGCACAGTGCCAAAGCTCTCAGCATGAGGCATGGACTATAAAAAAAGGTAAACAGAACAAACAAGAACATTCAGCCTTTCTTTGAGCGTGTTCACAGATTGTATAATTGGCTATTAGACTGACCGACAAAAACAAAGGTAGTGTGGTCTCCGAGGTACTCCATCCGGCCAGAGTTTGTCAATGTAAAATTCTAAGTACATGCAGCCCAACGTTCTGAGGGCTTGTGAGACTTCTATGTATGATTATTCTAAAAATAGCCCTCATTTTTACTCAGTCTTGCTGTGAAAAGTGCTGCTGTGGTGTAGTGCAAGTGTCAATTATTTGACGTCACTCTGGTGTAGTATTATTACTCTGTGCATCACTGTTGAACATTGTTAGTGTCCTGTTAGGAAGATCATATCTAAGGAACATTTTCTAATATCAATTTGAGGGATAATGAAGTCTTTCCTGACTCTGGGGTTTGACCACTTTAAAAGTGTCTTTAAAAGTGTAAAATCCCCAAATCCCCCAAATCAACTAATTATTCAAAAATCAACCAACTTTCCAGAGTTCATAAAAAAGCTGACATTTCAAAATGTTGTGGAGTTTTCTGCAGAGAAATGATTGTATACTTCGCCAGCAGCGGCTAGGCTCTGCATACATCGGCCGGGGCAAATTGAGCTTGCGTGGGCTTTATGAGATGTCTGATTTGTTCAAAACACATCCCCTGTTGATCCAAAAGGTCACCAACCCTAAGAGTAAATGTTTTGAGCAAATCACATAACACAGAACTGAGGGAAAATGGAGAACTTGACATGTGATTATTTCTACCAAAACTAATGTATTTCAAAAGCTTGAGAGAACATACTGGTATTATTATCAGTGTCAGTGATTCTGGAGAAAGATTATTGATATTGGAACTTAACACCCCCCCCAGATTTACTATCCCTCTCTCTCCATCTGCCTTCCCCTTTATACGATCATGGCATTTCCTCTGTCCTGTGCACAAACATAGGTTTTTACTTTTTACCCATTACAGAGCCATGGCTGGGTTAACATTGCATTTATCTTCAGCTCAAACAGATTGGAAATAACCTAATTGGAAACATTCTTGTTATTTACGGACAAAAAATAGACTGCTACGTTTCTTTTGTACATTTATGGTCAAAATCTAGGTGGTATTAAAATGTATTGGAGACTAGTGATATAACAACACATCATATTTACTCTAAATACCATGACGCCAATTGTAGAGGGGTTGGAAGGCTTATTTTATCTCCATTGATGGAGCCAGCTGTTTGTCTCTGTTTATGCCAAGAAGCACCAGAAACACCCCAAACCTATCTCTGTACTGGCAGTGAAGAGATGCAACTGACATAGATATTAATGAAGAATTTTGCATAACTTAATTGTCTTTTGTGAATTCCTCGCTCTTGTGTTTCTTTCTGTGTCACAGATACTGACAACATGCTCACAGTTGTACACTGCGTGGATTTTATTTGGAGCGAGGGCTCAGCTTCACTAACAAAGCAAAATGTAATTAACAGTAGCATTCTCACCTTGCTATATTTAGAATATGCATGTAAAGAGTAATTTAGCCCATTAGTATAGCAGCATAATGATCCCACAAAAACCAGGCAGTATGTCAGACCTGTCAGGTGAGAGTCATTTTGATGTTACAGTATGATGCCCCCCCAAAAAAGGTAATACAAATAAATAAATAAGTTGAATTAAACAGCGAAGGTCAAGAAGTAACCAAGGTGTTTTTTTTTAGATTGCTGAAGTTAGGTAGACTAGTTGGTGCGACATCACTTTCATTCAATTAAGATCTTATTATTGTGAATTACCAATCTGGAAGTCTTCATCTTCGTAGATCACCTCTGAGTTCTCCACAACAGGCGGAGCAGGACATTTCTTCAGACGGTAGGCTGGAGAGAGAGAGAGAGAGAGAAAAACGTTTAATCAAGGGACCTTAATTTCTAGTGTAAAAAACAAACAATAACAGAAAGAAGGTCATTTCAAGAGTGGGTGCTCTGTTCACAATGATTCACAAGTCCATAAACAAAAACATATTTTAACCTTAGGAAACTCAAATTGACTTATTTTTTTCCTTAAAAGTGGTTGATTAGCGAGATGCACATTGCACACCCTGAGAAACAAGTGGTGCAGCTGCAGCCTTTATCAAATAGGCTGTCTCATTGCAACAAAGGGTACACACATGTTAATCACTGAAAACCATGACATTGACCTTTTCAGACATTAACTTTATTTTTACAAATAATGAACACTAGGGGAGATATGATGAAAGCATTGCTAGAGTGAAAAAAGAAAAGTAGCTACACTTTTTTTGTATTTTTTACTGTCTGAATCGTCTGTTATAGCTCTTCACTGGTTATGGAAATGACACTAGAAGACTTGATACATGTGTTTTAGATTGAAGCTTGGATAGGAGACACTTTGGTATTCAGGGACGCATATGGCACTCAAACACTCTTGTGCATTATGATGCTGTGCCATGTTTTGGCAGTGTAAAAATGTGGTTTATCTGTCCCTATAACTATTTGTATATACCGTATGTGTCTAACTGTTCGTGCAGTATAAGCTGTACACAGCTTACATATGAGCATGCTTATACTACAGGTGTGTGTGGGTGAGTTTGTATCTGTACCATGGTAGTTGAGAATGAAGAACCCTCCAGTGGAAAAGTCAGAGTGGAAGCGGATCAGGACCTTCGGGCTGGTACTGTAGGCCGACTCCAATGCTGTGTTGCCGCTGAAGACTCCCAGCTGAGGACTAGACGTCTCTGGGCCGTCCCTGAATGAAGACACGGAGAGAGGAACACAGACGACAGACAATGGTTAAACTGGAAGCAGGAAACATTGGAAGAATTGCAGAAGACGGATGGACAGAGAGAAACCAAAAGTCACGTAACAGTTGGCAGAAAGACAACTATGCGTAATAAAAAAAAGATAACTGTTTCTGATTTACTTTTGTTCCACAAATCCTTTTCTACATTGCAAGCAAAGCCCTTAAACTAAGAGGTATTACCAGCCATAGTCTGAGTAACATCTTACTCATGGGAATATGAGGATGGTAATATTAATTTAATGAAACTAAAAGGTAACCTGAGGGTAAATATGGAACCATTGTGCACTGTATCTGCCCAGGCTCAACCTCCATTAGTTGAGTTTGCAACAGTTTTTATTTTCTCTTCTACTCTGAGTAGAAATATATGGATTGTCTCATTGATCTGTCGGCAACATTCAACCCCACATCACCAGAAAAAATATGTTATCACAAATCCATGATTATCTCCAAAAGTGTCTGAGTGGATTCTTTATAATGAAAATCCATAATAGTGATGAAAATCCTAAATGGCTACATTGATTAGGTAATTAAAATCATACTGAATAAACAAACCGCTGACTGGTTGTCTGCCACAGCACTAAAGGCAAGTCAGGGATTTGGATCAGTCTGAACCATTTATGAAATGTTAATCTTGCATTTGCTTTCACTGATTAAAAGTAATACCACTGAGAAAGACAGACCAAAAGCAACCTTTATTAATAAAATAAAACATGTATCTGCCACACGCCTGGCTTTTTAAAGGGCAGAACAAATATTGTATGAAGCTAAATATTTGCTTTTTTTAACCTATTTCACACAAGTTCATTGAACAAAGCCTGTGGATTAAAGGCTTAACTTAACTCATTAAATATTGAATGTTGCTGAAAGGTTACATTTTCTAAAGTTCCTAAATGCCCAGTTTTCGGTTTTTAATGAACATGCCATTAGATTAAACAAGGGTTTTAACATTTTATTCATGAGAAGTGCCTGGGATCTCTTGGCTCCTCAATAATTCAAGGCCTTCTGAAGGTGTTGGAGCTCATTTGGAGAATCAAAATGTGCTTTTTGGGTCATTTAAAATAAAGCAGACCTAGAATGTTGTGGCTCTATTTTTACTTAGAGAACATATACAGAACCAATATATATTTATCATATGCATTTAACATTTATTATAACGTGTTTTTGGGAGTTGTAATTACTATATATTTTGAACTTGTTTCTGAAAAAGTAAATACATTGGACGACAGCAGAGAGAAGACTTGGACTTAGCTCCCAGAGTTTGTTAGTGACCTTTCCCTCAGTGAAAGAATCAGGTTCAATGAAACCCATTTAATAGAGTCAGTCCCCTCGAACCATAAGATGTAAGCTTGTGAGGCTAAAAGGCTGCTGGTTTGTGAACCTCAAACACTGCTGATACGTGAGCAGAACATGTTTTAAGTAAGCCTTACCTCTGGAAATAAGGGTTTAAAGGAAGTTTGATTTATTAAGAGTTATCTATTCTGTCTATCTCCTACAGGTGATTGACGCGAGCCCACTGCAGCTGGGAATAGGCTGGAATTGGAAAGAATACATTAAGAGATAGAAGAGAGATGGGGCTGACATGATTCACCATCAACCAAATCACATTTCTCCCTCCTACAGTAAAAGCACTGCGCTTTTTTCACAACCTTATCAGAGTCCTGGTTTGAAGAAAAAATTGGATCCAACAAAAAATAAATAAATAAAGTGAACTCTTAATGCTGAAAAATAAAGTACACTGATATAAAACATTGTCTTTTTCTGAGTTTGTATGTGTATACATTTACACCATGTACACATTTAATCAAACCAGACAGATGATTTTAGGAGAACTACTGTGTTGCTCTAGTGTTAGATCCATAGACCACTGTTAGAAGTGGTCCAGTGATATTAGGCAAGAAGCCAAACTTCGGCTGGTTGCAGAGCATAGAGACAGTTTGGCTTCAGTCCCTGACATCTGGATGCAGCTGCCGTCACATAAACCCCAGGGGCATACAGGGCAGAAACCAGAAGATACACATCACTGAGATATGGAAAAAACAGGACATTGTGATTCACAAAGGCAAAAGACATTCATCACAAGTTTGATTAATGAGAAGCGAGAACACGAGGAGGCTGGCGGAGGAGGAAATCAGCATAACTACTGACAGCGGTAGAATGAGTTATCAGAGAAGTGAAAATGTAGGCTCTTCAGATGAGTAAGGAAACAACCTCATTGAGTGTGAGGTGATTGTAAGTCAGCTGATACTTATGGCATTGAACACACTCAACCTGAACAAAGGCAATGTTCTATGAACACTTTACTCTGTGCGTCATTAATGACATGGACTCAGTGTACACCCGTTGTTCTGTACAGTACCTCTCCTGTTGCTACAACCTTCAACATGAAAAGCACATTACATTCTCAAAGTCAAAATAAGCCAAAGACTCACTGAAAAAGATATTAGGGATTAAAAAAATAGAATAGAAGATCTATCGAAGCTCAGATGAGCAATGCATCTCCGTCAAAAAAAAGAAGGCGTCCAGAGCAGAGTCACTGATGCAACAGCCTTTGATCTGACTGACAACAACTGGAAAGCAATTCTGGGTGTTTCCACTTCGCTGAAATCAATATCTACAGTACATCTGCCTTGAAGTATAACAAAAAAAAAAATGTATTGGAGAATTTCTGTAGTTTCTTAGAGAATGACATATTAGTTTAAAATGAATGAATGACTGAATCCATCTATCCATCTTAAAATAAGACTATGTTTTATGATTATTCTGGACGTTGCTGTTTCCTCTTCTATTTACATGTCTGTAATGCAGTATCAGCGGACCCTCAGATCACTCACTCTAAGGCCCTGGAAGGTAGATGCTATCCCGCTGGCTCCGAGCAAAGCACTTTTCCTTCAGTCACTTCCAAATATATTCATGTGTTGGGAAATAAAGCAGGATTGAACAGTGCAACAGTCCATCATTTATGCACTAATCTCACATTACAGATGTCTTTTGGTACCCTACAATCGAGGATTTTGTTCCCTGTGTAATGTGCCAAAAAGACATATATCACAAAAATCTATTTGCAACTACAAAATAACTTGATGCTGTGTCTCTCCATAGCTATATCCATAGCGCTGGTAGCTGGTGAGATTGAAAGCGAGTAGTCCCAGAGTGTAAATGTATTACTTTCCCACTGCCTGCATTTCAACTACTCACTCCCTAGAGCTTTACTCTGGAGCATGACAATTATAGACTGGCTTCAACCTAACACCAAATATGTATTTCCTAAAAACCAACCTCCACCAGATGATGACAGTGAGTGACAAAATCCTACTTGATCTTAATTGTATTAGTAATAGATTCACTGTTTTATATTATTTTTCCCAAACTGTAATTATTGAGTGAGAAATGTCTCTCGCACTGACCCAAACTTGTCAGAGCCATCCGAGTCCCGTTGGATATGTGAACCCAGCTCCTTTCATTACATTTCCCACTGCTCACTGAATCTCATCATTACTGCCAGAGTTCCTAAGCCCTCTCTGGGTCTGCCTATGGCCGTGGTGCCGAGTTAGATTGAATTGGTCAGTGGTCCCACTGTAAATGCATTACTCTCACACTCCCTGTTACAATCTTACCTCCACTGTGAATCCCATTATTACTGCAGGAGATTCATTATATGCATAGCACATAGTATATATGGGTGTATGTATTAGTAGTGTATGTTGCTGTGATCCCTGTGCATAAACCAGGCCATACACAGATCCATATGGGTTTTTGTGTATGTTGCTGTATGATAACATCATAAACAATTGACACATACTGATGTTTTCTCTGTGAATTCCTTTGTACAGGTAAGAAAGACATGCCATCAATGCCAGGAATAAGGTTACCACTAATAAAAGTGTGTGTGAGAGAAAGCAGAAGTGTGTGTTTGTGTGTGTGTGAGAGAGAGAGGGACAGAATGATAATAAAAAACAGAATCAAAAGTTGATATAACTTCTTAATGGTGTTCAGAGAGGAGGCAGGATGCAAGTCAATTCAAGACTTAGCTGTCAGTGATGAAATCGGGCCAAGGATAAAGGGCAACAATGAAAAGAAGCTTTTGCATGCATGTGTTGTGTGTGTGTGTGTGTGTGTGTGTGTGTGTGTGTGTGTGTGTGTGCATGTAAGTTCAAGTGTACCCAGGCTTACCAGACAGCGATGTAATCAGTGACAGGCTCCGTCTGCAATAAGGTAAAGTTGATATAAACTCCGTGTCCGTGGGGAACAGTGATGAGCCAGCTGCAGTCTTGGGAGTTGGGGTATTCAACGGGGTACTGAGGTGAATAGATTGTCCCGTTTTCAGCTGTGACATTATAGCCGCAAGGAGCTGTAAAAAGCAGAGTTATGAGATTATCTATGTGCAAATTTGTCCCATTCATTGAACCTGCTAGTCCTGAAACGATGGAGAGGAAAGAATAACTTTGAACTATAGACAGTGTTGAATATAAATATCATTATTATTTGTAGTAGTATTAGTAAAAGCAGCAGCAGTGGTGCTATTAATAAGAACAATGATTGTGCTACTGATGTATAAAGTAAAATATCTAAGTGACATAGGTATATTCCCTTTCTTCTTAACTGCTGCTTTATAGCGCTTGTGGTACTGATGAAAGATGAGATTACATTCTCCAAAACTCAATTAGGATAACAACATTTTCTAAATGTCTAGACTTTAAATTACCATTTAACCTGATGGATGGGGATGTTCTGGGAAACAATGGATAACCACACAACATAAACTGGCTAATGTGACAAATGTACATTTGTATCTTAATTTTAATCTTGATACATACTTATCACCCATCAAATAAAATAGTATAAAACATTTCATTGGTTATTCTTCTTACCCTCACAGCGTGGAAATGGGTGGTTCCACTTCCGGTTGGTCCCGTGCAGGCACGTTAGGACAGGGTGTCCTATCAAAACATAACCGGGGTAGCACTGAAAAGTTACTGATTGGCCAGCGCTGTAGTCACCGTTGATGATGTCACCGTTGAGGAAAGGAAAGGGGTCCTGGCAGTTTTGAAGTTGATAGGCTGCAGAGACAGATAAAGAAAATAACTTTCAGAGTGGAAATAATTGGAAACTTGATTTCAGATACACTTGATTTTTAAGGTTATACGATTCACTTAAACCAGGGGTCGGCAACCTTTTTGTGTGCCATTCAAAAAAGAAATTTTTATCAGCGTGCCGACGATCGTGAATTATCAACGTGGGGGGGGGGGGGGGGGTGAAGAGCTCGACGTTCGTGAACTGTCAACAGGAGGGCGGGGGAGCCTCGCTGCGGGGAAGCAGTGTGTGGACCTGTCAGCGCAACTTACATTAGGGATGCTCCGATCGCCGATCCGATCGAGTGGGCGGGTCCTATGGGGATCTTCCATTTAAAGAAATGTTTAAAACTCAGTTAATGGGGCTCATTCACTGGCGCTTTCACAAACAACAACCAACATAATTGTTACATTCAAATGAAGTAGCCTACATTATTCAAGTTTACATTAACTTTGGATAATAACACGGGAGAAATGAGCGGAAGCGCTCTCTTTTCCTCTCTCCCCCTCTCTCTCTCTCCTGACAGCCTGTCAGTATCTCATGCAGCTCACTGATCCAGTAATGAGTGACAGTGAAGAATAAATATATTTATAACTAGTTCCAGAGGTAGATAAAATAGCTAAGTGTGTTAGGTCTAACTCTTGTGTGTTTTGCTCCGCTCACCGGTCCGTCACAGCGGGCGGAGCTGCAGGATTTCTGCTTCACACACGTTGCATACCGCTATTTTATTGTCATTTTCGGACACCTTAAAATACTGCCAGACTGGTGAAGCCATTTTGGCGAGCTTGTTTTGCCGCGCACAGAGAAAAGTGTCATGCGATCGGCTCTCGCGATCGGCATTTTTAGAGAGCACCGATCGATCGGCATTTTTAGAGAGCACCGATCGATCGGCAGAGAGTGAAGTATCGGCCGATATCGATCGCCACGCAAAAACTGCGGCATTTTTACAGCTCCTTATGGGTACTGCAATTTGTGAAGTGCTTTCCTCTGTGGTGAAACTATCAGCACTGCATTACGGAGGAAAGCGGCAGAAAGTCGCCTGGAGTTAAAGAGAGTGGGGCTGCGTTGCGTGCATGGCTTCCTTCTGCAGGTAACGGGGAGACACGCTCTGGCGGCGGTCTCGTTCAGGATCCGAAAATAAGATTTTAATATTTTGCACACTTATTCCACTTATTCCTAGTGTGCCACTGGTTACGGTGCCACGTGCCAATGGTGGCACGCGTGCCAGGGGTTGCCGACCCCTGACTTAAACTGAGATTACCAAAGGTATTTGTGAATGTGTTTATTAGCATTGTACCCTGTAGCCTTAAACAGCAGCTCACTAAGGCTGCTTGCCAAATCACAAAATTACAATTTCAATCAATTTTATTCAAAACTTTTCTGTCTGAGGCATATAGACTTCAAGGGGCATCTCGAAAAATAAAAAGTTGACAAACAGTTGCTGCCAGGCTACTTTTATGCAGGAAGAAACTGCATGTGTACAGGAACACCTGTGGGCTAAACCATCCCAAGTCCTGATTGGAGACACCACAAAGGACACTTAAGAACGTCAGAACTGAGTTCCCCTGGCACTTTTAGATACCGACAGCTATACAAATATTGACAAAAAGAACTGGACATAGTGGAAATACAGAAGGAACAGAAAAGTGAGTAGTGACAGATGTGCAGTAGAGGTCCCATGTGAAAGCAGCATCAAGGGAAAGAGATGGAAAGGATAAAGTGATACCGGGGGCTGAAAGAGGGAGGAGGAGAGAATGTGGAAAATGTAAGCCAAACGTTGTCCAAGTCATAGGGGAGTATGTGCGGCTTTGAAACTACAATCAAGAACGTACGATGTCAGAGTGCCAAACACTAAAACTGGAATCAGAGCTCCCTTAAGATTTTATTAGCGACATATGGGTCTAAAAATCACTGTGAGGGTACTTTCTATTGATTTTGTTGCACTTATCCCTCTGAGATTTTGTGGATGTGCACACTGCAATTCAGCCTACTGAACCATATACCTCCTGGACCTTTAAAACAGAACCTGAGCTTATGTCATTGAGTGCTGCGGGCCGAAATCATGCACCCTGTCAGAGCTTTCACAATGTTTTCATTCAACAAAACCAATCATTGCATTATGACATTCTTAGACAGGATAGGATAGTTGATGTCAGATGAGAAAAAGCATCTGGTGCAACTTTATTTAAAGGGGACCTATCATGCAAAATGCACTTTTGTACGTCTTTTATACATGAATATGTGTCCCCGGTGTTCCAGGGAACTCACCAAGTGTCAGAAAACACAACCCTCTCTATTTTCCTCCATACCCAAATCTCTAAAAAAGGGGCTGCAACGGATCTGATCAAAACTGATCCAGATTTGAACACTGTCCTAACGTCAGGACAGTGGCGCTACGGCTATTGGGCCAACTCCACCAATCAGGAGGAGACAGCCACGGCCATTGCCGTTCGAAAGCGCTGGAGACGCTGTAGTACATATGCCAGGCCAGTAGATGGTGCTGTTCTCACTGAATCTGCCCTTGCTAAAACAGAGCTAAAAGATGTCAAATTGAGCAAAATGAGGCATGGCTAAAATGCATGATCTGTTTGGTATTTTGAAGTATAAATATGCCTTATATAGGTATGGTCCTATACTATATTATTCAAATATAGCATGATAGGTCCACTTTAAGGGAAATACTGTATGTCTACAAGCTTCAAAAGCCGAAAGTGGAAGTAAGCAGTGACAAGAGATGCCGTTTTAGGGGACTTTGTCATTGCAAATTAGGAGAAAAAAAGGGTAAAAAAATGTGCATGTGGGTTAGCCTATGTGTAAGTAAGCCTTGCTCTACTTATGCTGGCGTATAGACCCACAGTGCATCTCTGGTGTCTTTGAAGTGAAACACTTAGGGCTACGAGCAAAGCCTGCTGGACAAGATGCCAGTCCCTCACAGGGCTTACTAACAATCCATCTCTTTTAATGATGAGAGGAAAGCTATACGTTTTTTTTAAGTCTTCAGCATGCCTCATCCACGGATCAAAGCTCAAAACCTAATAGCGATGCGTTTTTTCATTGAAGCCTTCATTCTTGGAGTTGAGAAGGCTTTGTTATTTGGGGACTAGGTTTATTCAGAAACCATAGGCAGTCCATCTCTCTTTTCTAAATAATTCAAGGAACCATCTTGTGTTCCCAACCGTTGGCTCAATATGAACACAGGTTTAGTCCCTTGAGGGGCCACTTTCAACTGGAAGCGCCTGCAGGGACACCTAAGGGTTTGTGGCCTCAGGTCAACATTCAAAAATCACACGTAAACTCACCCTGATAGGTTAGTTTAAACCCCGGTCTGTTCTCTGAATGGTCACTGTAGAAGTGGATGACCGTCAGGTGGGTAGTGCTCAGCAGAAGGGGTGGGATCTGAGAGCCAGTAAACTGTCCAATCAGAGCAGAGCTGTGCTGTGGTCCAGCTCTGACCTCAAGGAAGTCGTGGTTGTCTTCAGAAGAGAAGTTTAGGAACTGAATATGTGCTCCTAGAATACATACACAGATTGTATTAGACTAAAACATATTAAATATATATGATAATAACAGTAAAACGTATCTTTAATGAATGCAATGTAGTTTATTTTGTACATATTTTCACAATCAGTCCCAAGGATACCAAAGATTACCAAAGCAATAGAAATGACAAGAATCAAGTCTTTGATCATTAATAATAAGCATTAATGAAAGAAGTATGTCATATCCTTTCCACTCAAATCTAGCTATATTTACACACATGGACATGTATTCCATGCCAAAATACATACATAAAAGGTTTCTTTTCAAACCATCACTTACTCATTAACAGTGGCGAGCCGTCAGGGCCCTCTAGGCCTTCAGAGAGAGGGCCTAAGATATTCTACAAAATAATATTTAAAAACATTTTGAAAAATAATATTGTTTTTAAATATATTTGTAGTTATATTTTTCATTAGTTTTACCAAAATAACTTGATTTAATTGTATTTAAAATAACATTTCCAAAGAAATACATCCTTCGAATCTGCCTATTCAGTTTCTGTTGGAATGTGAAGGGTTAAATTAAAGAAGCTTGTCTCTGCGAGGTGAAGATAGGAGCTGATTGGTGGTCCAGCTATGAATTCACAGAGGGCCCAGCTAGAGTAACTGAACGAAAGAGTAATGTCAAATTACAGTACAATTGACCAATCATATCTTCCCTCTAAATGGGTGGGTTTTATTATCGCAGACTTTATGACAAGTTCCACCCGCTGTGAAGCTTTTCTTGTTTCCATAGCAACAACAACTTGCTGTCAACAGCGTAAACTCGCCTTCAAAATAAAAGCATGCCAAATTACACTTAAGTCATACAACTGCAACGAAAGTAACAAACACAATGCAATATCCTTTTCAATTTCAAAGAACACAAATTGGGTTATTTACAGGTGTTGTTTTGTGTGGTAGAGGGTCGCTTTCATTGATGCGTTTTGCACCCCGGGCTGTTGTTTTGATATTCAGCTGAAGTATACAGTACGCTGTGACATAATAACTCTTTTGAGGGAAGGGGTGGGGGTCAGAGGGACTAGGTATAAAAGTCACGGCTCGCCACTGCTCATTAAACAGCATTAAAAAGCTTTCAATAAATATTATGTTGCTAATGCAGAGTTGGTGCTAGAAAAAAGTATTTGTTTTCCCAAATAAACCAAGAGATGTACTGAAGTCTCTTTATCCCATAATACTTACCATATCCAGTTGGCAGGGTGATTTGCCAGGTGCAGTCCAGGTTGCCGGGATAGTTGCCAGGGAAACCCGGACTGAGGATGACACCACTCATCTCAGACAACACCCCGCTGCACCGAGCTGACAACACAGGCCCAGCAAATACATTGTTAAAACAGGCAACACATGAGAAATGTAAAGTGGAGATCATCACTTCATCCCCTCTGCTCTAACAGGAAGAAGGTTACAGAGCTAAAAAACAAGAATATTTGGAATAAGCAACAAGCAGCAACCTTTGGGATTTGAGTACCCTTCGGTTGGACAGGGGGATTTATTGTATTGACATTTACACTCAATGGCCACTTAATAAGATATACCTCAACAATCTAATGAAATTAAATACAGCTGTTTGTATTGTACCTTTGCAAAGTTTATAATGTTCCGTTTTTTTCTTGCATTCTCAGTTTTGGTTAAATACAGTGATATTACATTAATCCTTTGTAGCAAGTATAATGCATTAGTGGCATACAAATATACATGTAAAACAAACTTGGAGATAACAGAAACATTTTGTTAGTTCATTTGGTGCTACTTGCGTATATGAAACCAATTTTTAAAGAGAGAGGATATCATGTTTAAAACTAAAATCTAAATTGTATAGGGGCTTGTACCATGTGTGTTGAATACCTGTATATCCTTGAGAACCGTTAGAGACCGACAGATATATTTTGATATTATAGCTCCCCATTATGACTCACCCTTCTGTTGACAGATTTAGAAATGATTTGGTTGACGCAAGTCTCTCTGACTGGAATAGGAAATGCTGAATTTAATAAATACTGAAGGAGACTGTGGCTGAGTTTAGTTAGTCCTGACATGTCAAGGTTGAGTTTAACTCAAATTGGCTTCCCAGACCTGCTACAAGTTTTCAACAAACACAAACATCGATGTGATCAAGGTCCCTAAACTCCTTTGAGGAAGTAAGGAAGCCTTGGCTCACATAACAAGCTACAAAATTATGTTTGTATCCAGCAGGTATATTGATCATATCATTTAGGAAGTAGCTTTTTTCCACACATCTGATTCCAAGGTTATATATAACTAAATATACCAAATAATTAATATTTAAGAAGTTCTCATTTAGTTACAACTATTAATTTATTTGTGAAATATGTAGGTGAATTTACTGACTGATAAACACTTTAACTGACACTGGTCTCAGTTTTCTATCATGTGTAACGAAGGAATTCCACACAACAACTTGTAATCAAATGACATTAATAAAGAGATTTCTTATCAGCCAAAAAATGGAAAATTAGTAATAAAATCATCAAACTAATTATTTTCAAAGACTTCTATGTGACAATTAACCTGTAAATGTTTAGTGTTAAGACAGCACGAGCTCACATCTGTAATCTACTGGAACGCTTCAGTCACTTCGCTGTGCAGGCCGTAAACGTCTATGTTAACAACACACCTGCAGGACATATGCTTTTCCCTTTGGATCAATTATTCATAAAACAATTCAGCCAGCAGAGCGTGTGTGTTCTTAGTCAGTGTGTGTTACCTATGCAAAGAGGTGGTGGGTAGTTCCATCGACGCACAGTCCCCGGCATGCAGGAGATGTGAGAGTGGCCCTGGAAGTGTTTAAGGAATAATACACTGGGTTAAGTTTAAAAAAAATATTTAAGATATTCTAGGTTTGGAATTTGACTTTTACTTCATTTGGGAGCATGACAATCATTTCGTAGTCTGATTAACACATAGGTAAAAACATTATGCAGCCAATGTGGAAAATGTTATGGTATGCTTGCTAAGGGTTATTGACAGTAGTTTGTGTCCATACACACGTTTTGCTGCACAATATTACGTTTCTTTAAAAAAAAAAAAAAACATTTGAACGAGTTATTGTACAATAATCTAAAATTACAAAGGTATATTATATACTCTACATGTGTTAATTGGTCATGTTGTGTTCATTACCTGTAACGTGTAGCCAGGCTCACAGGAGAATGCCACCACCTCATTGACCATATATCTGTCTCCTGACTTAATCCCATTGGCTGGTATCATTGGCTCTGGGCAGGTGGTAAGTCCAACAGCTACAAAAAAGGACATAACATGATTATTATTTTTTTCCCATTACATTTTCTATGGAAACACCAAGGCTTTGTCTGACATTGATCCATGACAAATTAAAAGTAAGCTAAATGTGATATAATCATCTCTTCTTTAAGTTCTAGACATCTAAAACCACATTGCTGTCTTGACCTTAATCATCAAAGTAATCATAGAAAATTATATATTTTTTTATTACACTAAAATTACAGCAAAAATAAATACCCTTTTCTGTTCCCTGCCTTGTCTTTGCTTCAAGATTAGTCAAGAAAAACACTTTAAAGGTCCCCTATTATACTGTTTTTCATCAATATATTATAAGTCTCAGATGTATACACAACATGTCTCTGAAGTGTTTGGCTCCAAATACCAAACAGATCATTGTAGCATCCCATAATCCCCTCTGTTTCAGCCCTGTTTCAAAAGCGCTGATTCTCTGTCAGTTACTTTAGATGGAAATAAGGAGCCACCCCCCACGCCCCTCTGAGAGATATTTGGTTAAAAAGAACACATTAGGCGCGTTCACACCAAGTACTTTGCCGTATTTAGTGCCGGCACTTATGACCCCAGGGCATTTAGTACAGATCGCGTTCACACCGGAGTACTTTTCCCTGAGGGAAGATTACGCAAATGAGCCGCTGACGTCACTTTGTTTTCTTCTGCTTTGGGTTTACTGGCAGGCCGCACACAACTTCACGGCGTATACTGCCACCCGGAGTCCCCGGCCGGAAGTCCCCGGAGTTGGGGACTGGCTTCAGTAGAAGCTGCTGGGACTCCCAGCAGCTTCTACTGAAGCCTTCCGAGTAAATCGCCAGAACGCCGACACCTCCTCATCTCCACCGCTCCCATGTTTTATTTTGTGTTGCCATAAGTTAGTCTCTCTGCGTTTGTGCGCTGGGCAAATGCTAATGCTAATAATGCTAATGCGAGGATAATAAAATGGCGGCTCTACAAAACATTTCAGAGTTGTACGGGGCATGGTTTGCAATTCGCCCAGCCAATCAGAACTGGGGCACTGGGGTGTGAACGCAACATAAGGGGTACTAACGGAACTAAACGCGAAAAGTACGGTGAAAAGTACTCCGGTGTGAACGCGGCTAATGGTGCTCTAGGAGGAGATTCAGGTGATAAGGTGGGGGGGGGGGGGTTACCTTGGTTGGTGATTGGCTAAAGGTTACACAAGCCAAAACATCGTTATGACCAGGGGTGCAGGTACGCATGCGCGGCAACAATCTGAAATGCGTACCGTCACTTGTGTCACAAAGCGCATTTGCGTACCGACGTACCTGTGAAGCTTTTCCAGAAGGCGGTTAGATCACCGGACGACAGAGTCGGTCCCCGTGTGCACAGACAGGGCTGCTATTAACGTCGGTCTGTACAGCAACCCTGCGCTAAAATAGCTGATCACAACGTTCACACGCTCCGCGGTCACGAAGCGCTGTACTCCACTACCACACCACCCCCCCCCCCCCCCCCCCCCCCCCCCGTTGACAATCGCCAGAAGTTGGAGTACCAAACACTGACTCCAGGTTCAGCTCAATTTCAGAGACAGGCTTTTATATAAATGGATCAGGACAAAAAGTGAGCGAATCTATTTTCCTGAAACGTTCAGAATCTCTTTACACAGAGGGGACACATGGTTATGTATAATAGACAGGAAAAAGTGGATTTTGCATAATAGGTGACCTTTAAAGCATTGCTTTTCCTGTCAGTTGCATGTGGCCTTTTTATTAGATAAAAACAGCAGTTTATCTTATTTATATACCTTGCACTTGTTAACATCCCACAAGGTTATAGTGTATCAAAGTAAATTCAAGTTGTTTAAAACACACAGTTATAATATTTAGATACATTTGATGACAAACATAATGTGGCAGATTAATTTTAAAATGGTCATAATGATTTTTCTTTGCCCTAATAAACAAGAGCCTATTTATGAGCTAGTACAATAAAAAAGCTTGCATGTCGTCAGCTGTGACAGTGGCCTCTGAAATGTGCTTCAAAATATGTGAAGGTAACATAATGACTTTGGTTGTGTATTCCCAACCCAATAAAGGTTAAACACATCCTTAATACGTTTGACAGCAGCCCGCCCTTCATCAAACAGTCTGAGTAGGGGTGTATCTGTGTGTGTGTGTGTGTGTGTGTGTGTGTGTGTGTGTGTGTGTTTCACTTGGAAACTTCCGCAGGAGACTGCCCTAGAGCGGTTTCCATGGCAACACAGTGTTGGAAGAGGGATAACGAGAAAAAGAAAGAGAGAGAGGAGTGAATGCTCGTGTGTGTGTGTGTGTGTGTGTGTGTGTTTGCTTGTGTGTCTCTTCTTGTTGGTTCATTATCTACCTTCCTACCAGCAAAACGATGTGATCCCACTGAGCTCACACGCAAACAGACACACACAAAAATCCAGGTGGCCCAGCCCCAGCATATGACATTTGCGAGCGTGTGTGCATGACTGACTGTTATAGAGTGTGTGCTTGCTGCGAGGGGATGAGGGGGACTTTTCGAAAAGATGGAGCATAAGTGAAAAGGCTGCATGAGACTGTGACTCGGAGACACACACCCATGAACACACAGTGTGTTATTAGGTCGAGCTTCAGCAGGCTGTCAGGACAACTGATCAATGAAACTATTCCATTTGGCTGACCATCTCTTTCTCTCTCTCTCTGTGCAAGCAAACGGCTCCTTCTTTTCCCTGGTTATGACAGAGCAGTGATGCCCTGTAAAATGCTGACTATATCACAAAACACCCCACTAGGGCCACTACACTACAACTTGATAGCGTCAGCACTTAAGTCTAACTGACTGGATTTACTATACTTCTGTTTCAGTTTATTTGAAGACAGTCAGGGGAGAGAGATGGCTCACTCTAGCTTCAGAGGAAAGGCCCTTTGGTCAGCTTAAAACAATAAGAGCATCATCACCACAATCATTCTCGGCTCCCCAGCAGATGGTGTTGCCCACTTATACTTATACTTCAAAACTGACAAGGAGAATCTTAACAGGACATCAGATACATGGGCGGACTTGTTTTTCTGTTTCTACAGGAAACACAATGGAAAACAAAGACAGTACAGTGAAAACAAAGTGAACAGCAGTGTGCTGAAAGGCTCTACAAATAATTACATTATTCCAGGTTTTCGAGTTGACATTACAATTATTTATTATGAAAAAGGGAAGTGCAATTTGTTTTAACTAAAGGGTTTGCTATGAGAATTAGCATGAACAATTATCTGAGGGCAAATACTAATGTGGGCTGCTCTTATCACCTATTGAATTGGTAAATTGGCCGACCTTGGCAAAATGTCTTGTTTAATGAAAAGTTAAAAGCCTACTTTGTGGAGAGACCTCCTGTTAAGAACCTCTAAGGCAAACGTGGAACAAATTGTGCGACAGATTAAAGAGTTGGCAGTCATTTTGAGATAAGCAAAACCATCATCTGAGTCCTGCAAGTGCTCATATGGCGGTGTAAAGTTTGAAATCTCATTTTAAAGGGGATCTTGGAAAAAGTTCTGAGCATGCTTGGTTTTGTAATAACATGGCCTGCCTGCTGACTAACATTATGAAACATCATAGATTGTGTTGATTTCTCCACAAAATAGCAGACATTGACTCAAACACAAAGGCAAAAACACCCAAATGACCCATTACGTATACGCTCTTCATACTTTAACATGTGTTTGGTTTATTTAAAAAGAGAGACCCTATATCAAAAAGTACAATCAGACCTGATTTCAACCGACCAAAATTGCGAGAGAACCCCAACGGTGGCGGCATCAAATAAAAAAGGACTACGGAAAAAAATACTATACAGCCATACATGTCCCCTTTTTTGTCCTGTTATAATGATTTGTCATGTGATCAGAGCTCATACAGAGTTAGCTCAGACTCTGTTAGATATTAAACATAGTGGCACACAGACCCTAACCCTAACCCAAGTCCTACACAACCTTATTTAGACTGAATATAATATATAATTGAACTGAGCCTAAGTCAGGTCTCAGATTGGGTTTTTGTTACAAAGCACAGAGAGGACCCATCAAAACCTCTCATCACAACTTTCACCCCAAATCCTCTCTGAATGGAAAATGTGGGACATGAAGAGAAAGAAAGCCTAAAAAGCCCCAAAGTCTGCCACCTGCAGTGCTCTCAATTCAGTTATACATTTTTGCAGGCCTGAGCAAAATAAATGCTAAAATAAAAAAGATTGGCTGAGGATTATTTATGATACTGTACAGGGAGTTCAAATGTAATGTAATGGATCTGGCACATCCAGTTATAAAAGCCATACTAAAAAGCTGAGAGTAATCGCAAAAGAAATAGAAATGATGAACTGTCCCTAAAAGTGACCACTCTTCCAGGTTCTCATTCCTAGTGATGGCATGTTGACTAATAGAGCCAGAAAAATACAGACCATCGACCCACAAACATGTGCATTCACCTACACACAGACACACAACAAATGTGAGTTCAAACACACACACTAATGCTCTCTCACATACTCACAAACGGGGACATGTTCATTGATCTAGAAGTGATTCTAAGCTAAAACAACTACAAAGAACTGAAAAGCACAACCGTGCCCTGACAGGTGTGTACGTGTGTATATGCATGACGTTAATATCCATGTCTATACCTCTGTTTGTCTACACATTTGTGTGTGTGTATCTGCCTTTTTTGGACATGTGTGTGTATGGCACAAGCACAAATTGTGTATGTACGTGTCTCAGTCTGTGTGCTCCCCTTTACGTCCCTCTAGGTGTGCGAGCTGTGTGTGGGCTCCGATGTTCTCAGTGTGTGTGCATGCTTCAGGGCTGTACCAGTTCAGGTCACTGACTCTTGTTATTTGATGTTGAAGTTTTGGTGGAAACGGTGTATCGTGAGTGTGTCTGTCCGTGGGTTTTATGTGCATTGTGGTTTACCTATCTACATGTGTGTCTAGATGTGTGTCTATATAGTGTCTGTCTATCTATCTATCTATCTATCTATCTATCTATCTATCTATCTATCTATCTATCTATTAATCTATCTATCTATCTATCTATCTATATATCTATCTATCTATTGATCTTTCTATCTATGTTAAAAGCTTTGACTTACTCTTGTATTCTAGGTGAAAACCAGCTGCCACCACACTGATGTCACTCTGAAAGTGCAGAAGGAGCTGATTGGACGTTGAATTGAGGAGAGCGGGAGCAGTTGTTCCTGTGAAACACAAAGACAAACATAAATGACAGAATATGAAATAAGAACAGCAAAGTTTGGTAACACAACACAGGGAAAAAATAAGGAAAATTACATTTTAAAATATTGTAATGCTTTGAATCAAGACTTTGACTGGTTTGAGTATTGTTTGAAGCTTGTAAATGATGTGTGGAGAGGGTGAGCGACCCCTCGCCCTCTACGGACAGCTAGCATTTTAGTGTCCTTATGTGAAGCAACCCTCATCTGCCCCGGTGAAGCAGCTCAGAGGCCGACCGCAGATCATTGTGGTTATAGTGGGCAGCTCCCTAGTGTGCTTCCTTGAGAAGGGCACAGTCATTTGTGAGTGTGTGTGTGTGTGTTGCCCTATGGGCGGCATGCTTAATGTGTGATAGGTGTGTGACAGGTATGTGCTCGGGGCAGGTCACAGGGGAAACTCCTTTGGGAAATTGTAAAAGGTTAGATCATTCTTTATCCCTTGCTGTCTTCTTCCTCTCCCCTTTTCTCTTCGATCCTTCACTCAACCTTGTGCTAAAACTCTTTCCCTCCCTCCCTATTTCTTGTCCTTCTTTTACTGCCAGAATGTCTGACAAATTATAAGTATTTTTTAATGTTTGTTATTTATTAAAGATATATATCATGTTTTTTGGTATTAGAAATCATCCATCATAAATCTCTGGTTTGTGCTGTTTGTGTGTGTATCTATAGTTTAAGACCTGTCATGTGTAATTCATCATAGATCTTGTGTGGGTATCTCTGTCAATCTATGTGTGTGTGTTTGTGTATCTATAGTTTAGGAGCTGTCATATCTCATCCATCATAGATCTCTGGAGTATTTGTGTGCATGGGTGTTTGTGAGTTTGTGTGTATGTGAGCATATTGTCATACCAGAAAATGACCCTAATTTAGGAGCTGTCATGTCTCCTCCATCGTAAATCTCCAGAGAATCCCAGTTGTGCTCAGTAGCAAACGTAACCACTTGGATCTATATCGAACAATGAAAAAGAAATGGACTTAACAACCTTAGCTCATGCACATCTCACATAGATGTTTTAATAGTTTATTTATAAGTGTATTCATATGTGTACCTGTATGCCGGCCCCTTCACTGACATGGATCCTCCACAGACAGTTGAGGCTGTTTGGGTAAGGTTCAGGATAGGCAGGAGAAAGGATTGTACCGCGACGTTCAGTCAAATTGCCACTGCAGGGAACTAGAATGGAGACATGAAATATGAATTCCTTGGCAAAGTGTATTAACTAAATAGCTAAAAGATAGGACAGGTTGTAAGAACAATTGCTCTGCATACCCTGAAACAATGTGGTGATCAAAATGACCACAACAGGGAGCCAGAGAGAGAAAATATGATAAACATTGTTTATGGTTTAATCTAAGGTGACAGTTGAAGCTGTTTGCAACAGGCCTCTACTCAGCAGAGAGGAATTTCCTGCAGGCCTACATTTAGTTTGTTGGAATGAATGTCACCCTAACCCTAATAGCACTGGATGATACATAGACAGGACGGATTTCATACTGTATATGATGGGCAAACATTTCAGTGCTGGTTAGCCTCACCTATACAGGATGGTGTTGTTGAATTCCACTGAGCGAGGGCACCTGGCACGGCCTGACACCAGATAGCACTGGATCCTTTCAGAAGATACCCTGGACTGCACTCAAAGCGAACCACAGAGCCGGCGGAGAACTCTGATCCGATCCGCCTGCCGTACCGAGGCTCTGGCACCGAACTGCACTGACTTTCACTGGTGCGAGGCACGGCTGCAATGAGGATGGTAATTCAACAATTTGAGAGGAAGAAAGAGGGTAAAATAGAAATGTAAAGTTAATGTGTCCATTTCCCTATGGACACTTACATGTTGAACTTGAAGTAAATGAAACGTGTTGTGTGTCTGTTGAATGCAAGTGAGAGAAAGAGAGATAGAGAGACACACAGAGTGAGAAATACCTTGGTAGACGAAGTGAAAGCCTCTAGCAGACTGGCCACTCTTCGCATTGAACCGCAGCATGATCTGATTGGAAGTTGCCAATGGCAATGTTTCTCCTAGAAGGAACAATTACATACACATGAAGATCTCAAAATGAATGTCAATAATAATAAAAAAATTACTTTATCTCATGAAAATACAAAGCAATTGCTTTACTTTTCCTTTACTTTTTTTACATTGCATACAATTTATCACCAGAATTTCACAAAATACAGTTTTTTATGAACACAATATACCCACAGACACTCATAAGCATACATTTAAATGTTCTGCTTTGCATTCAGGCAGAAGCTTCTCCCTTATTTTCCCTGTGTGGTAAATGTGGCCCCTACAAAAATGCCAAACACACACACACAAACCAACTAACAGGCTCATACTCAGATATTTATATGCACACACATACGAAGTAACAGTGATAAATGAGAAAAACATGGTCTAGCGTGGCTGACATTTAGAACTGTCATTAGCTGAGTCGGGATGTGTGTGTGTATGTGTACATTTGGTATACGTGTATGTGTGTTAATATGTTTGTGTGTCAGGATAATCAGTCAGTAAGCTGGAACAATGTGCTACGAAGCTTTTTGCTGCTGTTTGCCTCTGTATGTGTGTGTGTGTGTGTGTGTGTGTGTGATAGGGTAATGATGCAGCTAACATTATTTTGTAAAGCCTGGTGTGTTTCATTCTTTGCTGCCAGTTTGGCCAAAAGGGGAATTTCCAACTCAAATTAACTTGAAAGAATAAGCCACCCATTCTACATTACATAAACTGGCCTCTTCCCTTTGAACTAACTTAGATGGATAGTAGCTGGAAAGAAAGAAATTGCATATTGTGCAGCAACATTTAGCCAAATAAAAACTGTCACATCCTTCTAGTTAAAATGATATTGAGTCAAGCTCTCTGATCTACTAAATAAGGGGACAAAGAGCACAGTAAAGCAGAAATGTAAACCTCGGAGCACACGTGCAGAGAAAGGCTCTAGGCAGCTATCATATCTATCTTCATATGTTTGTGATTTCTCTAATTCTATTCAGATTTGTATCAAACTCTACCAACCTTTTTGGCAGTTGCAGTCATTTAATTTAATTATTGTCATTATAGCACACAAATGAATACATATTATAAAGGGAATATTTTGAAAGCCTGTATTCTTTAGAAAAAACTAACAGTCAATTCCAGTGGGATTCCCCTGCAGCGTGCCCTCTGCTCATGACAGGTAACAGAAGAACACGCAACTCTGAGGCAATGAGAGCACATTTAGCCAACATCTTATCAATATTTCTTCATATTTCAATTTGATACTATGTCACCTATATAGATATTGCCTCATCTCTGAATCTGTGCAGAGTGTCTTACTGTGGAGTGACTTAAAAAGCTGGGATGACTCAAACTTGGAGGATAAGGAAACCCAGGGAGGATTGTGTTCAGGAGTATAAGCACTACTTCCTCGGGTGTTTCTCAATGTCGAGGACGCTTCCTTGGTAGGACATGTCTTCCGAGTCACTTCCTTCAGAAGCGAGGCAAGAATCCTTCCTAGCCTCGGAAAACGAAGAATTGTGGAACAGGCTAACAGGTGTGCAGGTGTGCGTCATATGCGAGGCCCCGCCTTAAATGGAGTGCGATTTCCACCAAAGATTTGGAAATTGGTCCGTGCGCAAAGCATTGTGGGGATTTTAAGACCGCGGAGGATACACATGTGCAGCCTCGAAATGTCTCGCTATGAAGGACACCGGGCTCGGTAGAATTCCAAGTATGCTGGACATTGGAACAGTCCTTCAGCGGGACTCGATGACGTAGCATCCTTGAAATAGTGGCTCTGGAGCATCCTTCCTTGACATTGAGAAACACCCATGGTGTAAGGCCCCAGTGAGGCGCTTTCCACTGCTGATTTCTTCTTGTAAAGATAACCCATAATGGATTTTCACCAAATACATCACTGTCAAATAAATTGTGATAACGACCACTGGTGATGTGTTCTACAGCCCCCAAGAGCCGCTTTCGTACAGACTATTTCATTATTTTTCTCTTTCAAAGGTGTATTAAACAGAACAAAAAAAGATCAAACTTTAAAACATTACGACTGAATGGCAGCTTTTTAAACATCTAAAATTATGCCAACCCAAAATAAGTGAGTTTATTTTATGGGAGTGTGACTCACCTGAATGTGACCCAGCCAGGGAGCTGAGCAATCGAGAATTCTCATCGGCTCCATCAAACAGCTCCACAGAGTCATTCATCGCTGTCTGGAAAACAGCAAACTGACCGAACACCACTGAAGAAGATGGACAGCCAAGAGACGAAAAAGTTATAAATTGGCTTTTATGGTGGTGATAAAATTACAATTGGGAGAATGTATAGTACGATCACTTACCAAACTGTGTGGAGACAGTGATGTAGTAGGAGCATGTCTGTCTGGTAGTGTAGTTTAGGGGATAGTTTGGAGACAAAACGACCCCTTCAGATCCATCGTACTGTCCTCCGCATGGAGCTAAAGAAAGATGGATCAAGGGAATTTCAGTATTTTTCTTTTCTTGAACTAAAGCTGTGTTTAAGGTAAGTTGTATGTGTTTGGTACAGTACATATTTTCCAATAAGAGCCTTTTGCAACGTCAGACACTGGAAGGACAGCCTCTTTTCTTTACTATATGTATATGCATATAGAGAATGTTTTTGTAAATGGCAGGATGATATCAGTGCTCTCACACGATCTGCAAAGGGCAAGGTGTGGGAAATGATTTACCTTTAAAGAGTTCAACTTTGTGCAGATGTATTAAAATAATGTTGCAATGGGACGAGTGAGAATTTAATGAGCGTACAATATTTTCTATAGAAATCTCACCAGATAAATCGTATACACATAACATAAAGACGTGCAGGAGAGCTGCAATGAATCTCTTCAAAAAATAAAAATTAGCTTTGGAGAAATAAAGAGAGAGCAGAAAATTGACACAGTATCTGAAAATTCAATAACACCAAACAAAGAGGGCACTCTGAGTTATGGCCCCGTGGTCATTCAATTTCAACTTGAACTGATGTTCACTGAGTTACTAATGCACTTTGGTGATTGCACTTGTTTTGACAATAACAAATGAGCATTCGGCTGCAGTTACCTGGGATTCTAAGAAGCAGCAGCTGCATTATTTAAGAGATGGCTCAATACAGAAAAAAGGACAGCATAAGGTTAATGTCGAAACCAATACAATATTAAATTGCGTCCTTTTCCTTTCCTCATATCTACTAAAACCAAGTCATAAATATTCAGTTGTGACATGGTGTTAGTCATATCCATGGCAACGATTGAGGAAATCCTGTCTCATACGGTACCTTATCATCCAAACAGAACGACAGCCTTACAATCATGAAGGTCAGCATTTCAGGAACATAAGGGTCCACAACTGTTGAAAATGCCTAATTTTGCAAAGTATGTCATTGATGTTTTGGTAAATCTTTGTGAAAAATGTATTTCGGGTAGCTGAAGATTTACATATTTGCAAAAAAGTGTATTTGTATCCAAATGATACCAAAACCACTACACACGCACCACCTGCTCCAATGACAATTCCTAATAACTATATACATTTAAAAAATCCTTCGGTAAGTAAGATGACACTTTACTGAATGATAGGCACAGTATGTCATTTCAATGTTGTTTTAAGAACATATACTGTAGTAATAAGACTTTAAGTAACAGAGAGACACACAGACTTAGATTTATTAAAGGTCCCATGACATGGCCATTTCTACTGATCATAATTCCATTGTAGAGGTCTACTAGAATAGATGTATATTGTGCAATTTTCCAAACTCACATTGGTTTCTCATACAGCATCTCTGTACAGTATGTGTATTCACTCTCTGTCCTAAACGCCTTGTTGGAGCTCCTGCCCCCCCCCCCCTCCCTGTGAGCCCAGTGTGCTCTGATTGGTCAGCTCGCCCACTCTGTTCTGATGAGTCCACCACCGTTACAGCGGAACATCAGTGATTATGTGTTACAATGGCGTTTGTTAGCAACCAGAAAATGACACCAGTCATGACAAACAGATGAGAATGCTGCGTGGGGTCTGGGTGCCGTGTTGGCGGGACGTTGCAGGGCTCGCAAGGTGTTGTTTCCTGGTTGCTGCGTGGGGTCTGCGGGACACGGCGAGGCCCGGCCCGAGTTCGGCCGGAGCACACACACACACCCGCAGCCTGGCTGTGGGTCTCTGTGTGTGTACTTTGAGGGTTTGTCACTTTGCAGACCGTTTACATGCATAAAAAGCTGCATAACACACAAGGGGACGGGTAATAACCAGAAAAGCATGACATGGGACCTTTAAATATATGTTGCAGGTTACAATGTCTAAACAACAAAGTAACAATAATTTTGATCTACCCTGTACTGTAGTTACGGTAAAACTATGGTAATATAGGAACAACACTTCTGGCTGCCCAAACTGTTTCATCCCCTTTGTTCCCCTCAGCATTCAGAGAAATGATGTTGAAGTGAAGCATTCACATTTTATTCATGTGCCTCTTCCTATTTTTTTCCCTTCTCCTGGGAGCACTGCCCATTGCACTCAAAGCTGGCGAGTGTATCACTACTCTAATCTGTTATTCTGTTAAAAAATGGGATGTATTTGGATCAAAAGTTGTTTAGTTTAGCAGATATGTGTCCCCAAATATCACTTGGACCCTTGTGACTCCAAGGCTTTGTTATATAACGTGTTTTTGTTCTGTGTGTGTATGTGTGAACCAAATATCTAGCTGTGTTTTTAAATAGACTTCAGTTGAAACCTTATCATTTATTACATGAAATTATTGGAAAATATATATTTGTATCTTAAGTGATGCCTTTCATTGATTGACGGTAGATTGTGGATGGCTTAGAAATGGCACAATAGAGCAGTAGCTGATAGTAACTTAAAGGTCCCCTATTATACTGCTTTTCATCAATATATTACAGGTCTCAGATATATACAAAACATGTCTCTGAAGTGTTTGGCTCAAAATACAGAACAGATCATGCATTGCAGCATCCCATAATCTCCTCTGTTTCAAAAGTGCTGATTCTCTGTCTGTTACTTTAGATGAAAATAAGGAGTCACTCCCCACGCCCCTCTGAGAGATATTTGGTTAAAAAGAAAAGAACACAAAAAGGAGATTCAGGTGATAAGGTGCGGGGGGGTTACCTTGGTTGGTGATTGGCTAATGGTTACACAATCCAAAAAAATCGTTATGACATCATAAAGTGGCCAAAATCTGATCAGCTCATTTTTAGACAGGTTTTTATATAGAACAAAAAGTGAGCCAATGTCTTTTCCTGAAACTTTCAGAATCTCTTTACACAGAGGGGACACATGTTTATGTATAAGAGACATGAAAAAGTGGATTTTGCATAATAGGTGACCTTTAAAGGGGACCTATCATGCAAAATGCACTTTTTTGCACTTTTTGATGTCTTTTATACATAAACATGTGTCCCTGGTGTCAGGGAACTCAAAAAGCGTCAGAAAATAAAACCCTCTCTCTTTTCCTCCGTGCGCAAATCTCTGAAAAACGGGGCTACAACGAGCTGATCTAGATTTGCCATCCGATATGACGTTATTTACGTCATATCGGATGGCACCCAACTGGTGGACCCACGGCCCTATCAGAAAGTTGCTATCAGAATCAATGCCCGACGTGTTTTGGACGTAATATATTAGCAAGCATCGCTAACACTCAGAGCTAACCAGTACTGGAGAGAGCACATGTGTGAAGAAGCAGGAAATACAAAGGATCTCCCCTTGTGGTAAACCAGCAAGAGAGAAAGCCTTTGAGCTCCATAATGTTTCAGAAATAATCCTTGATGTGGTTTTGGCGTTTCATCACCGCAGCATTTATTTTAGACAGTATCTGTCGGGTCCCGCATGAGCAGGCATAAGCTCTGCCCCTTATTTTTTTTTTTTAAAAAGCTTTATACCCCGAATGAGCACTTTAGTAACAGGAAGTGAAATAGAGGGATATGAGGCATGGCTAGAATGGGTGATCTGTTTGGTATTTTGAGCAAAACACTTCATAGACATGTTTTTTATAATTTGTTATATATCTGAGACCTATGCTATTGACTAAATATTGCATGATAGGTGACCTTTAATATAACAAAAATTTAAAAACATCAATGAAAACCACAACCGTAGTGACATGATTCTTATTCCTTCCACTCAACAAAAACCCAGCAGGATAAAACACTTTAGTGAATGAATGTATGTGATGCCGAGCCCATGCACAGTGTGGGATCTCCTGTATCAGCATACTGCAATTTCTAAAAGCCTATTAATCCCTACTACCATTTCATGACCTACAAACCAAACTTAACACGCGCTTGATCCATCTTCAGCACCACCAAGAGAGTAAAAATCCTTGCAGGTGGGCGTGTGCAGGTCAGGCCGGCAGAGGTCCATTAAATTAGTGTAAGTGTCTGTGAGTGTGTGTGTGTGTGTGTGGGGGGGGTGTGTGTGTGTGTGTGTGTGTGTGTATGTTTGGACAACAGCAGCAAATAGCACATCTGTCAACGTCATCCCCCAAACACACACTCCCATTGTGTACTCTTATCTCACCTCTTCTTGCCTCTTCACTTTTTTTCTTGTTGCGGTTGCTAGTGTGCGTACCGCTGGGGCGCGGTGCCATGTCCACCCTCGTACACGCTGTGATCCCTAACAGACTTTAATTATCATCACCTCTGTGCTCAGTGAAAATGTGAGAGCACAAGGGGGCGGAGGTTAAAGTGTTGTATAAAAAAGGGACAGCACTCTGTAAATGAATATGTTGCCTAGGTCTTATAGGCCTGCCTGTGGCCATTAACATGTACGGATTTGATTTTACATGTATTGTCTTGTAAAAAGTAATAAAAGCCTTAATGTTATTAACAATGTTTGATAAAAATCACCCTTTTAAAACAACTTGCTGAGGGACATAGGTCGACTGAGCATGTTAAAAATGTTCCAGCTCCTTCAGCTCTTTTCTTTTGGATGATTTTGAACACCCACTTGAGGGTTATTCCCTCAAGCCTCCAGCATTTCAGTGGAAACTGTGCATTAAGGGCTCAAAATTCCACTGGAGAGCCCTGAAGCACTTTCCGATTTCACAGTGGGACAGCCTGAGCCCTTGTGGACTTATCAGGAACACATGTCAAAGCCTATGAGACAGTGAGTGTGGACACTGAGACGTGGCCTGTACTCTCGTCTGAGACTTGGCTCAGTAATACAGATTTGCATGCCTAGAATAAAAAATACAGCTTGGTTTGGTATCTACTCCTTTGCTAGAGATGTGTTGTACTCCAACCAACTCCTCCGCCGCTTTCCCACTCCAACTCTTTCTACTTCTTCTTGTTTCCTAAAGCATCAAACTAATCACCTTCTTTTTTTCCTCTCTTTCTGTTCCCGCGCAATGGTATCGATTGATATTTTTTAGGATTGATTCTTGTTGTGTTGCAGCATTCACACCCTCAGGTCTAGAGGTCTTGTCTTGATCTACCCACATTCCCCCACTAGTGCTGCTCTAGGCTCAGGTGTCAGCCTTATCAAAAGCCTTCACACATATGAGCTTTGATCACTCACACCCTCTGACACACACACACAAATAAATGCAAAAAAATGCCATGCAAGTCACTCTCTTTCTCTCACACATTCCTGCACTTTGATCATCCACACACATCCACCTGAACTCACACGTACACTTTTGTAGTCCTACCTCTCACAGTCTGTATCTCATTTTCCTTTTTCCTCTCTGCACGCACACACACACACACACACACACACACACACACACACACACACACACACACACACACACACACACACACACACACACACACACCACACACACACACACACACACACACACACACACACACACACACACACACACACACACACACACACACACACCACACACACACACACACACCACACACACACACACACACACACACACACACACACACACACACACACACACACACACACACACACACACACACACACACACACACAGCAATGCTTTTGGAGGGGTCGTGAGAGAACAGGAACATATTTTAAAAAATGTCCTAAACCTTTAAGAAGAGTTGCAATTCTTCTGGAGTCTTTTTCAGCACAATAAACAGAACAGTTATAGTGACTTACAGAGAGTAGATAAAAAGCAGTTTTAAACATTTTTTAAAAACATTTTTAACATTTTCAACATCGTGGATAATCCAACGTCTGGAATGCTTTTGGTGTCATCCTAGATGGAGAAAATAACCAACATCCCACGCTTTTTGAGCCAAATACGCAACTGCGTGTGTTAATAATTGCATGGGGGTTCGGGTCGGTTTGCGGATCTTGTGCCGACGGGTCGGGTCTGTTTGCGGAACTAATTGGCAATATGTGCGGGTGGCGGGGCGGGTTCGGTATTGCACGTCGTGGGTACAGGGCGGGAGTGGGTCTTGAAAATCAGACGGGATGGGGATGCAATGTAGACAGGAATAAACGCAGATCATCCTCTGGCTGCAGCCTTGACCGGTACTTGCTTTTGATCAACGTCAATGCGGAAAACCCGCACTCACACAGGAAGGTGGAGGTGAAGGGAATGAGCACTTTTACAGCCTTTTTGGCGAGTTGGGGGAACTCGGTCTCCACAGTCCACAGACAGCCAAAAGTGTGCAAGTGACACTTTACTAATCTTTTTCTCGTTATTTTTTTCTCCCGCTGCGCCTCCCCTAAAGCTCTCTGAAAACCGCTGGTCTAAATCCTCTAAATGGGGCCACAATTTACCAAACTTGTTCATGTACAGTATCATATGCCAACAACAATCTATGTGATAATGTATACAGCACAAAATAAATTGTGTCCAGTTGTGTCTTTCTAATATTTAAACATATAGTATATTTTTTTACTTTGACCATTCAAGTGTGTTTGCATTATTAACCGTGAGAGGTATTCTACACTTTGGGATTAGTGTGCATTTGTGTGTGAATACTTCCTCTAGGTGGCACTCTGTAATAGCTGCCTCTCTCTCTCGCTCTGTACCTCTCTGTCTCTCACACACACACACGCACGCAAACACACACACACACACACACACACACACACACACACACACACACACACACACACACACACACACACACACACACACACACACACACACACACACACACACACACACACACACACACACACACCACACACACACACACACACACACACACACACACACACACACACACACACACACACACACACACACACACACACACACACACACACACCCTATCAACAGTCACGGAGAATTCCTTCTTACTCGCACCAGCTCTTAGTTACCATGGAAACCAATAAAAGAGCGGTTTAAGATGGGATGTGTGTGTGTTTGTGCGTGTGTGTGTGTGTGTGTGTGAGAGAGAGAAACAGAGAGAGAGTAAATCAGACAGAGTCAGAGGACGTAAGAGCATGCTAGAATAAGGGAGAGAGAGGATAAAATAACAGGAAGTGAGAAATAGTTACAGAGAAAAGGAAACGGAAGAAGGTGAAAGAGGAAAGTGTGAGGGCATCAAAAGAGGAGAAGAGAGGAGACAGAGGGAGTGTAAGTGGGGATGTATTATTTAAAGAGGTCTCACCCCATCTAATGAGTTTGGTCTAAAAGCCCCAGGAGCTGCCCAAAGAAAGAGAGAGAGACAGGCAGACAGACACACTTCTAACTATGTGGTGAGAAAATCCAATGTGCAATATGAACAGAGAGCAAGATGACTGTGAAGGACTGGATTTAGTTAAATTGTTATGCTTTGATTATGTGACTGTCCTTAAGTGTAGAGTGTGACTGCTATCTCTGCAGATCCATCTATGAATCTGGGACACAGCAAGGGTCTCGACCAGGAACCAAATCCAAGTCTGTCTCACTGTGAGAAAACGACAAATAACTCCATTGAAGAATACAGGGTCAGGCAAGAGCTTCTAAAACACAGTCCCAAAGAAAAATGTGGATAAAACAATGGTTTCTGTACTATATAAATGTACAATAATATAATACATATTTGTTAAGTCTTGAGTTGGTATAGTTGCCAATATGATACTCTGTCTCTGTTCTCAGATAGGACAAACACAGTGTTATAAGGTCATTCTTCCAGCGTAATGATCTGTGAAGCAACACTAAAAGCTGCAGAGTATACATTTTAACAACAGTAACAAGCTGACAGAAACACACCTTATACTATCATTATGTCAAAATCAATTCCAGTAAAAGAACATTAATCAATTCTAGCTGAAGTTTCGAGTAGTTTCAAATCCTTTTTTTTGATAGAGGACCATTAGGTGTTGTTCCATTTATAGCCATCAAATGTGTATGAAATATCGATACTTGGCTTCTGTTCACAAATACATTATTGTGGATAAAGGCATCTAAATATTACACCGAATCAATTTCAGCTCCACTTTATGTGCTAATGAATACAAGTTCTTTATGTTGCCACCAAGAAGTTCTGGTCATGTTCCCGAACACTGGAATAGCTTTTGTTTAGCACATCGCAGAAGGGGAGCAGGTTACGTATTCACTGATCAAGTACCCGACCAAATAACTAACTAACTGTTTGTGTAGTTAAATTATGTGCTGAATTACCAACTATCTGATGGCCAGCTTGCTAGTTGGTTAAATCGAAAGACTGCCATATTACTTTAAATTCATGAAATCTAAGTGTAAAACTAAAATGTAGGAATTGAACTTCCTGTCAATTTTGTCATTTTCCTGTTATTTATCTAATTGTTGGGTTCGAGACCACAGCTGGACAAAGATGTTATATAGTTTAGTAACTGTAACACATATACAGTTGATAAGTGGCAGTATCATCTTGAAATAAACTGAAAGAAAGTGAACATAACATTAAATGACATGAGAAGTTGTTTTGCTTGGTTGCTGTGCTCAAATAGCTACTCTGGATACAATAAACTCATCTTTATTCTCTACAAAAACCTATACAGTAATCCCACTTTATATTGTCCCACAGACATTATTAAACACAGCTTCATATGAGCTTTTCTAAGTGTTTGAAGCATAAGTACTGTAAGTCTGTACTGTGTGTGTGTGTGTGTGTGTGTGTGTGTGTGTGTGTGTGTGTGTGTGTGTGTGTGTGTGTGTGTGTGCATATATGTGTTTGTGCTCATTTAAAATGCTTTCCTTGTCCTGCCACCTCGCTCTGCGGCTTATTTGAATATTTACCTTTGGCACCAGGCCAGGTCTGTCACTGCGAGACAAACACACACACACACACACACACACCCATATCACAAATACACTTGAATGGCAGTTTGGCAGGTGTCACTTCCTTGGCTCTCTGAGCTGTCAATCAATTAGACAGGTCAGCCCTCCAATCCCTGACAGACTCTCAGTCTGTCTCTGAAGTTCTCACACACACACACACACACACACACACACGCACACACACACACACACACACACACACACACACACACACACACACACACACACACACACACACACACACACACACACACACACACACACACACACACACACACACACACACACACACACACACACACACACACACACACACACACACACACACACACACACACACACACACACACACACACACACACACACACACACACACACACACACACACACACACACACACACACACACACACAGCAGTTCTTGGCCCAACCTCACATCATAGCAAGTACTTAAAAATATAAGCATCTTAAAGGTGGCACAACAGTTATATTGGCATTTATGAGATTGTCCTATTGAACCGTGAAAGCTGGCCATTGAGTGTTTGTGCACGCAGATTGTTTTTTTTAAACAATTTATCATAAGCGATATTTCCCCCCATGACATTTTCATCATCATGGTGTTTGTAAAGCTGCAGTTATTGTATGTCTCTCCTACCTTTACATGTTGGCAGTGCCCTGTCCCACGCAGGCTTCCCATCATTCCCCATGACACAGGTGATGCTTTCCCCGCCCATTGTTGTGTAGCCATGGTGACAGTTGTAGGAGACCTGAGATCCCAGTTTATAGTCATATCCGGTCCGACTGCCGTTCATAATGTTACCAGGGTCAAAACAGGCCTCTCTTGGTTTTTCTGTGGAGAATGGGGAGTAAAAGTTAGTGTTATCGAAAAAGGACAAGGACCAACTATTTTGAATATCACTAAACTACTAATGTTTGGATTTTTTCATAATATTTGTATCGGTAAATTCATGAGATCTCTTATCAGCACCTGGCAATGTATCAGTTTCCCATGCGGTGAGGGAAAGGGCTCAGTAACAGGCATAGTTTCTATCCAATTGATGGCAAATGAATGCTTTTTCGTTACAATTTGAATAAACTAGTGCATTTCCTGTTTCAAATATGCTTCAGTATTTCTGTTTGCAGATTTCTTGAGAAACGCTAATCCAGACAACGTCACACTAAACACTTCCTTGGGTTCTGAGCAATACACCTGCCGTGACAGGGTCACATCTAGAAATGCTGGAGTTCACCTATCATTTGGGTGCAATACATCACAAGAATCACAAGACAGCAAACTGTTCCCAGAATGCCATTCAGCAGTGTAACAGTTAATAGGGGTCCCCTCTTTGTACCCTACATAACACATTACTAATACATATGACCCATTGATCTTTAGAGCACACTTGCCAAGTGCACACATATAAACAGACATGCATTTGAGTTAATTATTAACTCTAAATTGTGCCTAAAATGTCAATGCAGCTCAATAAAGGACATTTTCAGCTTCCATCAGGGGTCAAAACTATTGGAGGGACTTGACAGGCTGCTATTTGTAGACTAATATAGATCATATAGAATATTTGCTTTTATATCATCTCCCCCTTGGGAGAGGAAGGAACAAATAAGGGTAATTGTGGAGTCAAGACAACTCAAAACTGTCTTGGCTATTTATGACTTGGTACTGGGCCAGCTTGTTTGCTTTACTGTGATCGCCCAATAACAGTGAGATATTGGGCCTGACAGAGGAAAACCGCCAGACAGAGAGAGATGGAGGGCGAGATGGAAGTGAAACAGGGAGATGATTAAGGTTGTATTTTAATTAGAGAGATGGCAGAAGAAAGGTAGTGAATTAATGACAAAAGTACAGAGGTGTGAGGCAGCGTGAGGAGACAGACAACAGAGAAGGAGATAATCTTTTTTTAATTAGAGATAAATGGAGTGAGAGAAACACGAGGAAAAATACTTCATAAAATTTGACAGAGCAGATCTAGTCTCTAGTCAGTCAAACAACTAATCATCAGCTCCGCATTGTCTGTGGCTGTTAAATCACCCCCAGTCAAGCAACATCTGTAAAACCAGTATGAGTCACAATCTGTGAAAGTAAGAAAGTCATGGGCTGACATGGAATAGCAGCCGTTTCAACTGGAAAACTCTTCTAATAAACAGAAAGGGAGAAATGACTTGAGTAAGATATAATCCAGTCTACAGAACACTCCTGTATCAAATGTTTTATACTCAACATCAATGTCAATCCAAATATTTATCAAATACAGGGGCAGGTTTAGGATTAAAATGTAGAGTGAGAGCATTTCACATTGACTTTGCGTCGGCAATCTGTGTGTGTTGAACTAATTTACTCAGACAGGAGCTCATTACACAGTCAGCTCCTGAGCTGAACCTAGGACTGCCCTCTACGACACACTCTGCAAGTGAAGTACAACTCATCGGCAGTTCAGCAGTGGGATGTATATAGATGCAGAAATGCAGCAACTCACTTACTGTAAATGCCATAACATTTACTTAAAAGCAAAGTTCAGTTGCCGTCTGTGGTGATTTAAAAGTTCAATGATGGTGAAGTGAGATAATGTAAGTTTGATAAATGGGAAGCAACAACCTTTAACCACTTTAAGTTTAAATTACACTTATCAGATCTTGTGTTCATTATTAATTATCACATTTTTCTAATAATCGATGTTTTAGTTTAAAAAAAGCCAATATTTAATTGCATACTCCTGCATCAATCACAAGCAAACTGAGACTCTAGCCAGATGTATCTGTCGACACATTCAGCACATGTTTGGGCTCTATCTGCCCTATACAAAATCATAGTCTGCCCTATACAATATTAAAAGTATAAATGTAATACAGCACTGATTTCTCCTGCAATCCATCACATATAATAATCACAGCTACAGTAGTTACTGGCCTATTTTTGTAGCTTTGAACTTAATCAGGCCCAGAATCGAGTGCCAATTTATTACTTTTGCTGCGACGAAAACTGTCACCTATTATTACTAAGACTACATATACTGGGCTTTTACTAATGCAGCTTCCCTAATACTGCTATACTATAATACTAATACTACTTCTACTACTTCTGTTTCTAATAATACTGCAGTTAAAGTTCTACTACCACTGTGATGAGTACTACTTTAACTGTGAATTATCGTTCTACTTCTTGCTTTACGTGTACTACCACAACTAACAATTGTCTGCAAATTAGACTGCTTTGAAACATTTCCTAAGAACAATTTCAAGAGGAAAAATAAACAAGGACTTTGTATTAAAAGCACAGTTTTTTTTGGGGTGTAATTACCTCTGAATTCGATGGCGAACCCAGACATGCCCAGTGAGGCGTCCGATCTGAACGCCAGGAAGAGACTGTTACTGCTGCTCTCTATTCGCTCTGGGGCCTGGTTGCCTTGGAGACTTGCTAGTAACGGCCCATTAGAGTCTTCACCCTCGTAGATGTGCAGGAAGTCGTAACTTGGCTCCATGTTGAAACTGGGGTAGAAAACAAAAAGAAACTTGGGGTTAAGAATCCAGCAAGAGTGTCTGCATAGTTTGTTTGTGCTCGTTTTTCAAATTCTCTAATCAAATGATGTATGTTGTATTCAAACGGTTGTATAATTCATCTAATGACTGCCAATTAGTGTGTGCTATCACTCTTCTAATGGTCTGTTATCTCACCTTCATTTTGACATGTTTACTGGGTTTTTTATTAAGTGGATTACAAATGTAAACTTTAAATATTTATTGTTGGTTTTCTCTTGAATAATTGAATACGGCAATATATTGTCAAAAATAATTTAACTTCATAGATATTTAACAAACATAACAATGGTGTGTGTGCTGCTGCAGAGCCGTCGTGCTGCATCATATGAATATTATATTGGAGAAACTGTTGTCTCACTGTGAAAGTGTTTGTCAAGATCTATTTTGATTTATATCCTCATTATGTACATGCATGTGTTTGTTTGGCACAACATATTATATGTAACCTGCAGCCCAACCCTACAGTAGCTCCTAAAGCATATTTCTTGGTAAAAGTTTTTCTGGTTTTCACTTCGACAGCTTTTCCTCTTCTCTCCATACATAGGTGAAGACATGTAGTCCTCGTAAGGGTAAAAGTCCAACAACAAACACACACACAAGGTCTTAGTGTATGTTACGTTAGCACAGTCTCGTATCTGTCAAAAATGTGTCTGTAAGTGTACAGACTAACAAATATATATATATATATTAATAAACCTCCCTCTATGGTTTCTTGAGTGTGTATGAGCTCGGCCTACTACCTGTCTGGTACAACTACACCTTACACCTTAGTGTTGTGGAAGTCAAGGGACTTAACTGTGTGTGTGTGCGTGTGCGTGTGTGTGTGCGTGTGCGTGTGCGTGTGCGTGTGTGTGTCAGAGCAAAGGTAGATAAGAGAAGGAGGTGATGAAACATTTCCACATTTCATCAATCCTGGCTATCTTACACTGGCTTTTAGGTTTGATTTGAAGATAATAGTGATTACTTACAAAGCCCTGAGAGGCCTTGCCCCATGTAATGTATCGGATCTTTTATTGCCCTATGTCCTTTGTCGCACCCTGAGGTCGTCTGATGCGTCCTTCTTTGTTGTTTTTAGGTTCAGATTCATACTCTACAGTAGACTCTGAAAATGACCAGCCTGAGGTGATCATGGCTGTAAACTTTGTCGGATCGTTTACATCACTTTCAAACCCTAGTATTTTAGAATTGATTTTTAGTTATTTATTTATGTTTAGGGAACTCTAAGTTGGTTTTGATCTCTGTGTTTTATTCTCTGTTTTTAAGTTAATTTATTTTTCTTTGCATTTCAAATGTTGCTATTGTGAAGCACTTGTATATTAATTATTAATCATGTACAAAATGAAACCTTTTTATGTCACAAGCACTCACATAATAAAACAGGCATGCAAGGAACATTTCAAACATCTTCCAAATCAAGGTTAGGAAATGAAACACATACGTTTTGCGTTGAAGTAAAAAAGAATACCATAGAGGCCAGACACAAAAAGACAATCAATAATTTATGAGTTTGGGCAAAGTATGTATTTAAGAAGTACAAAAGAATACCAAAGTTCAAATAAGTATAAAGAATGCTCATGTTTAAGCCCTGTGTATCTATGTGGTACAGAATGGGCTTAACTGCACATAAGCCCTTTTGCCACTGACAAAGCATTAAAATGATCCGTGCTAATACCTTTTGCATTAGTGATACATCCTTGTCTGAATTCTAAAGCTACTAAATGTCAAGAACATAAAGATCTCACAGAGCAAAAAATGGGACAACAACATAACCTCTCATGACCGCATGTGTCTGTTAAGACTTCAATTCAAATTAAGAGCAATGCTGAAAACTTAGTACATTTTTTACTAATTAATGATGTATGTATCTCCATCTCTGTTTTTGGCTGCTAACTTTTAAGCACTACCATAAAAGAAAGGTCCGTTTTATGTGGACACTAACATTATCGTTTTGTGACACCACAAACTTCATTCTCACGATATTTAAGTAACAGTGATTTGATTCAAAAACTGAACAAAGGAATGAATCATCACAAATTGGGTCAAATTGTAGTCCAGCTGTGTTTATAAAAACAAAATTACTAGGTTCGAATTGGACATACAATGAAAAAAGAAAATGCACACAGCATTCACAAAACAATCAAATTCAAGACAACTTAATTCAAAGTAAAATAAAAACTGTCTAACTGTTAGTAAAGAAGGGAATTATCTTTCCAGCTGAAAAACATGAAGCCAAAATTGGGTCATTTTTTCTCCTTTGGCTATCTGGAGTTAGTCCGCTTTGCTTTTATCTCCTTTGCTACATGTGAAACTCCAATCTTAATTTTCGCCTTAGTCACAAGCCCCTAACCACTGTGACTTGTAAAAATATTCACCACTGAGGCACAATCAGGACGGGAAATGTAAATAAACACTGCCCTATTACCAAAAAACAAAACACAGAAACACTGAGAAATCCCTTTCTCTTTACTCCCGAAGATCACTCTCCAAATCAAGGCAAACGACGTTTATCTGCCAACATATGTAAAAAGTTCATACAATTCTATTTTCTCATATTATGAATCCTGTCTTCAACGATGCATAGGAAATGGATCATACATTTGCACTGAATGTAAACAAATGTATAAAATTGAGAGATGAGATAATCTCACCACAAACCAAACATTAAATTACAATAGTTATGTCAGTGGATTTGAATGTAGTTTTTCAGACAGATTAAGCTTTCCTGACCCAAATGGGTTTATTAGTTACCTTAATGATCCTTTACTGAGTGTTAGTTTACATTAGACTGAACTGGACCTGATTCCTGACGATACAGCACAGACCTCCTTCACACTGTAACGGCCCGTCCACACGGCGGCGAGCGTTGAAGCTTGCCGGCGTGCGTGTCTGAAGCTCGACCAACAACCAATCACATGAATCTCCCGCCCCGGACACACAAGCACGCGGTTTGATTGGCTAGAGCTTGTACTGGCATATGATTCGATTGGCTGACGCTTCCGTCGAAGCTTCAAAAGTAGAACATCGCGAGCAAAGCGAAGCGATGGAACCACAATGCAGTTCGGCAAAGCGTGACGTCACCCCATTCAAAGTGAATGGGCAGAAGCGTTGAAGCTTCAACGCACGCCGCCGTGTGGACGCTGCGTAAGGGACAGTGAGGCATGACATGTCTACTCTCACTAACTAAACTCATAAAACAAAGTCCATGGAGGGTTATACTTTTTTTAAATGTAAGCCAGAAGAAAAAAACACATTTCAAAAACAAATCTAATGGGACCCTGTTCAACCTCTAAATCTTTAAGTTCAAAATGTGTTGTGATTCCTCAGGTATTTGGGTCGACTAATTAGAAATGTCTTTAATGAGTGAGATCAGTGCTCTGCCCTGATGTGTTTGTTGCAGCCTCAACATGCACGAAAAGGTGTTGCCCTCTTATCCGTCTACTTTTATTGTAATATTATTTGTGATCTGTTAGCAATCCTTCTTCAACACCTAACAAATGTTTAATGAACACTGGTTTGTCATAAAGCAATCAGTTTATTTGATTAATATTTAGACACTTCTTATTGTTGCCTTCCTGATGCATCTAAGTCCACAAAAACATGGACAACTTTTTAAATATCAAATACAAGAGAGGAAAGTCTGAACTCTCACAGGAAACTCTAAACTCTAAATACATTGCTGTGTTGCAGTGTCTCTATAAGCACAGACGGGCTGCGTTCCTGGTGTAAAGCTTAAGAACACATATCAGGAAGGTACACAGTGCATACATAGATACAGAGCCAAGGTTTACATTTTGCCGGCTTACCTTTTGAAGATGAGAGCAATGACAAAGTCTGGGTTGACCCTGACTCTCCAATCACACTCTTTCCCCGCGGGGTAAGGCTGGGGGTAGTTAGGAGACAGAATTACTCCTGAGGGGCCGCTGACGTTACCCCCACATGTCGCTGGAGACAAATAGTAAGAGAGAGACAGAGAGAAGAAGGTAGAAAGGGAAAGAGAAGAAGAAAGATGATTACGCAGCATTGGCCTTGGGGTAATTTAGAAAGAGAATCACTCCTGGTTGACCACACATATTGCCCCCACAGGGCGGCATAGTGGAAGAGAGTTAGTTAGCGATGGGAAGTATGGCAGAGGTTGGTTAGAAGAGACAAAATGACTCCCAGGTGGGCCGTTGATAAAACCTCCACAGGTAGCTGAAGAGGTTGAAAGAGCAAAAAGGAGATAGAGGGAGAGACTGTGAGATTTAGACAAAGTGTGAGGCTGGGGGTAGTTAGCAGAGAGAATCACCCCAAGCGGTCCTGTTATCCCACAACAAGCCAGAAAGCAGGAAAGAGATATTGGCAAGAGAGACAGAGAGATGCATTCAAGCAGCAATTTGGTGATGTGAAGAAAGCATTTGAAACATGGAGAGGTGTCTTGGGGGTGGCAGGTGGGTGTGAACGGATTATCAACCCTGAAATAGAGGTAAACAAAGGCATTAATAGTTGCAAATCACTCACAGACACACACACACTCACGCTCTTGGTTTAATCTGAGGAGCGTTTGAACACCCAGGGATTCACCTCCCGAGAGTGCAGGAGAGAGAAGCGTACGCAGGCTAAGCTAAGAGACAAAGATTTACGCCCTACATTTTATCTACAGTCGCGCAAAACGTGAGGTCACTGGTAAAGAGTCAGAGGCAATATCAGGAACAAAGCATAATGTGTTTCACAGGCATGGTTACAAGGCAAGTCTCTGTGAGCGTGCTTCAGGACTTCCCAACACGGCTGGCTGATAAAGAGAGGGGAAGGAACATAAAGGGAGCTCCAGGGTCACCACGGTGATAGATGTTGCAGGAATATTCCCCAACTTGCTAATGTTGTTAAATTCAACATTTCAGCTGTGTCTTATTTTATACCTAATCCTGCTTAGTAACAATAAAAACAAGCAGCCCCACACCTTTATGGTTATCTCTGGTGATTTTCCTCATCCATCTAAGAACGACTCAACACTAGATATTTCCTGTGCAAGGTAATTGGTCCGGCAGTGGCTCAGTCAGTAGGGGCTTGGACTGTGAGCCTTAGGGTCACCGGTTCAAGTCCCCGACCAGACCTGAATATAGAGTGTGGAGTGCTACTTGGAGAGGTGACAGTTCATCTCCTGCCCTGCCATGGTGCCCTTGAGCAAGGCACCGGACACCCCCCCACCCCCCCTGCTCCCCGGGCGCTGTACAATAGCTGCCCACTGCTCCTAGTACTAGACTCCTGGTACTAGGATGGGTTAAATGCAGAGAACACATTTCACTGTGTGTGCTGTGTGCTCTGCATGTGTGACCATTAAAGAGGGTTTCATTCTATCGATTCTATGATTCTATCGATTCTAATTGCACATAAAATAACTGGATCCAGCATGTATCACCCAAAAAAGGCATGTAGTTTAGCAGCATCAAACTACCGGCTGGAAAGTGTGGTCAGGAATGTGCTACAGGCTTCTTTTGCACTAAAATGGGATTTCTAACTTGTACGGTGAGGATACTGAATGGCTCTTGCTGCATTACAGATATCATCTTTTACTTGCACTGACTCTGCTATTCCTGTACCTTCTCAAGAAAGTCAGTCTTCCCCTCCTTCCTTCTTTAAGAGAAGAGAGTCAAGTGTGTCAGAAGGAGCCGATAAAGGAAAGACACCCAAAGAAGAAGAACTGCAGCCCAATTGTGTGAATGAGGTGTGGAGTGGGATGCGGAAGCTCTCTGGGTTATAAGCAGCAGGTGGGCCAGATGGTTGTGATGATATGAGAAAAAAAGAGAAAAAAAGCATTGTTGTTTTTCAAAGCTTTCAAATAGCAACCCTTTGACAGATTCCTGCGTCATTCCGTTTTTTCTCCAACCCTATCTCTCCTCTTCTGAATTGTTGTGTGGTCCATAGCGACACTGCTGAATACTTATCCAAACCTTAGTTCTTTCAGCACTTGTTCTGATCTTAAAGACCAAGCATCCAGAATGAATGGCAGCATCATTTGGGATTGGAGATCCTCTCACCAACAAGCCTGGGTTGATGTGCCTTCAGAGAGGTGTATCAGATGTGGCAGAACAACACAGAGAGCTGTTTGTTGTCTGCTCTCTACACTTGAGATTTAAGATACACCTTTGGATCATTCCTCTTCCTAAAGGCTCTGCACTTGGTGTTTCATTGTTTGATGTATTCATTGGAGCTTCAAATGGACGTTATCTAAAATCTTAATATCCATATTTAGTCTCCCTTTTTTAATGTGCAGTATGACATTGAAGTCTCCAACTCATTAATGTCAGAGCACAGTATCATTTTTTTAATTTAATGTAATCTCAGTTTGGCAGTCAGTTATCTACAGATAAATGTACACCTACCGATACACATTGGGGGGTCAGGTTGCCAGTAGAATCTGTTATCCATCCGTACACATGTGATGGTGTCGGAGCCTTGCAGCTGGTATCCTGGGTCACACTGGAAGGTCGTACTGTCTCCAGGCTCCTTACTGTCGCCGTATCGAGAACCATTCACAGGGATGCCGGGGTCATTGCACGTTGTTGCTGTAGTGGCTGGAGAAAGTGAGACGGACAAGGTGAGACAGTTATTGACCTACTGTTGATTGGAGGACACTATCAGTACTATCAATAATATTCATATCGTATTTTTACTGTTGAAGATAGCAAGGAGTTAAAGTGACAACTTCAACTGACCAGTTAGAGACTAAATGATAAGTTCCTTTAGGTGCAATGAAATGTGGTCTTTGTTTTGTTGCTTAATTAGTGGATTCTCCTTAGGGTAAGCTGTGTGCTTCGAAAGGATTCACAACAATCAGCGTCTGTGTGTGGGGGTTTCAGCTACAGGGCTTTAATTGTTGTTTGAATTACCTAGAGTGTTTCCATCATATCAATGAATCAGGTTCTAAAAGGCAAAACAAATGTTAAAGGTGGGGTAGGTAATTCACTCCAGAAACACTTTTTGTTATATTCCATGGAATGCTCTTAACATCCCGATAGCAATGAATATATGAAATGCTTTGACAATAAATACATTAAAAAATGTCATCTGTGGAAGCCGTAGCGCTGTAAAAAGCACGACCAATCATCTGAGCCGGCCCGGCTAAAATAACTGGATGGCCTACCTGCCTGTCAGCCTTCCATCTCGTGCTAAAACTTATCTCGTGCCCTCATTGGTCATGTGCGCGTTCGTGTGTGTTGGAGGAGGGGCTCTGTAAGGAAGTCTGAAGGAAGAGGCAGATTTTTTCCGGTTGTGTATTTTCAAATTCTAGCGCACTCGAGCTGGTTTCTCCATTCTTACCTACCCTACCTTTAATCAACATTAGAGTTATATGCAATAAATAAGTGTCTATGTATGAAATAATCTGTGTAAAGCATATTTTTGTCAAAAGAATAATGTTATGATCAAAAAAGAGGTTGAGTGTTGGCAGGAAAAACTTAGACTGTAAAATAAAAATGCCAACCAAAATTAGATGTGTAGATTTGATGTTATGTTTCAGACAGTGGACATACAAGGCACCGCTTGAATCCTCATTAAACAGTAGACTCATCATTTTATCTCATGAAGCTTCGGATTCAAAGAAAGTTTCATCTCAAATATTAGCTAGAGTTCTGGCCAAGATTGTTGTGGAAACCGGCTTTCTGATTTACAATCCTGACTAAATATATGTTATCTTTTGCATTTATATTACAATAGCTTGAGGACAGCATCGTATAAAACATCACATTTATAATATTCTTTTAGTAAATAACAGTTTTTTTTACCATCAGGAACACAGAAAGTATAAAAAGTAGGATCAAATTAGAGAAAAACCTAAATAAATGGGTATTTACAATACCCCCCAACCCCCCCCCCCCCCAAAAAAAAACCCCACTCAATAAATTCACAAAGCCTTGCTTTAAATAATCCTGTGTGGTGGCAAAGACCATTATCTTTGCTTTAGTAAATCAACATTGGGGTAAATATAAGGAGTCATTACCATAGTAATGGAATAACACTGCTGTGATTAGCATGTTTGTGAGTGCAAATATTTATTGTTTTAAATAAGGGGAGCAAGGCGAAAAACTAATGTGAGGGAGGGATTGAGAAAAAGAGTGAGGGACAGAAAGCATTGGATGTAAATATTTTTGACTGCATCTCATTAAAAAAAGTTAATGTGTGTGTTAGAGGGTGTGTGTGCTGCTTTGCATGTGGATTCATACAAACAACAGAGCAAGTGGAGGTGTACAGGATGGGGTTGTGCAATTGTTGTGCTGTAAATAAATGCTATAGAGAAGATATACGAGCACATGAGCGTGAAAGTGTGTGTGTGTGTGTGTGTGTGTGTGTGTGTGTGTGCTTTTTAAAGTTGATATGAGTGTATGCCTCTGATTGATTTCGCTGCTACAGTGGATGGCATTGACTTTGGCCAATGACTCTAAAAAGGATTGTGCACACATGTTTGGGTCCAGTGGCTCAGCAGCGAAGGCCACGAGTGCAACCAAGGGGAACAGTTATTGTCCAGTTTGCCCTTCTTGAAATGATATGATGAAAACACTTCAAACCTTTTTAAATACTGAGATTCATAGTTGTTACTTTTGTAAGTTCAAACCCTCAAAATGAATGAAAACAACTTTTTTTATTAGCCTATAAAAATAACACATTGCACATGTTATTATATTATTACTCAAATGTATCAATATCCTTAATTATTATATACCAACCCTGCTAGGGGGGGCTCTTCACTTTATGAGCCTCGACCCCAGAGGGTGAGATATTACATTTCATTCTCATTTGATTCTTTGGCTCAAGGTTTTTCAGAAATCCTGTTAAATGCAGCGTTAATTCCACATTAATTTTGCTACAGCTAATATAAATGAGGTTTATATAATAATTAAGAAACTATTAGTGTGATGAGTTTATTAACTAGCTATATTAATTGCTAATTCCAAAAAAGCTTTTTCATCATAAATGGATGATGGGTGTAGAGGGAGAGAGATCATCCAAATCAGTAAAATAATTGTGCATTTTTTACGTTTGACGATAAGTTTACTTACTAGAAAACTGGATAGAAAATCCTTGCTTGCTGATGAAATAATCAGTATCAAACTGCAGTGTGAGTATGTTGAAAGTCGAGTGGATATCTTCAGGTAAGGCTGGGCCGGACCATTCTTTCAACAGGATCCCCCCGTCTGACGGCCCAGATGGACCATCCCAAACTCTCAGGATATCGTGGCCGACCTCCGTGTCAAAGACAATGAAGTGTAGGCTGAGGAAAACACACACATTACACAAGAGATCAGAGATCAAATACAAACATTAACATGTGTTCTTTATTCAGCAGCTTTACCAAAATCAAGTCAACCATCAAATAAAATGAAGCAGAGGTTGAAGATAGACGCATCACACAGCAGGGGCCACATTGTGTTGAGAAACACAGTGATGGCATAATGACTAATGTGGTGTACTCTCCTACACAGCAGCGGCTCTGACAGTGAGCATTTATCTATAATTAGTGAATATATCATTACCTGACAGTCCTGTAAGTGTTAAAGTGTAAAGTCCTTGTTAAGAGAGTTGACTAGTAAGCTTACCTCAACTTGGCCAGAGCAAAGCAATTCTGCATATATGTGTTGGAATAGCTGTTGTCTTATTCCTATTTTAATTTCATATAAATCTGCAGGATATCATCATTCTAAAGTGCTTCATGATTACCTGATAGTCTTGCCCGTGTCAGCCTCTATGGTCCAGGTGCAGTGGAGGTTGTTGTCGTATGGAGCAGGATATCCTGGAGAAAGTATCCGTCCAGAAACTGCTCCAGTCAGGTGACCTCCACACTCCGCTAGAATCACGAGACAAAAGGGTGAACATCACAAGGACACCACATTTCATAGGTTTTCACCTCTTTTGATTTATGTCCTTTGAAATGTATCGATCAAATCATTACTAAAACAACAAAACCGCTGCTCGAACGATACTTCACACATTTACGTGGACATATCAAAGACAGCAGGAGCATCAAAGCATTTAACAAAGTAGGAATAAACCCATCTTTTCAAGGATTGCTGCAGGGTTACTACGAATAAAAAAACTCTGCTGTAGATAGTGTTGGAGACTTGCAGCCACAACTCGGTTATAAAATCCACTTTATTGAATGAAAAAGACATTTGAACTGTATTGGAGACTGTGAGTCCCTGAATCAACTTTTCATAAGGTGACCTTATAAAGAAAATAACTCCTATTAAGTTAGGCACATTCACTTGTATTGCCATGGTGGATCTGAAAAATAGATAATCCGATGTGTACAAGGTTTACAATACAAGGTTTAACGCGTAAGAGAGCAGAGATGAAAGAGAGAGAGAGAGAGCAGGAGAGAGAGAGAGAGAGAGAGAGAGAGACGAGAGAGACGAGAGAGACGAGAGACGAGAGAGAGAGAGAGAGAGAGAGAGAGAGAGAGAGAGAGAGAGAGAGAGAGAAGAGAGAGAGAGAGAGAGAGAGAGAGAGAGGAGAGAGAGAGAGAGAGAGAGAGAGAGAGTAGAGAGAGAGAGAGAGAGATAGAGAGAGAGCCGAGAGAGAGAGAGAGAGCTCTCTCTCTCTCTCTCTCTCGCTCTCTCTCTCTCTCTCTCTCTCTCTCTCTCTCTCTCTCTCTCTCTCCTTCTCAGTTAAAATTATTCACAGCTCGTAAGTCATAATCAGGGAAATCAGTAGCCATTGTGAGAAAAAAAAAAGGATGCCATGAAATGCAAATTATAGATTAGATTCACAAATAATGGATAGGACTTCATCTTATGTAATTAATAATGAAGTGTGGACAAAACATTCACGTCATGCTTTCACCCATCCTTAAGCCAAACACAAAACTAACAATATAAGTTGTCCATACACACAGACCCATTTTCAAATATACTTTTCCAAAATGCAGAACTACTTTCTGCAAAAGTTTGAAAAGATGAGTTCCAGCTGACCACGGATCTGTACAGGACGGTTTTCTGTATCATACTTCTTTTTGCTAAGGGAACATGAACCTTCCTTCTATTGCATATCATGTTTAATAACTGTTGTTTCTGTTCTTTAGGGTCTGTTTGGGTCGACTGTGTTCAGCACTGGGTCTATTTTTGAGTCTCTGTATGGTATTTCTTCTTGTCTTCTCTCCAGCCCTTCTACAGTTTTAGCTCATCTCCATATCTCTATAAGAGGTGATTACTTTGCTGTAAATAATCCTGGGATGTGAAGGCTGAGTTAAATGAAAATCCATTTAAAAAGGCCTTGAATCACTAAATCAACCTTGAATTATCCAAGTTCCTGCTATACAGTTTAATGTGTTGTGAATAACTTGAATGGCTGTTTTCCATCTAAGGAACTCCCAATAGTGTTCAAGTTCAAGAAAAGATGCAGTTTATTGCACAAGAGAAGACTGTCTTTTAATGTTATTTTTGTATTGTCTTCAGTGGTGAGTATCAGGAGATAGCAGGAAGCAGGGGAAAAAGGCTGGGAGCAGATTTGAACTCATCATAGAAGTACATGGCAGCCCACTGAGCAACCAGATCGCTGCAGATTAGAAAACTGTTTTGTATAGGGAATGCTTCATATCAGTGAGTGCATGGTGTGTTTGTGTGACTTAAGATGGCACCATTAACTCAGCTCTGCAATCTACAATAATATGACAACCCGTTGCTATTGTATTACCCTCGGCAGAATGCTCACAAAAACACATTCATATGTAAACACAAACACAAAGGAAATAGCAAATAACAATCAAATACATGGCCGGAAACATACTTGAAAGCACTTTACCAGACACGTAAAAATACAAACATAGCAGGAAAGTAACTACTTCACTATGTTTTATCTTGAAATGCAGGTGGAGAGGATATGAGGCACAAAACAACAGTTATATAGTAAGCCTGAGCCCAAACACAACTGCAATTTCCCGGCAAAGAAAAAGAAAGAGAGAATAACAGGCACCCACAATTGCAGAAAAAGATAGACAGGTTTACTGCATGAATAGAAAAACGTCAGAAAGAGTAAGAGGGAGACCACAACTCTGTTTGACTCAACGTGGGAGAGACAGCGAGAGAAAGACAGTATAGAAACAGCCAGAGGCAAAACCATCTCCTCATCTCCATGCTGGAACATGCAGATGTAGAACCAAGTCAGACAGACAGGGGGGGAGACAGAAAGATGAACGCCCCAGCAGACAGACAAAGGAGGAAGATACAAAGGTAGCTTCAGAGGAAGTTAGCCCAGGGCTCCACCAGAGTACTCTCCTGGTGGCTGGCTCACCTGAAATAAGGCAGCGACAGAGCAGCTACAAATTAATGACTGACTGCAGGGATACACACACACTTACATTTACACACATCCAACCAAACACACACTCATTCACACCCACATAAATGCATTCACCCCACATAATGCACACACTTTCTTCTTAGTTGCCATTAGCAACCACATCAGGCCCTGTCCCACCTCAGAGAGTTCAGGTGTGCTGGCAGGTTAGAGAGACACACGGCTTTGTGGGTAGCAGGAGGGAATTCCAAATGAACATGTGCCAAGTGCCTGCATCTACTCAGCAAGGTAAAAAATACTTAGGGAAAGTGCTTTCATTTGTCAAATATGCAAAACCACAAAATATTTATGGACAAGTAGGAATTATGGACTTCAAAAATTGTGAATCTGCTTTAGGGACTTTAAAGCTAGGTAGGAACAATACAAACAAACAAATGTGGAGTTCATGCTTCACTGGTGGTTAGTGAATGAAAATAAGGAATCATAATGGCCAGCTGTACAAGCTGTGGCTAAAAGACACAAATAATGTTACAGGTCCATAAGCAAAAGGGAAAAACAGCATGTCACAGCACCCGAATTGTTTGGCACACTCCTCTCCAGCTTAATTAACAGCTGCCAAGTGCCAACTAAAGCTAACACCGCCCTGAGGCAGCTTATCTACCTTAAAACCTATTAAATATTCAAACATATTCTAGGAATGCCAGAAAATAAACTATTATTTTTGGGATTTTCAAGGTCTGAAAGATTATACCCGATATGTTTGGAGTGCAGAGCGTGAGACACGTAGATGGCTGACTATTAAGTGATGCTTTCGGGTACTTTTCATCATAACCCTGTTCAAAATCAATAACAGCTTTCTCAACTATCATGTGTCTCTTCTTCCTATCACAGTTGATATTTGTATAAAAGTAAACTATCTTTTTTCCTGCAAGCTAAGGAAATTAAGTACTGTATTATCATTTGTTGGCCATTTAAATAAGATGCAGTTATTACATGTTGGGTTTTAATACTAAAGTCCATATGGCTGCACTTTTTATCCAGTCCAGTACCAGAAAGATGTAGTCAACAATTTCAGATGAATCAATAAGGTTTTTACATCACATAATTTACTGCCATCTGAAAATAAATTGTTCCAGATTGAATATTCTATTTATGTGCATACTCAGAATAGAAGTGAAATCTAAGGCTTCTTTCAAAAGCGTTGGCATAAAATACTGTGAGTACCTTCAGGGGACAAGAAAGTAGCCTTGCTTACATTATACATGTATCACAGTTCAACTCAGTCATCCCCTATTTTTGCACCTTAAGCATGCCATCCTTAAAGTACAGAGAGGCCTGGTCCACTAAAATCTCATGCCCGGTGACATCCTGCTGTCCACGCTCAGATAGTTTTGTGTGCGCAGGTTGATGGATCAGCAAGAAATGTTTTTACTAAGTGCCACCATGAATATTTCCCACAGAGTGTTGAATCAGTTCCCATGCCCTCTTCTCAAGCATGCAGCCGAATGGACTCAATCACTTGTTCGCTCACTCCCTCTTTTGAATCATCATGCTTTTGCAGGAGCTTAGTAAAAAAAAAACGTGATTTTTCCCCATGCTATGTTTCTCAATGAAGAGATGGTTAATAATTCAGACCTTGTAGTTTTGAATTATTGATGTGTGTAGAACCTACACATGTGGTGGCATACTAACCGTTACAGGAAGGAAGTGGTTTGTCCCAGACACGTCTGTCTCCGCTCAGGCAGGTCAGTGTACCAGTGCCATAGAGACTGTATCCAGGGTTGCAGGAGTACAGGACAAAGGTGTTGGCATAATGGCCGTCGTCTTGAGTCTTATAGCCATAACTAGGCACACCTGGTTCCTCGCAGCGTACTAGGTCAAAACCTAGAAAGAGACACGCAAACATAAATATAGAGAAACACACGCACAGGCATACAAATGAGGTCTTTCTGTCAATGCAGTAAGCTAACATTGCATGAATAAACAGGGTGATTCAGAGCCGTTTTGGACATAAGGTCAGAGTTTTCCTCCTGAATCTCACCACCTCTGCAGAAATGTAAAGTTTTAACACCCACTGCTAATGCTGAAACCTGATTTGACAGCGGCTGTGAGATTCTACTCCTATGCTTGTTTCTATGAAAAAGGAAGAGCTTCTCCCCTTTCTGAGAGATATTATGATGTGTAGCGAGCAGCAAAGCGATTATATTTCTGGATTGAAAATGTGGTTTCTATATGGAACTGTGGGAAAACATCAAAAGATAATTTCCCATCCCACACAACCACAAATATACTGTTCACTTGAACGAGCACACTGCGAGGGACGTCTGGATGTTTTGAAGATAACAAAGAAGAGAAAAGTTTCGTTTGAATAAACAAAGACACAAAAATGCGCACGTATTTTCTTTCCCTTACATCAGCCTCTTATGAACGTCTGAGTTGCTATGTAATGGAGAATGAACAGTGAATCAGTCACTATCATAAACTGCTGTTTGAACACGTTTGGCTCTGCTTATAGTAGAGAAGCCAACCTCTGACATGACAACTTAGTACAAATATAATAAAATTAAACCTATATCTAAGATTTGAATAACCTGTCATTTACACAGCACACTGTAGCAGCCTTGGACATAACCACGTTAATATAGAGATGCTGCTGAATATTTGATTAAATAAAACCTCCACCAGTAAGCTTGACTGTTGAGTGATGTGATTATGTTAAAAACAATACATATTATCTGTTATTTCTGGAAATCAAATCTGACCGCACTCAATGTCCAATCAGTTAACTCCTCTATAAAGCTTGGTAATAACGTTTTTTTACAAAGCCAGCAACTTTTTAAGTGAGCTATCTTGTTTAGTGAGCCGTGCTTGCTGCCTATCCCTCCCTGCATCCATTTCAGTGAAACAGATGCATCTCATTTCTGACAACCTTTCTTGGTAATGTGTTGAACAGATGTTTGAACTCTTATTACTCCGTTAGAATAGCCTCTAACACTGTGTAGTATTAAAGCAGATTTACTCAAATCCCTGACACCATCGCTGTCTCTCTTGATCAGATGCTTCTCTGCCTTTTCTTCTGAATAAACCCTTTATCAATCTCTCTTATCCATCTATCCGTTCATCCGTTGTAGTAGGTGTCACCTTCTCCAGTTTAACGACTTGCAGACTAACGGCTGTATAATGGTCTTAACTGACGTGCAGAGCATCCATCTAGTATCCATATACCATCTACCTTCATCTGCTTGTCCCTCCGTCCAGCAATTCTTCCACTTCAGCGGTGTCACTTTCTCACCTTCTTTTTAATGACTTGCAGATAAATGCTTCTCTAATAGCCTCCTTGACTTACACAACAGCTGGGCCTGCCTTCTTAACAGACTCTCTTTAAAGCTCATAAGATGTGTGAGTGTAGGTGAGAGAGAGAGAGAGAAAAAGAGAGAGCATTTATGGGCAATTCATAGTGTATGCTCAATTATATTTGTGCCTGCTGGTAAACTACTGTTGCACTTTGGCTCCACCTCCAGCAGAATTGCCTGTAAAAGTAATTGTTGATCTCTCTCAGCTGTCAGAAGGGAAAGACATGGCTTGGTAATTTGCTGACGGAGAAAGACAAGTCTCTAGAGTTTTGTAGTACATGACTCCTATTTTGTTCTAGTATGTAGCACTCAAGAATCACTTGGCTGAGGCACAGGACAGATGCAGGATATATTCATGAGTGCAATCTAACACAATCACTAGCACTCTAGTTTTCAATTAAAAACATCTCCTTACAAGGACTGCAATGATGAGAACATTTAAGAAATTACTGTTTGTGTTCTGTTGCGTTCATGAGCAAAAAACAACCTGTGTGTGTGTGTGTGTGTGTGTGTGTGTGTGTGTGAGAGAACGAAAGAGAGGATTGCTTTTTCTTTGGCCTACACGTACACATGTGTGGCTGTATGAGTAAATATAATGGAAAAACAAACTGTATCGCTGTCGAGTTTTTAATCAGTTGACTTGAGTTAATCTTTCTCGAACCACTCACTTGTGTATGTGAGGCGGAAGCCCTGATTGGTTCCAGAGGCGTTGCTGTTGAACTCCAGCCACAAGCGATTGGACGTGCTATTGATGACAAGACCCATTATGCCATCATGTGTAAAGTTTCCAAGTAGACGGGATGTCGTGTTCTCCCCATCATACACCTGTCAATCAAAGCACAGGAACACAGAACATGAATTTGAACGTGTTTCTAGAGGATGTTTATGTGTGTGCAGGTGTTCACATTTCAGTTATCATAAAATGAGGGGGGGCAGTGATTTGCTGACCCTTTCTGGAAAAAGGATGCCATAAAATGTGGTCAGTTCTGAAACTGAAATTGGAGGGCTCTGCTGTATTTCCTGTGCTTCACCTCTGCAACACACTGTGATTCATCCAAAAACCAAACAACGCAAGCGAGGCAAAAAAAACCTGGAGTGAGCCTCAGGAAATAGCCACTTTGCTTAGCTTTGCATCAGCTGGGGACTTTTAAAGCACATCATGATACGAGCCTAAAATATGAAATGAATGATTCTGAGGTCACAAATGAGTTGTAAAGGGTTCTGATTCAGCCTGAAGGAGAGATGAAGCTTTCCTTTTTATGGTAAACCGTCAACATGTTTATGTAACAATTCAGAGAAGATTGAACAGAATGTTTGTGGGTAATTCAATTGGTAAACTCACTTTAAATGTTGGTTGCAACGATAAAAAAGAGTTGTTATGAAACTGTTGTGCAAACCTACTTTGGATTTGGAGTTTCAATCCTGGTCTAGCACCTGGGTCAAGCAACAGATTCAAGTATCACTTTGATACAAAAATAATTTGATTTGCAGCTATAATAAATATTCAAAATGTGTGTTTTTATTTTTTGGAAACGATGCTTCTATGGTTGATTTAATTGAACACATGAAACACTTCACAAGATATACATTTTGTTTCCTAGTTTACAAGTCTTAGCATGCATGTTCTCTGCTGTTTACTGAGCATTGAGTTAAAAACAGCAAATCACTGCCTGGCTGTGTGTGACTTGGTTTGAAAATACATATTAGAGGGGAAAATAGCAAGAAAGTGTTTTTCCTTCTTGCAAGAATTATGAAAATAATGAAGCTAGACTCAGTCTTTATTTTTGGTCTCCTAACAATTGAGCTTCTTTTCATTTGAAATATGATCGTCAACCTATAACAGTACGCTCACAGTGGTAGCACAAAGGGAAAGCCGTCAATCATTTATTTCAAATGAGCGCTGACAAACAAGTAAATACAGTATGAAGGTTGGAGCAATGGCTGCCAGAACATAACAACTTAGCACATGTACTTACCAAGTATGTAATTTAACAGAGCATGTTCTAAATAGTTGTGTTTTCCCAAAACATGTACAGTACAGTTATCAAATGCAGTGTGGGGTTTGGAAGAAAGCTAACATACTGTTGATAAACACAACAAAGCAAGCTTAGCTAGTAACACATGGTAGCTGTGTACTTTGGCCATATATCGGCCGCATTTTGTGAAACTGTTGTTTGCAAAGCACTCAGCATAGAGAGCAGATTAGTGGATTATAGAGCAGAAGAGAATAGATAGATTCATATGAATGAATCCAAACTTCTAAGAGCCACTTTTCCAGTTTACAGGTGGTCAGTATTTGGTACTGACATTCTTTCGTTTATGCTGGAGTCTACTTTGTTGCTTTCTAGTCTCTGAATGCTTGAATGTGGACATTAGAGAAGACGTAGTTTAGGAAGTGAAGTCTATTTCTGACTGCAGTTTGAAGGGGTGGGGGGGGAATTAGCACTCTCAAGCACCTCATAATACTATCTCACAGCTGGGATATAAATGTGAACGGCTCGTGCTTATATTTGGCAGCCTGGGGCATTTCCAAAGATTGGTAGTGACAGGTCTGCAGGTGGCAGGGATGCCAAAGAAAAAAAGGCTAAGGAGATGTACTGCTCTATCTCTGCAAGTACTGCCAGTCAGAGGAGATACCGCGACATGAAGCCAAAGCAGGAGCTACAGCGTGTTCATACATGACAAAGATAGACAGACATGGTGAAGCATACTGGGAATTTCAACGTTAAAAAAGATGAGCTGTATCATGATATGTGTGGCAATACTCCCCTAAACTTAATGTCCCTTCCCTATTCCTCCGTCGCTGTATCCCTCCAGTTCTATCTGTCAGTTTCCCCCAATGTTGCATTTGGCTGTCCACCTCTTTCTTTCTGTTTCTCTCTTTTATTCTCTCTCTCATTTTTCTCCTCCTCTCTCTGTTTCTGTAAAACTCAGTATGGTTAATGAAAAGCCCTGCAGCTCATAAATCAACATGTCACCATCTGCCACCCCTCCTCCCTCGGTCTTCTGACTCTCCCCTTTTCTTGCTTGCACTCCCTCCACCTCTATTTCCATGGAACAATTCTTGCACACCCCTACTTTGTTTCTTCCTAACCCTCTTATATTTCTTCGGGGATGTAGTTCCACTGAGTATATTTGGTCAAGTACTGAATTAGAAGACATTTGTAGGCGTATTGAGCTTGGCTAGACCTTTCTTTAAGGCAAAAACGTAGCCAGTAGCAAAAGGAATGGTAATGAGCTGTTTCATAGGAGATTTTTAGCCGAAAGCTTGCTGGATCTGTCAAACAGATGGTTTGTGTTCAGCTGTAACAGGCATTAAGTCACATACTGTTAGCAGGGGGAGTGGCGTGCTAATTGCTAGGCTAAGTGGCACTTTGGAGCTTTCCTCCCATTTCATTATACTTTGCACTGTGCTTTCTGATAATTATATGGGGAAATAATAATTAACACACATGTGTTGTAACTTACTAGTAGTTGCTCTTATACATCATTTCAATACCACCACACAAGATGGCTTTAGTGCAGATAATTTGATCAACAGCTGCTCCACCAGCATCACATATTTTTTAATTACAATTCTTTTGACTGGAAAATGTGCAAACACTCTTTAAGGTCAACAGTCACGGTAGCATCCTAATTGAGCTGGTATGCTCAGAACATTTTTTTTGTATTCCCAAAAAATGGAATTGAATGGAACAATTCAGCTATTCATACTACCAATCAACTTGATTTATTAATAACACAAAGGTTATTATCATGGCTTAATGGATTCTTCCTTCGGGTCGGAGGTTAGTCCCAAAGTGTAGAACAAAGCGGTAAAAAAACAGCTTTATTCCAGCAGCCATTGTGCAAATGAACACGTTGTAGCAGTGCCACACGGATGATATGGAAGCAATGCCTATTTATTTAAATATTTATGTATTAACTTTGAGGATTGCTCATGTTTGTACTAGTGGTTTTTAAATGTGATGGACAAGGGGGCGCATTTACAGATCGATAAATATTTTACGAATGTGTGTCATAATGGATCGCTTGTTTTTTATCCGCAAACAAAAATAAATAACCTGAACCTGATATATTTGTTATGTCATCATCCTCCTAGTATTTTGTACTGTATTGAATGTATGGCCCCTCTACATCACTGCATGAAAACCATTGGGCTGTACAGGGAGAGGGAATAACTGCAAAGACATTCTTAAGTTTCATCTTATTTAATAAAGTTATTTTTTATAAGTAATTTGAAGTCAAAAAAGTCTGATATTGTTGTGTGCCCTTCATTGAGCATGACATGCCATTCTTGCATTGAGTCTTTGGACCTCCCATTACTTTTTGATTGCTACGTTAGCATCCGGCGCATACTCATTAACTTTTGTGATCTCAAGTCATTCTCTGTGTACTTTCCCTCTGCTCCTTATTTTCTGATAAGGAATCAATTTATTACAGTAAATACTATGTCAAATGCCTTGTCAAGAACACAATCACAATTCTTAAAACGGCAAATGCCATGTTCTGCTCTCCGATCTTGGCGGATGCATTTTGAAATACAGAGACAATGACATAGTGGGAGAGGTATAAAGCTATCGAAGCTAGGCATGTTGTAAAGTAAAGCTTTTAAAGTTTTGAGGCTATGATGGTATACATTAAAAGGAACATTTAACAAGTTTATGTTGGTGTAATGCCATTCTGAAAGTCAGGACAAACCCTGCTAATACAATCTTACCACATACAGGCTCAGCCAATGCTCTAGGCTACTGATAATACACTCTAACCACATACTGGCTTAACCATGCCCTCAGGCCTAATACCGCTAAGAGACATTGTGAATAGAAACAGTTATATACGATGTTAGTAGGACTGTAAAACAGCTCAAACAGCTGCTGCTATCTGACACTGTAGTGGGCACATGTGCCCAATAGAGGATTTATGAGGAATTCTGAGCCTTGGGAACATCTGTAATGCTCTCGGTGTTATAGACACAGAGAGCACAACTTTGCACATCAAAGGTTATGACATGTGAACACTTTAATACATTCCTCATACATACATTGTGACAGCAGATCCTTAAAACATGTTTGCAGCACACTGAGGAAACAGGTATTGCAGGTATACATAATCAGTCAATTTTATGTTTTTTTATAACAAAACAAAGGCTAATAGACGAGGCATTTGTGTGTAAATACAAATCCATATAGCTGCAGTCTATTTATTCTATCAGGGCATTCTTCATTTTGTTGCATAGCTCTTTATTTGACTTAGTGTTGCCACATGTTACAACCAATAAAAGTGTATAAATCCAAGGTTAACCTTCACTAGAACAATAATATACACTGTAGTGGGTTTGTTATAGGGTTAACAGAGGCCAATGGATCCCATTGTGTTTCCCAAGTATTCATTCAGCCGTGGATGGCCGCTGCAGCAGGAGCACCATCAGCACTAATAGAGAACATGGGTAATAGACCCCTGCAGGGATGTTACAGCTCCTTACAGCAATGTTTAACACATCTAACAGCTAGGGCACACCTTGCTAACACCATTTAACTTCATACTGGGAAAACCAAGGATGTAAAGCCCCTCCTGTCATTCAAGTTTTAACCAAGCATTTTTCTGGCTCACCTCAACATCTCATATAATTAAGGCCTACACATTCCCTGACAATATAATTGGACCAGGTATGCAAAACGAATGGGCTTTGACCGCTCCATTGGGAAAGGGCTGGCTCCACAATGCATCATGTAAATTACTTCTGATAACACACTACACAGATATATACTGCATAGATGGGAAATTCCCAGTCAAGTATTTGATTTCTTTGTCAAATGCAGTAGGGGGCAATCACTAAGTGTGTGTGATAGTGTATGTTTCTGCAAAGGCAAGGCATGCTTTAGTGCATGATACAAACATTCATTTGTATGTGCTTCAATGTTTCCACTGTTCATCTCTCTCCTGTGCTGTGTCGAGAGTGGCTGCTGTGTGCTGCTATCAGTGTGTGAGTCTGACCGAACCCCCCACACACACACACAAACACACACATAGGCGACAGGCCACAGCAGGGGTGTGTGGAGGTTTGGGTGTGTTTATTCACGCTGTAGAAAGTAACTACTGTGAAACAATCTGAATATAACGTTGTATTCCTCTGATTTACTTCTTTGTTCTCACTAAGGCTGCTTCTTCTCTCTATTTACACGTTCTCTATCTTCTCTGGCTTGTTGCTCCAGGGAAGACAGGCTAACTTTAAATGCTGTGTGTTTACAAAAAGCAACTGAAAATTCAACAAAAGATCCCTTAAAAATTATAATAATTTATATGAAAAAAAATAGCAATATGAATACCTACTTATGAAATACCAAATAGCTGGTAGTGATGTGGTGTACTCCTCACATTTAGAGATGTACTGTTTTATTTTGGTTCTTCCTCTTAATCCTTATAATTAATGTAGATTAAAAGACTTAAGTACATTGTCATTTTAGGCCATATATTCGTGAGTTATTATGTTGATGAGAAGAACAGAAAAACAGTTTGCATTCACTATTAATACATTTCCTAATGAAGTGGTGATTGATATGTGTCGCACATGCTCATGTTGTCCATGTAACAGATCCATGATAATACACTTTCAGGGTTTTGTCTAAACCGAGTAACAGGGGCGCTGCGCCCTCTTACTTTTGACGTGTGCCCTCATACCACTCAGGCTCAGTCATTGGTACATATTCATACATAAAGCCATGCTGGGTAAACTACCGACTTATATATGCTCTTTGATCTCACGGAGAGTGGCAAGTAGCTATTGCCTGAGATCCCAGGATGTGTTTTTATTACATGTGCCAAGTGCTAGGACTGTTTTAGGTACTAAAGCTTTTATGTGCGCTGCTCCTCTGGCTTGGAACACCATGCAAAAAATATTGAAACTGAGCATTTTGATTCCCTTGCATCGTTTTAAAGCACGGCTGGATGAAATGTTATTGGATACCTGTAAATGTAAATAGGTTGCTAATGTATACCCCTGTAATTATGTTGTGATGTCCTTTTGTTTTCTGTTTGTTTTTAACTAAATGTACCGCAGGTCTCCATTGAAAAAGAGATCGTTGATCTCAATGGGATTTTTTAACCTGGTTAAATAAAGGCTACAAACTAACCACAATGCTGATTTTCCCCGTACAATTCTAAAGTGATGCCAGAAAACAATATTCCTGTTAATCAAAAACGGTATAAATGTACTTCTCACTTCACCAAACGTGTGTTCATTATTTTCTGAGTACATCATGTCACTTGTGTTCATGATTATGGCAGCATCCACAACTCAATTATTGTTTTCTATTCAAGCATAATCTGAAATAAACCAAACACTGTATGTGCTTGAATCTGTTCAAGCACATACATGTCAAAGCATACACAACTTTGCATATAGACAGCTTTTGATTATGACTATCATCTTTTATGTGTTTTTGTGTGTGTGAATCTGGAAACACTGTATATTATGCACACCTGGTTTGGAAAAGCGTGTGACTGCGCACATACCTTAAGATCGTCTCCATCTTCCAATAAGAAGCTCTCAGCTTTTAGTCTGATTCCTTTGCCCTTTTCAGTCGTGATGCGGTAGATGCACTCGTGGTTGTTATCGTAGTTAGAGGGGAAGTTGGGAGAGAGCAGAACACCTTCGGGTCCCAGTGAGGAGGCTCCACACTCCGCTGCAGAAAGAGAGTAGGGGGCAGCGACAGCGGGGGTCAGGATCACAGCATTTCTTCATAATTATCTCGGAGCAGTCGGAATACCTTTTAGCTTATTGTGTAGGTTAAAGAGAGGTGAGGAAAAGACCTCAAAATGAAGAAGAAAGATTACATTAAAAAACATATAAAGTCTAACGAAAAACCTTATTCAACTTTGACATTTAAACATAATAACCACAATGTTGATAATAATAATAATGAATCATAACCTTTTGGAGAAACACTTCAAATAAGACAATAAAATGAGAAAAATACATTAAAAAAGCAAAGCAATTAAACATAAACTGCAAAAGATTAAAAAAGAGAGCAAAAAAAGAAATCATTACATTAAACGAGGTGTGGATTAGTTTGGAAAAAGTGTTCCATATGAATGATAAAGAGTTATCTAGCAGGTGCAGTGCTTATCAAAGTTTAGGAATTCAAATAAGTGGTACTTTGTGCAAACAGAGTTTTGTCATATGTAAATGAGGCGTAGAGAAAAGCAGGCTTTTAACTCCCACTGAGGAGTACCACAACTACTTGGAAAGGGAAAAAAGGAAATAGAAGTAATGAGACAGACAAGAGAGAAACCGGTGAGGAGCAATCAAAACCTGTAGTGTTTATCAAATCTGAACCAATTTAAAACAACTTTTTTTTGTATATTATCTATGGTTTTAAAGCAGATTAGGGTAGGCAATAAGATGTATATATTACATTACATCTCATTTGTTAGACGCTTTTATCCAAAGCGACTTACATACATTCAGTACTGTGGACAAACCCCACAGGTGTCTTGCCCAGGGACACAACGACATGCTGACTGCAGTGGGACTCAAACTTGCTACCCCCTGATTCGAAGTCCAGCACACTACCCACTTAGCCACAGCCTATATTAAAGGATGCCAACAGTATTTCTTTAGAATCCAGGGAAGTAAAAGAGGGAACGTGAAGAAGGAGAAACAAGGTATGAAGAGGGAGCTGGAAGGAAAATAAAGCACAAGAAGAAAGAGATGAACTGAGCCAGACATGGGGCCTTTTGGAAATATGCAGAGAGAAATTAGAAAATGGAAAAGGGGAGTAACAAAAGAAACACTAATAACGCTCTTCATATAGCAGCTAATGGCCTAATTATCTACCCAAGGACTGTCTAAATACAGAGAGAGAGACAGAGCTAAAGAGAGGGGTGTTTGGAAAGGAAAAAGAGAGAGACATTAACCCAGAAAACGTTGCGAGCTGCTGTTCCACACTTTCCTGATCTTTTGCTGTTGGAGTATTTTCAGTGTGCTCCTTTTGGGGATTGCAAATTACAAGCAGCCACCATCAGACCCATACATTACTAGCAGCAAGGACACACTGATTCTCATCAAAATCTGCAAATTACAAGCTGCTAACAGCCAAATCCTGGCAAATAAAGCCAACTGTCGGTCAAATAATATTGAATTACCTTTTTGCCAGCAATAAAGTACTGGTGAATTACAACCAGGAAAACGCTGATGCCTCTGGGCTCATTCATGTGGTGAAAAAGGTCATTTAAAAATTCAGTTTTCTAGCTGCCAGTTATTTGCACGGAAGATAAAACCTTCCAAAGCTATAAATATTGAAGGCAAAAATACTTCTAAAAGGCTTGTAACAACACTGCTATATATACCCGTGTGCAAGGAGATGTGTATAAGGAAAGGGCAAAGAGTTTACAGTGTAGTACACTCATGATCTCTAGAGACAATAACCTATCTGACTAACTAACCCAGGAATTAGTTTAGGATGTCAGTCTGTGTGTGTACTTGAATGTCTTACCTATACATCGCGGTAATATGTTGCTCCACACTCGCCTTCCCCCTCCTAGACATGTGATCTTGGTGTCTCCCTCAAGTCGGTAGCCATTAAAACAACTGAAGGCCAGCGAATCGCCAACTCGAAATCTGAATCCCGTCCTCCTGCTGTATGCCGGTACACCGGGATCCTCACATGGCTCTAAGTCATACTCTACACATCCAGGAGAAAACAAAAACTTTGTTGAGAAGTCATTCTAAAACATTAAAGGTCCCCTATTATACTGTTTTTCATTACTTTATTATAGGTCTCAGATATATACAAAACATGTCTCTGAAGTGTTTGGCTCCAAATACCAAACAGATCATGCATTGCAGCATCCCATAATCCCCTCTGTTTCAGCCCTGTTTCAAAAGTGCTGATTCTCTGTCTGTTACTTTAGATGAAAATAAGGAGCCCCTCCCCACGCCCCTCTGAGAGATATTTGGTTAAAAAGAACACAATGGTGCTCTAGGAGATTCAGGTGATAAGGTGGCGGGGGTTACCTTGGTTGGTGATTGGCTAATGGTTACACAAGCCAGAAAATCGTTATGACATCATAAAGGGGCCAAAATCTGATCAGCTCATTTTCAGACAGGTTTTTATATAAATGGATCAGGACAAAAAGTGAGAGAATCTTTTGTCCTGAAACTTTCAGAATCTCTTTACACAGAGGGGACACATGTTGATGTAGAAAATACATGACAAAGTGCATTTTGCATAATAGGTGACCTTTAAAGGGGGATTTAATGTACAGGAACTACGGTAATGTTGTTAAGTAGGCCAAGACTAATAAATATAATGTAAATAAAAAAACTAATGAATAACATTTAAAGTACTAGTGGTATTTTCTTGCCTTCTGCCCACAGGGGGCAGCAACTAAAAAACGTAAAAGCATAACAACGTTTATATTTATGCTTTACCAATAGGATTTTCAAGCCTTTATTTTCGGTTTTAGAGAAATTATTTAGAATAACTAGTTGGTGGCAAATGTGTCTTTTCTTTGCCGCCGCACCTTCTGTACGTCAACAAACAGCAAATAACAGGTTCAACCAAATGTGGCTTAGAGTGCAATATCTAAATGCTTTTCCAGGTTTTATGAAAGGTCTGTGAACATGATTAGAACATTAATTAGCCTTAAAAGGCAGTTTCTTTTGGGGGAGTTCCTACCTGAGAAAGTGATATTAAAGCCTTCATAACTCATTGAAAAATCCGATATGAATCGTAGCTGAGCGCTGAAGTTCCCGTAGAGCCCTGCTTTGACGCTAGGGGGCAGCACTGAGCCGGTGAGTCGAGTCACTGGAACAAGGAAATTGGTGTCCTCAGTGATAGAAAGGTAGTCGTGGTTCTCCTCTAGATGAAACGTGTGGAAAACCAGATGGACTCCTAGAAATCAATGGATAAATGGATGGATAGATACAGAGTAAGTCACGGACTCATTAATGGCATCAGATGGAAAAAGAACCCAGAAACACAGCAATCTTGAACATGTGACCTTATCTTCCATGCAAATTGAATGGGTGTTTCCATTATTTCTGTGTACTGTATGTGAGTGCTTACCTTTCCCATGTGACACCTCTATAGTCCATGTGCAGTTTAGAGAATTGGGGTAGTAGTCAGGAAAGCCAGGAGACAGAATTGTCCCTGTTTTACCATAGACATAACCGCCACAAAGAGCTGCAAGAAGAAAGTAGGAGTAGGGTTAATTATAAACCATTTGCACTGAGCTTTGAAAGACATGAACAAATTCAAAAAAATGACCGATTATAACACTTGGAAAAAAAAAGACATATCTTAAGTACAGCACAAAATGACAGATTTCCTGCTCTAAATGTCTTTAGTTAACAGACTGGAATTAAACTGAATTCAGCCTTTTTAAAGCTGCTGAACTGCAAAAACCGGCATAATTGTGTCACTCTTGAGCATGGTGGCAGTATAGTGTTATGGCAGAATCTTTATTACAGCTGGCATATTCATTAAGGTCACATGGTAAGCTATATGATGTGTGTTACTGAGTTGGGTCACACAGAGTTAGAGAGACAATGGTCGTTCTGAATTATCAATAGATGTCTTCATTTTAAGTGAGCTGACACCGAGGTTAGAGGAAGTTCAGAGAAGGCCTCAGGTTATAAAAACAGCTAACCTTTGTTAGTTGACTACTCCTAAAGGATGTTATGAGATAAGTAAACTTTCGACATCTGGAACATACAAGTATAGCATTCAGAAGCAGAACATGTGATGTCGTGTGTTAGGTAATGTAAGGAAAATGAGGGTGCGTTGTTTTAGAATCCTATATATGTCTCTGTAAAGTTCTACTGGGTGGGAGCATTGCTGTAGGACTGCTTGAGAGCAGAGGTAAGGTTTTCCTGGTTATTATTGATTGTTGTACAACAAAATAATAATTGATCAACTATATCTGTGTTTGTGTTTTATTGATTCCTCTCTGTTTCATTGTTTCCTGTTGTGAGTGCTAAATTGCCACAACAATGTTCTCTACACAAAAATATCCTTGATATTCAAATAATTATAGGGAGGAGAAAACTCTAATAAAATGTAAATCAATAAAAGTACGGATGTTGAGTGGGTCAACCTGATTGTAAAAATGCATGTATATATTGCCTCAATAATCGCCTGATTATTTTCAGTTGGTTCACAACTATAAGTGACCCCTTTCACATTGTCGATTGAGACCTCATTATTTTAGAAATATGAATCATAGCCTCTTTAAACAATTACACAAACCATTGCCCAACCTCAACTGAGTTGTTTTAGTGGCCAGAATTACCGTAGGGGTCCGCTAACTTTTTCAAAAAATAAACAGTTCAAGACACTGTATCATCTAATAGTGACATTTCTGACATAAATGGAATCATTTTGTGTGTCCACAGGATACAGTATATAACATTCACTAAAGCTTTAATGTTGATTTAAACAAATCAGTTTGTGTCAGTTAATGTGAATTGTGAATAGTAAATAAGTAGAAATAAGAAAATGCAGTTTCTAGATACATTAAGAGAGAAAAAAGGGATAAGGCCAGATACAGTTAATTTAGAAACACAAATAAACATCAGGGACAATGTGACGAAGAGAGTGGTTTGTTGAGAAAAAGAGTGAGGGACTGGTGTGTGCGTTACACCTCGACTCCACACAGAGCCGGACCACTGATATGGAACAAACTGATTTAGGATATAGCAGAATGGAAAATACTATAGTAAAGTAATGGAGAGTAAAAGAAGGCTTACTGTGCCTTACAGACTGTTGAACTAAGATAAGTTTTATATTGACTATTTTTTGTTACTCTCACTGTGCCTATATGTGTATCAGCTCTTTTATGTTACATTTAATTCAATTTAAATGCATCAAGATGCTGGATGTGTGTGTTCCCATTAAACATCCCAGAATATAAACTAAATCAGAGACAATAACATATTTGTTCTTTTCTGTTGTAAAGTAACTCCTGCCTGACTCCAGGTTTATATTACATTACATGTCCTTTTTTGTTACTATATAGCAAGCTGAGATTCCACAGATTCGTATTAGTATCATCACTGTGCGATCAAAACTCGCGGCAGGGGAAACAAACCCAGACAACACACAACGTAGCTTTACGGGACCAAAACAGAAAATAAGTCTTACCGTTGCTGTTTTCTGATCAAAAGTTGTGTTTAATGGCATTAAAACGCATAAAACGCTGCTGAAGGTTAGTCCTATGTGTCTGTGTCACTTTGAAATGATTACTGATAATCCATCTTCATATGTATGTCAATAACGGAGTTTTCATATATAGCTGCTATGATAGCTACGAGAGTGTATGACAGCTTCCGGTTTTGGGCCTTCTGGCTGTGCATCACTCTATTCACCAATGGGTAATGTTTAGATGGATTTTAGGAACTTCCCCTCGATTCTATTGGCTCTAACGGTTAAAAAGTGGTGTCAATCATCAAAATCGACCGAGGGGGGCCATAGATATGGCAAATCCATCCAAATGACCCCAGAAGTGTTTTTTTTTTTCTAAATCTCTCTAAAAAAGGTAAAATGTCACTTGTTTTGCATCAATCTTGATACAGGGTACTTATTATATGTTATAGTTTGGATTCCTAAAGCTTTTAGTCTACTATCCCATCATTCAAGGGTGGTTTTCACTATAAGTAATGTTTTTGTTTTGGACGGACACTATCATTTACAGTTTTTTACTATGTTCAATCTGAATTTACTTTAAAATAAAAAATATCTATATTTATTCTGACTTTTCTACATCCAACTCACAGGTTTATCATTACTTTGAGAAAAAGGATTATTAATTTACCCCTTTTAGAAGGGAAGATATAGTCATTTGTTCTGGGAATGTCATTTTCGAGCCTGAGGCCTTAAAAACAGGCTTGTTGTCTTTGCATCAGCTTCAGGATTCAAAATGTCACTGTGCTCCTTCAATATTCTCCCTGGCACAGAATAAAATAGCAGCCAGTGTTCTGCATTCTGTGTTTGGAGATTTAGCTGACCTGTAGGAATAAGACGAGTGGTTTGGGTCCAAAGGGAATGGTCTCTGCACGCATGCGGGAGGACTACTTGTCATTTTGTTTTTCTTTTAGACACAATATTGTGAGAATAATGAATTTTGATGGCTTTGTAATGCAGTCGGTATGGCAGAAAAAGGTTGTCTGTTCCTAATAAAATGTTAACTGTGCCTTTGAGACTGTACTGTAAATAAGATTACTGTTGTTAATGCGACTATGTGTGTGTATGAATTGCTTTGAGTATGGCTTAGGGAGTTTTTAAAGATGATTTTCATTGTGCTATAAATTGATGTGAGATGTCTTAGTCTTTCTCAGTGGACCAGCGTGGGTTCGCTCTGGCTTCCTCCCAGAGCTCCAAAAGATGCAAATCAGTTGAGCTGGACTACCAATAGGTAGGAAAAGAGTTCACTTACAGAACAATATGGTTAATTATCTTTAAAATAAAAAAAGAATAGTCATGCTAAAACATATTTGACACTTCTTTCCAGTCCCAGGATGTTCTCAGAAAGCAAACCACGACATTTTATATTTCTAGTTAAGGCTTACACTCACTTTAGAAAAGTGCTATTCTGAAATAGTGTGTCTTCAGCTGTCACTGTGATGGCATGCTTGGCTGAAAATTGAAATGTCACAGTGGCCGTTTAAAACTGCTTATGTTATATGGCTGATACTGTGAGATAGAGTGCCTTAGTATAAACTCACTCCCAAGTTGAGACATCCTGACTTTGGCTATCAAATTGGATTCTTTTCAATCGGCAGAATGAATCAGACGCTGTGTATTCATCTCCCATGGTAGCTTAAGCTGTGTGCAGAAGCTGAATGGGAAGCCTGCAGTGGTCAGTGAGCATCTGTTTCAGCTATGCCTGTTGACCCGCATCATTTATCTGAGGCTCGATGTTCAACTTGGGCTATTGTGGTAAAGCGTACTCTGGAGTGGGGACATATTATGGCTGCCAGTCACACATAGAGAAAAAGGAGAAAACTGGGAAATAAGGTACTAATAATAACACCGACTCCCTCCCCCCCTCACACTCCAATATTACTTAGTTTGAAAATTAAGTTAAAAATACAACCTTCAAGCTTTATATTCATTTTTGTTTGGACCCAATGTTCCTATTTAATCATGTAAAGGTTTGTCTTGTGATATCTTAGTCTAATAACAAACCACTGTGTGAAACTTCACTATCCCAGTTTCATCTCAAACACAACAAACACGGAGTTGGCGGCTCGCTGAAGGGAGTTGAGCATAATCATTTACTGTGGACAATGCCACTGTGTTGAAGCCGAGGCTTGGTTGCGTGTGAGAGTGACGCAGCTGCAGCACTGGAAACTCTTCGCAAAATTATGCCTGCTTATTTCCCAATGTACTTTGTTTTGGAGCTGCAGTTCAGTGTGACAGGTGAGTTTAAAGGGACAGCTTTGAGTCATTTTAATACCGTCCATAACTAATTCAAAACAAGTCAAGGCAATATAGTTGAAAGCATTTTCAAGTGTGATGAAAATTATTTATTTGCTAAAATTGTACAATTTATTTAGAGTAGTTTCTTAATACATGGTCCAATTTTTTATTTTTCAAAAAAAGAGAATGGTACAACGTGGTCCAAGGTTACCGCAGGGGTTGTTGAGTGTTCATGATTTTCCCTCTGAGTGCATGGCTTTCCTTCAGATGCTCCCAAGACATGCATTACTTTACCTGGCAACTTTATATTGCCTGTAGGTGTGAATGTGAATGATTGTCTGTCTACGTGTGGTAGCCCTGTGTTAGCCTGGAGACCTGTCCAGTGACTCACGATCAACTATCATAGTCTCCATCCCCAGAGGTCGCATCAATCAAATATTTGTCATAGTTGACTGAATTAGAGCACCATTTTGACGGATTAGTACACTAAGGATTAATTCCATGCTTGCTTATACTAATAACACAAAAATAAAATAATTAAATAAAAGAAGTTACTCCAAATTACCACAACACTCAGCTATTCTTTCTTGGCTACAGTGTCTAGATGGAGAAATACAAATAAATCCTCTCTAATGCTTCCATAATCAATCAGATCCCTTGTTTTCTTCTCCAAGATTAAATTCAGATCAAGATGACTTGTTTTGCTAATCGTAGGAGTTAGTGTAAGCCCCTTTACAACAAATGGAACGTTTTATAAAATATTTTCAATGACTTTAAGGTTATGTTTAGACCTTTACTATTAAATGTGTTTAAAACATTTCAAACTGGATGTGACATGTTGTCCACAGAGTGACTGTGTTTCTTACATAATCACATCATTCTTGCTCTTAATTTATTTGTGTAGAGAGTACAAAAGGATCCCGCCACGATATAGGCTTTCATTAGGAGGGCTGAAATGAGAGAAAAGAAAGACTCTCACCATCACAATTGGGAAGAGAGTGACTCCACTGATGATTCAGCTGACACACAATTGGCTCCTGATCACTCAGTGTGTATCCCAGATCACATGCAAACGACACACGGGAACCAATGGAAAAGATGCTGCCATGGCGACGACCATTGACTGGGATACCAGGATCAAGACAAGAGTCTGACTCCATTTTCACACCTGAGAATCACATCAAACAAGAACAAAGACCACAGAGTCAAGAGAGTGAGTGTATATGCGTGTGTGTGGTAATTACACCTTTTTAAGCTGGGTCACACTCAGAGAATCATCGGAAAAAACATTGCTGCTGTGTATGAGTGCCAGAAAGCAATTCCCTGAGCGTCAACAAAACATTTCTATCAGTGAATCATTCTTACTCTCATATCTGATGCTGAAGCCTGCTGCCGAGCGGCTGTTGTCTGTCGTGAATAACAGGTACATGACGTTGGACGTTGAAATCAGGAAATTAGGTGCTTGGGTGCCGTGGTATTCGCCGATGAGAGGAGAGGAGGACGAGGGGCCATCCCTGATTTCCAGTGTGTCATAGTTGACCTCAGTCTGGAACCTAGACAAACAAAATATCAACATGTACAATAACCTCAGAGATAACATTTATATGGAATACAAAATGTGTGTGCAGGCTGCCTCACAGAGCAGTGGAACAAAGAACTAACATTTATTGGCAGTCAGAAGCAAGTGGTGTTAACAAACAGACGCAGAATGAGGATTCGGTAGAAATGCTTGATGAACTCATTTTAAGCACAGTTCATTTAACAATGTCAATAAATGAAGCTTACTTAAATAACCATAGTGATTGACTCACATTATACCTGCCTATTTAAATGACTTTGTACTCAAATAACCAAGTAAGTACCTTGTGTAACTAACTCGGAGAATTATTGACTGGCCTGTTATATCCCTCTTACTCTCTTTTGTCTCTGACTATACTGAGTAATTGATTTGACTGTTGGCTGACAGGGAATTAGTTGTGTCTGTATGGCACTGAGAACCAGTTGGTTCTGATGCCCTGAGCGCTGTTTGTTTGAATTGTAACCATAAAATACAGTAGGAACTGATCACATAAATCACGTAAATGCATTCACCTACTCAGTAGGACATACAATAAATAGTTAGGAACAACTGACACACTTTATAATCACAAACTGCATCTTAATATCAAACCAGCTAAATGAACAATGAACTATCCTCTGCACCAGACACAATCCTTCACAAATGATTTCCCTGGTAGGTGATGAAGATAGCTTGGCCTTTACGCCACTTCCCAAAGAGACAAATCTCAGCTTTAGCAATTTCAGGCTACACTGCATCTGCTAGTGGCTTGTTTACATAAAAAATGTGCAAAAAAGGCAACATTAATTATTCACTGCAGGAGTAATTTACCAACTACATTTATATACAACAACTTATTATGCTTCTGAATAACTGACATACTAATCGACTGACTAACTAATAACATGCTACCTGACACAGCAGAAGTAAACAAAAAAGGACTAATTTGGCAAATGTTCTGAGTAACTGCTGAACAAAATTAAACAAACTCTCTAAAATAAATGACTAACCTGTCAAAGTGTATCTTCACAGCATGGTCTGGCTGTGCCTCAATCACCCACTGGCAGTTCAAAGAATCTTTATAGAAGGAGGGCCAGCCAGGAGACAGCAGGACACCAGTAGGAGCTGTTAGATGGCCGCCACATGGAGCTACAGGGAAATAAACACAAACACGAGAAAGAGAGAGGGATAGAGGGAGGGAAATTAATCACTTTTTCTTGTAACTGTGTTATGGCCCGAGCACTATGCCAATATCACGAAAAAACAATTACATTCAAAAAGAAAGGTGTTGAAATTTACAGTAAACACATCAAAGCGGTAATTATTTCCTGAATTTTTTTAAGGAAATCAAGTACCACATATTACATTTTATGTGTGACATATTATTATTTGTCACATGAGCATTTGACATAACTATACTTGAATTCCCTGCGACTCAAAAAATGTACATAGTTGGGAGATCCTCACACTTATTTAGCTAACATTACATCTCAAACATGGCACATTCAAATATAAGTTTTTACTTTGGATATCAAATATGGCAAAATGGTTTCTTAAGGGTGTATTACAGTAAAGTGATTCCAGTCATTTCCTGAATTTACAAGACTGTTTTAGCTATTTTAGTATTTGCCTTATTAACTTAATCATTGTTTTCACATGAATAATAGATATTTATCAAAAACATTCATGCTTAGACATGTTGTGCTCTATATTACCCTCGCAAAATCTTAATTGAGGTTTTTTTTCTATAATCTTGTGATACAATGTTTTTCATTTTTCAGCCCTATCAATTGGTAAATGTATATTCATTTCCGTCTTGAGTGTTTAGCATTCATATAAATCAAACATGTACAGTTACCTCCTAAAAAACAGTTCAGACCTGGAGTTCATGACTTGTTTATTATCCACTGCTCTTTCTACAATATATCATTTTAAGATAAGATAAGATAAGATGGACCTTTATTAATCCCCGTGGGGAAATTCAGTTGTACAAAGCAGCAACAGGGTAAGCGTGAAAAAACAGGACAGCACAGATTCACAGATGAATAAAATAAAAAATAAAATCAAGAAAATAAAAAATTGAAATAATAATGATAATAATAATAAAAGACTATGAAATAGGAGATGAGTAAAAATAAGAGTAAAATAACTGTCAGCATATATACATTTTTTTTAAACATTTTTGACCCCTTGTTGTAGCCTGATGGCTACAGGCACAAAGCACTGTCCGAGGCGCTTGGTGCGTTGTCGTGGAGGGATGAGTCTGAGGCTGAACGTACTCCTCATCTTCACTAGCTCTGCATGGAGTGGGTGAGAGAGGTTCTCTAGGATGCTGTCGAGCTTCCTCCTCGTCCTCCCCTCTGCCACCTCCTCCAGATTGTCCAGCTGTACTCCAACTACAGAGCTAGCCTTCCTCACGAGCTTGTTCAGCCTGCCAGTGTCCCTAGTGTTTGTGTTTCCACCCCAGCACACCACGGCAAAGAAGAGCACACTGGCCACCACAGACTGGTAGAACATCTGCAGCAGCCTCGTGCACACATTGAATGACCTGAGCCTCCTCAGGAAGAACAGCTTGCTCTGGCTTGTCTTTCACACCCTAACCACTTCTTCTGTTTTCAAGTAGCATATACCTTCGCCTCTCATAACTGCACACTTTCAGCAAGCTAAAGAAAATTACCTTTACATAACCTATTCTGTGAATGCTGAAGCTGTGGTGCTCGTGAATCAGATGCACAAGAGTAAGTCATTCTAGAAATAAAATATAATTATCTTTCCCTTACCAATGGGAGGGATAATATTTTCCAATACTCCATATTTAATAAGGTGACAACCCTATTCAATTGTGTCCTCTATCCCATTTATTAACAGCAGCCAACATTTGATAATGTCATTTCGACAATACAATCAAGATGGAGGGGATGGAAACAAAGATAAATACAAATACTCACAGGCAAATTAATAACATTTGCCTTTAAAAAGACATACCATCACATCCACTTTCCTTTTAATTCTTATTATTACCCCCACATAAGCTTATCTGCAGACTAATGATACATCTCTGGATATTGGAGTCTGCATAAAATGAATGCGTCTGCCTGAATTAGTTTCAGCAGAACCTGTGCCAATCTTGTTTAAGATTATTGTTGAGAGAGGAATATGCGTGCAAACAGGCTGAATAAGTGTGAGGAGGCTGGAGGATAAAGCAATTAGAAGAGCAAATGTATACAATTCCTAAGGTGTATAAGCATATTAAAACTGCTTTGTCACCTTAGAATCTGGCAAGAAGAACATTTTCTAAGATGTTCCCATTGCACGCAGTAAACAGTTTGTGTGTGGGTTTACCTTCACAGCGAGGTACTGCCGCAGACCAAACAACATTTCCCTCCTGGATGATGCAAGTGACCTGATCAGACCCCTGGAAACAAGACATCAACATATGATGATAAGGTACATTATTTATTTTAAGATAAGATACGTTTTCATGTTATTTCACGTCATGTCATGTCTGTCTATTTATGTCACGTCTCGTTTTCCATTTCCTGTTTCATTTTGTACTTACCTCTTGTCTCTCATTCCAGGCCCTGTTACTTCCTCCCTTTGTGTGTTTTCCCGCCATCGTCAGCGTCTGCCCCGCCCCTGATTGTTTCCACCTGTTCCCACTCATGTTTAAATAGTCCTGTCTCTCCCCTGTCCTGTGTCAGTTCGTCTTGTTTGTTTGCCACGAATGGTCATGCCAGGCCTCAGCAAATAGAGGATCGAGTCCAGTCAAGTCAGGTTGTGTTATTTTGCTATTTTTGTAGACTTAAGTTAATCTTAAGTTCCTTTTTTTGTTACGCTTTGTTTTTTCCTCCTTGTGAGCGCTTTTTATTATTCTAGTACCTACTCTGTTACCTATTCTGTTAAGAGGGATTTTTGTTCTTTGAAATTAAAAATAAATTGTTGTTACATTCAAGACTTTGTCTCTGGGTCGTGTATTTGGGTTCTCCAGTCTGTGTCGAGGTCGTGACACATAGTTAATGATTTTAAGTATTAACACACCTATTACCAACACTAATGTGCATTCTTACAATTCTAATACACATCTTATATAACTGTGAGTAATACTCTATTACGGTATATTTAAACTGATATTTACCTGTGTCCTAATGAATCCCTGGTCACAGCGAAAAGCCACGGAGCTGCCGAGCTGAAACTGGTCTCCATACCTCTGACCGTTGACAGGAACTCCTGGGTCATGACATTCATTCTGACCAAATGCTACAGAGAAACAACAACGACAGAAGAGTTAAAGAAGCAGACAATACACACAGAACTAAGTAAAGAATATGACACAATGACACATTTCTTTGTGTCAAAAAAGATTGAGAAAAATGACGCATTGTGCCTACAGACCTGACTGTGGGATTTGTATCGATAGAGTGGTTCAGAATACATGTCCGTATTTCATAATTTACACAACGTTCCCTGGTTTTCAATTTATTTCAATTTATTTCAATACCTGAAAATTGGTTTTACCTGGAAAAAACAGGGTTTGAAAAGCCACTGCTGTATCACTGTCAGTTAAAGTGACACCTCTACTGATATGGAAATATGGGAATGGAATTATCTTCACGTGGATTCAACCCTGTCATGTTTGGCTTATATCATCCCCATTCCAGAGATTAACCTGATCCCACCCAGAGCACATGCCCAGTGATTGGACATGTCTCAGGTTGATTAGCTACTGACGGAGAGGAAATGAGAGCAGAGAGAGAGAGAGAAGGAAAGGGCACACATATAAAACAAGTATGTATATGTCAAATACGAGTATGACATACCGACGGATGGATTCAAGCCCATTTGTATGTACATGTGTTCACATACAGGTGTGGAGCAAACAGATGTATAAAGGGCATACCAGAGAAGAAAAACATGCACTTTGACACCAGATATAGAGAGAAGTGGTGGAATAGATTGGCAGGAACAAAACAAGGAGAGGAGTGTATACATATATATGAAAAAACACAATGACAAATGACCAAATATTGAAATGATATGTGTAAGCTCGAGAAGGGAAAGAGAGAGTGTACGATGAGTGTCTGGGTTGTGGCTTTTGAAAAAAAAAAAACTAATTAATTTTAGATAGTCAATTATTGGAATTAAACATTTGGTCTAAAAATAGGTAATAGAGAATATGGTTTTGTTAACAGTCCATTAGTGAAAACACTTTTTGAACATAATAATCCCTAATCCAATTATGGCGATGATGTCTTTAAATATCCTTAACTGTCATTACATTGAAGTAAATCATTAGACGTGGAAACCATTTACCCTATGGGATCAATTTCCCTTGACTTTTATTATTATATTTGCATATAACTGCTCAATCTGGTGTGTCAAAGTTCATATTTGACTTTCAAACATTCATATAAATAGAGACTGATGTAGCCACTGAAACTCCAATTGATATTCATATATGCATTAAAATGTTAATGGGCCAAATTACAGATACAGCACAAAGATGCCTGATTTTTATTAAATCCCTAAGTACAATTCATATGATCATTTCAAATTCCTAGAAAGTTTCATGATCACAAACTATATGAATACAGTTCAGCTTTTTTGGTAAAGAGTACAGGTATTTATCCATAGTACCTTATATACAATCCTGTTGACCATAGAAATAATAAAAAAAACAAGCGAGTATAATCATTTGTATTTACTCTTAGACATATTAGTGAGTTAAACAGGATTCTGATGGCATATGTCTGCTTCCAATATTGCATTTAACCTTTCATTTGTCTTAGGATTAGCATGCAAAAAAGTGTTAGAGGTAGGATCTTTCTTGAATACTCGGCTGTGCTGAAGACCCGAAAAAAAAAAAGTATTCTTTCATTTGTCAAATGTCACCTCTCAAGGAAGAGTCAGAGACAAAGTCATTTGGGAGGCAGTGTGTGAAATGGTGCAAAACCGCATGCAAATCACAGAGAATGAATCAGAATAAACCATGCAGAACTATTCCAGCTTAGTGCAGATAAATACACAGGCTGCAGTAGTCAGGTTCAAAGCTGACAATGGGACAGGTTTAACTAGCATGAGTAAGACTTAAAAACAGATGATCAGTCAAGCAGTAACACAGCAGGAGTGAGAAGGAGAAGTGCTTAGAGACCATCTCCCCTTATTCAGAACATATTATATATTGCTGCTGCATTGGATTATAGACAACTAACATTCCTGTGTGCATCTCTGTTTCTATTATCATTCAAAATGATGTGGCAAACTGCTGTATCCATCAAGAAACTTGGTTTTGCTCCTTTTCCGAGGAGCTGACCTCGAAAATCTGTTGCTCATCTGCTGTCCTTTTATGAATGTTGAAAAATGTTGTGCTATCAAACCTCCATTGTAGTGGCTCTAAAAACATCTCAAATGGGATGTCATGCTGACATTTGTCTGGAACACTGCACAGAGAGAGTGAAATCCAACAATACACACTAGAAATAGTACACAAATTAAGGCCACATTACACATAATAGTTTCTGAACCATTTCAATGTGTGTTTAGTTTGATTGGGTTGCATGCAAATACAGTGACAGACATAGAGATACAAAGATAGGTTGCACATACTGGTGTAGCTGATATTGAAGCCTTTTCCAGTATTGGAATGATCTGATTGAAATTCCAGTCTCATAATGTGTCCATTCGAGGCGATCTGTGATGGAACGTCTTTCCCCGAGAACGTCCCGAACGTTGTTGGCTCAGACAGGCCTGAAATAGAACAGAGTTCAAACACACGTTTTAATGGTGCCCATCTTATTCCAGCTCAATAACATTAGGCCAAGGACATACTTGGAAAGTGAAGGACTTCTGTGAAAGACTAATACAAAACACCCTATGAGACTCAAGAGATGTAGCAAGTGTTATTATGCAAGAAAAATAAAAATACTGTGAGATGACACCATATAATCCCAGACTCCTGAAAAAGTTAGCAAATCCTAAAATGTTGTTTTGAATTCATTTGAAGACAAATGCAACCAACGTACATGGTCTACTTTATTAAGCATGCCACCTCTCTAGGAATCAGCGAAGTGAAAATCACCAGAGAAAAGGGTTTTTGAAAGCACAATGGCTAGCACTATTAGCCCATCACCCGCCTGTCAGTCGGATTAAATCATTTAATGGAGTGAAAAGAACCAATTCAATTCACTTCATTCAGTTCTGTAATACCGTCAATACCAAATGGAGAAAAAAATCCATCATAGGACCTGCATTTAAAATCTAATTTAAGAAATGTAAACAAGTATTAACAGCAAACTGTGCCAACGTATTGATTTGTTGTATTAAAACGTTGCAGCTGTTCCCTGGAGGAGAACATGTTGACTACTTCATCAGCCTTTTGGAAGTTTTAACATCAGCAGTGAGCTACATGGTCTTTGTTGTTACAAACTATGTGTCGGACATTTTGGTGTTTTTCAATCAGGCCAAGGACTACTTTATTTTCTGCAGGTTTAGTATTTTGCTGAGACCATTGAAATGAGGATACAATGTACAATTAATGTGCTTCTAACAAGGATACATCCTGTTTATACAAAGCTCTAACTTTCCAACTCAATGGACAAAAGATGAAGTGATCTGAGAAATGTAGCCCCCTGTTTTGTACTGCATTGGAGCACCTTTCACACCATTAACACCTCCCACATGTCTCTGCAGTGACTCAGCAAGAGACCTGTTGGGTTCTGGTGTTAAAGCAAACCAGAAAGGCATCAGTGCCTTGAAAAAAACCCAAAGGTTGGTACGTAGATGCTCTTTTCTACAGATGCCGCTACATTTGAGTGACTACCAGAGAGACTGACATCAGGGGATTGTGGTGTGTAGGTCATTAAAGTTATTTCGCCTGAATGTGTCTTGAATCTCGCATTTCTGGACAACTCTATCACCATGCCAGGGAGCATTATCCTGTTCCAAGTACCCATCATCCCCTTTGGGGTACATGATTGCAATGAATGGCTGAACCTGGCTGCTATGTTAGGGTATGCTGTGGCATTAAGGCACCGCTCTAGAGCCATTAAAGGCCCCACTGTATACCAATTGAATGGCCTCAGCAACCATTACACCTCCCGCACTGGCCTGCACGGCTGTAACCATGCATCACCTCATTTCAGTCTGAGACATTTGTGTCACAGCATAGGACCATTTACTACAACAAATGGCTACATGATTTGTTTTGGCAGAATACACTCTGCTCTTGAGGGTGCTCTCAAATGATCCAACCAGCAGCGACAGATTCAGTGGGGAGCATAATAAAACCCTAAAGGGCTACACAGAACAACCCAGCAGGCTCATATCAGTGAGATATGGTATGGACATAATGCAAAAGGAAATAAATGCTAGCTCAAAATATGGTGATAAGACAGTTGAACAGGAGGAGGCTGAGGTGGTTGATGGAGAAATCAATCGCCTGCAGCCAGCAGCAGTAGTTTGTAGCAGGTACAAATAAACAGATTAACCACCAGCAGCAGCAGCAGCGCCATGATAATCATCAGTAAGTGAAGGATATTGTGAAGTTCTAAAGACGACCGTATTGTCTTGATTGAAAGAAACTGGAATTATATTTTTCCAGTGTGATCGGTGATTATAAATGTCGTCTGATGCTGATGAGCTATCAGAATGCACAACTTCAGCTCCCGGACAGAACTAACACAATGCTTGTTGCTGATGGCCCACCAGGAGTCTAGCAGATTGGTGCTGGGAGAAGCAGCACGGGTGATTATTCATTATAGACTTTGCCACACAACATTTCCATTGTTATTCCACTAAGGACCTTCTACTGAAAGGCAAATGGTTTGATGCGGTGTCTTGTATCTTGTGTTTTTTTTCATTGATTTCCTTTGAGAATGCCATTGCTACAATTTCAGGCACCTCTGTTGTCGAAGTGATGCTCACATTAACCCTCTGGCATCTGCAATTATGTTTGTAATTCATTTAACAATATTAAACTCTAGTGTTGGTAATCCATTCCTATTTAGAGCAAATGTGTGTATACATTTGCAGTTGCAATACCAATGTAAGACTTACCTCCTCCTGTCATTGAGTGTATTCCTGTGAGAGTCTATTTAGGAAACCTCACAAACAGATTTTACTGTATGATTGTGTATTAACTATCTTAGGGGCAAGTACAATATCAGATCTGATTCACAGAATCATTTACACAGCTTAAAATATGCCGTGCATATTGGTATACGTAATGGCTGAAGTGCATGGTATAGACCAGGGGTCTCCAACCTTTCTTCATCTGAGAGCTACTTTCAAAAAATGAAAGTGGCCAAGAGCTACTTGCATCACATCGCTTACATTTATTCACATAGCCCTCATCAGTTGAATTAAGCTATACTTTTGTACACGTGTGAAATTGCAATACCTAAAGCTTATCAAAAATAAGGTCCAAGAAAACGAAGATTTCTCACATATTATTATGGCCCACATAATAAGTACATCACTGAACATTCACATAAGTGTCCTTAATCACCACCTTACAAGCATTTCACTCTTTTGTTAGTGAGATGAATGGCACTGGATGCAGTCCACCATAGAGGTGTATGCTGGACCCACTTAGGTTCACTTAATAGAGTCATTTAAATGTTCATCAGTCGGTCTTGTTCTGTATTTAGATTTCATTCATGTCAGAAAAAGCTGCTTCACAAAGGTATGTAGAACAGAACCAAATAAAGCAGACATTTTCAGTGCTGCTTGGTGAATGTTCTTATAGTTTTCTGGGTCTACAAGGCTCCAGAAATGTTGTGAGTTTTGCTGAGACTTAAGCTGAACATTATTTTGGAGATATCCACACGATTGACACTGAACAGTTGTTCAGCCATCTTTTTCTTCTTCTTCTTCGTCTTGACATTAAATTATAAACCATAATAAATCAATTGTATAGGTCTAGCCTCCCTATATCTGTGTGTGAAAATGGTTCCATCCTCAAAAACAAAAAAAACTAATACTTCTGCAGTCTAGCTGCAGCTTCTAGCTACGGTCTTCTGTTAAAAAAAAGACACTGAATGTCTTGAATGTGGCATCACACACATAACTTGAGTCTGAAAACAGCAGGAGGGAGTAGGCTATTTACAATAGCATTATAAAAACAAAAATAGTGCATGTGGGTGCACACTTACATTCTCTGTCTTACTGTTACATAAATCCCATGAATGTATGAGATTATTAATCTCATACATTAACTTAATCTCAGTTAAGTTAGCTTCATCATATCTCAATCAGTGATTAAGTGAATAATAAAGTTTCTATCGGGTCACTATCAGCCTGTCACTCATTATTTTCAGGGAGGGAGCGGGGTTTGGAGGAACGGAGAGGAGACGGTGATCGCGGAAGCTTTCCTCCTGGCTTCACAAACTTTACACAAGTATTTATCAACTGAAAATAGCAAGAGGACATTCATACTCTGCAATCCAAGACTTGATTAAATCCACCAAAAACCTGACATGACGATAACGAGTGTTTTAAAAAAAAACACAAATCCTTCCCTGTGTGTCTCTGAAGCGCAGCGACAGGGCCTGATTCAGAGCGGGTCATTCTGCTGTTAGTTCTGGACTGGTGTTGGTGGAGAAAGCAGACTGCTCCGTGTGTGTTGTCGCTGTGCTGCTGTCACGTCTGTTCCTTGATCTCTGCGTCACCGACCATTTGATATTCGTGTGACAGAAAAAATTCTAAAATAAAAAAACGTTATTGTCCAGCCGTGGCCGAAAAATCAATAAGCAACCTTACTACGCTATAATCGATAATCGAGCGGCGAGCTACTGAAAAGCTGCCCGCGAGCTACCGGTAGCTCGCGATCGACGTGTTGGAGAGCCCTGGTATAGACACTGTTTCATATATTTTCATTTAAATCAAGCAAAGTATTTAAACATAACAAATCTGCACAATCCATCACAGTGTGTTTTAGATGACTTTGTTAAGTACATACCCTCCAGTCCAAATAATGTTATAAATCCACCTACAAAGTGAGAAAGCTTTAATTTCTTCCTCCTTGACTTTTGGATTCCTTTCACTTTAGAGTCTATTCGGCTACACAGCTGAATGAGTTGCACAGTGCCAGTCTCTTTGTTCTTCGGCAACTCAAAAGCTCTTTCACTCCATCAATTGTTGCATTGATAGGCAAGAGACCAGAAGTGGGAAGAGAAGCAATGAGACAATAGCTGAAAGAGTGACAAGGTCCTACATTATCTTATCGAAGAGAGGAGATTCACAGAAAAGCCTTTTGTAAAAGTCTATCACTATCTTCTATTATATTAGATGGCGACAATGGTTTCCGATTATGTTAACCCTTTATAAAGTGTTTAAAAGCATACTTTAAGATTCGAGGCAGGGTTTAATGCTACAGTTCTGCAGCTCAGAAGATTAATGGCTTGATTATTACTTTGCTCTGTTCACTTGTGCTCGCCATTTGTTTCATTCAAATGATCTATTATCCAGGGATTAAATAAGAAGTCATATGCTTCAAGGTCATATCAACTCCTTGGTGAATGGAACAGCCCTTGGGTTTCTCCCATGCAGGGACACTTTTATCTTATGGCATTAGAATGCAAATGATGTTTCCCCTTGGACTAAAGCATCCTTTTTATGTATGCATGTATTAAAGGCATAGCAGCAGATAGTTAGTCACCACATTGGTTTCATACCAGCACAGTTGTTAATAATAAGGATAATAATGCACAAAAGGAGATATCAAAACATTTATGAATAATCAATACATATTATTTTATGAATTAGCAACCCCCCAAAAAGTTATCTGGTTATTTAAATGGCTGCCTTTTTCAAATATATTCTCAAATCAACTTTATAATAAATAACTACAAATTAACTTTCCATGTCAATGCCGAGTATTATTTTTAAACTAATGTTCTCATCTGTCAGTAGTTAAACTACTGTGGTGCGGCCTTCCGGTCCAAATGCATTCCTTAGTATATTAAGTGTGATTCTGAAACACTATGTTTTAAATGTGGCCTACACAAACAGTTGTTTACCTTCTTAACACATATTAGTAACCATAACGGCTACTTTAGTTTATACTGATCCTTTACAAGATGCTTACATCTGTTCAAGATACACAAAACCAACTGTTTTCTTTCTTACTGATATGCTGTATGCCTTAAGGTTTCATAATCATTATTCATGTCATGTCAGGTATTTACTTTTTTTGGTTGAAATTTCTACACAAAATAAGAGATAGTGTGTTTTTCATGCGACAGCAGTGATCTATCCCTCAACGGAACAAACTGGAAGACTTTGAAGCAGCAACTTTTATGTCAGTTTGTCTGTTGCAACAGCACTAATTGGCCTGCAATTTTCAAAACCCTGAGTCAAAAACAAAACGCCTGCAGAGGGACAAGTTTACAGCCAGCCGATTAAACACGACTTCATCTTTAATGACCAGCCATTCAAACCAGGGCTTCATTTGATTCAGTTTGAATCAATAACATTTATTACAATGGGGAACAGTGGTTGGAACAAATGCCCTGTGTTCTGTGTGTAGTGGAAAAGTGCACAATAAAACTAGTTATAGACTTAGATGAAAAGTTGATAAAGAGTGAATGATTTGAATGTTTTACCATTTCAGTGCACATCCATATTTCAGCAATGTAGAATGTATGCATATCCTGAGGGGTTCATTTGACACATACGTTTTAAAAAGATGGAGATGTATTAAAATACAATTACCTTCATCTTTGATCATCAACCAGTCAAACTGTGGCTCCAGGTCAAAGTCGGAGAAGAGGAGATGAATACGACTGCCAGGTTCAGAGATTATCAGCCACACACAGTTCAAGTTGTTCCCATACTCCTCTGGGTAGTTTGGGGACAACACAGTCCCCGATGGAGCCGTGAAGTTGAAGAAACATGAGACTACAAACAGCAAGGAGAGAAGGAAGAACGGCAGGACGGAAACAAGTTAAGTAAGAAAGAATATGTATATGTTATGTATATATCTGTATAAACTGTGTGTACTTACAGATACAAGTGGGTTTATTGCCAGACCACTGGTTGTTGTGCTGGCATGTTATGCTCTTCTCTCCCACGAGTTCAAAGGCCGCCTGGCAAATGAAGGTCAAAACGTCTCCATGTTGGAAGCGATCACCGTTACGGCGACCGAATGCCGGCACCCCGGGATCCCCACAGCCGCCCCGTTCGATCTCTGTAACACACGACAAGGGCAGCCATGTTTTTAAACTGATAATGAATGTCAACATGCGACATGATGACATTCAGATAAGCGGGTTGTTTGGGATGTTGGGCTAAATGGCAATAAGATGCATACAATGATTTAATGATGGCTAAGAGTCAAATCCTGAACATTTTGTATGGGGTGTTTACAATATAGTAGCTATTTTCATCCTGACTTAAAATGGTGATTCAATGTTATATCGATGTCAGTATATTATGATATTCTTACCACCTTCTTTAGCTTTGTGTTTAGGGTAAAGATGAATCAGTCGACAGCCTGTTAACAGACCCTTCTAGTAATGTCTGAACTCAAAGGCCATATTTAAAAATCACACACTAGCTACTTTCTTAAAGACAGCTGGCAGCAGTCCTAATTGTTAACAGGTTGATGAATGCTAAGTAGCGAAAGGTCTTAAAAGAAGGACTGTCAGCAACGCTATTACTGCTTGTGGAGCAGAAAGAATGGTGATCATGCCAAGGGTCTCCTTTTTTACATTGCTGTGTTGCTATGTGAAATGTAATACAACCTATGAGAAATGAATGTTATTCCCCATCTCACAGCTAATTGTCATCAGTGTAATTATAGTGTAATTCAGCTTTAATTGTGAAGGGCAAAACAAATAGTTGAGGCACACAGGTAGATGCAAACACACGCAATGATCCATGGTACGCTTGTTAAGAAACCAGCAGGATGTAAAGATTGCAGAGCAACACTGATCTTTGTGGCATCGTATAGATTAGAATAAGACTGCCTCCCATACACAGATGTTGTCTATCTCCTTTCTCTTATTCTTTATATTTCTATTTCTTCCTTTTCAAATTGCTCCCGTCCTTCTTTCCCACTGAGCTCAATTTTCTTCTTATCGCTCCCGCTCCTTCGAATCTGATTCAATACTCTCTGCTTTATTGGCATGAGTGTCACATTAGCAGTACTGCCAAACTGGCCTGCAATCATATTCTATTCATTTTGTCACTCTTCTTGTATCCTTCCTTCCCTTAATAGCAGTGTGGTTTTATGCTCTGCTCTCCCCTTTCTCCTCTCCTTTAAAACTTGACATTCTACCAGACGTCTGTCATCCTGTAACACATGCTCCACCATGCTTCTGAATTCGCTTTGGGCAAATACATTTCAAGGTGAGCAGTGTGTGTGTGTGTGAGTGTGTGTGTGTGTGTGTGTGTGTGTGTGTGTGTGTTCTACACTTTAAACTATCTGTTGGGATGGAAGTACACCCGCAAGAATAGAAAACTCAAAGAGGTGGCAGGTGTGTGTTTCCATTTGTGTGTGTGTGTGTGTGTGTGTGTGTGTGTGTGTGTGTGTGTGTGTGTGTGTGTGTGTGTGTGTGTGTGTGTGTGTGTGTGTGTGTGTGTGTGTGTGTGTGTGGCCAAGAGCTCTTTGTCACACAATTGACGAGTGTCAGGATAGATATGAACGATGTTGAGCCCCTGGTAAGCATGTCCTTATGTTCCCACTACCCACTACCCAGTACCCACTTCTTGAGCTCACTATTTTGCCTTTTTTTAGTTTGATCCTTCTTTTTCTAATATTCTGTCATTTTCAATTCCTTCAAAGTTTAAGAGTTTTACTGAGATGCAGAAGACAGATTTATAACTCAATACAACATTGTATACTTCTGTTTATTTTCCTTTCTAAATGTCATATATTTTACAAAGTTATCTACTTAATTGAGATTAAAATAAACATAAAAACAGAGGGTAAAAGTTATGAAATAACAACACAAAACAAGGGATTTAGATTTAGATGTATTCTATTATATGCAAGACACAGAATGTGGTTTCAGTTTGTTCCAGCGATTTGTAAATCAACTTGCAGAGGATGGGAAATGCAGAGGGATGTACAGAAAGTATCAATCCTTGTGAGCAATTCACACTCAAAAGTTTTTGGGATAAAATTCTCATACTTTCTTTTGTTGGTTTATCTAACTGCTTTTATAAAACTTCTGTAAACAATAAACTATTCATGCATCTTTATTGCATGCTTTTTTAGGTTGATTTCCCCATCGTCAAAACCAAGTCAAAGTCAAGATTTAAAATCTGCAGTAAGGCAACAAGGTATCCAGATGCTGTTTTCCTAAAGTCAAAATTATACTTATACTTCAAATTCTACAGAATAATCTTTAAGACATCAAATGCTAATTTGTAGTCCTTTGACGAGTTAAAAAAGAATTACATTATTTATATCGTTACTCATTTCACAGCCAATTGCCATCAGCCTGAAAGTTGGCCGTAGCGTTTCACTGAAAGCTTCAATTATCATAATGGGCTGTGTGTGTTTAGGATATTAACTCACTCTATAATTACTCTCTCTCTGTCAAACATGCATATAAAGACACAGAAACGCACACAGCTGCAGTGATTGACAAGTGTAGCATGACAGAATCGCGTTTTCCTGCAGGGCTGAAACCCTACGAGCACTCAAGGGGGGGAACTGATCAAAGAGTGTAACTTGGTGACATTATATGATGTGACAGCATCATATATATATGCAAGGGCAAACACACAAAACACACCAAAGGCAGATGTTCAGTTATCCTGGGGAAAAGATCGTCTAGAGGTTATTAACTACTTTTAGTTCTTTGTTTGTTTCCTCTTTTCTTAGTTTCATAATGTGATATGTGTCATTGTCTTGAAATCAATATCACATAACATTGTTTTCGACCTCTTAGCCCAAGTTAACTGGTCGTTTGTTTGTACCACAAACCTGAAACCAATAGAACAGCTGTACAAGAGAGCTATCAAGGTGTTTGACAGAAAGCCATATTCATACCACCACTGTACCATCCTTGAAAAACACAATTTCTTGAGTTTTGACAATTTTAAGTCTTTTAAAAGTATGTGTTTTATTTATAAATGTTTACATGGACTGGCACCCCCTCCCTTAGGGGAATTCATCCACAGAAAACACACTGGACGCTGCACTAGGTCAGAAACCAGAGGAGACTGTGAAGTCCACCGCAGACGGACCACTTTCTGTCAAAATGTTCTATCAATTAAGGGCAGCTCTTTGTGGAATAGCCTCCCAACTGAGATACGGGATTGTCCCACTTTGAACAGTTTTAAAGGTCAACTAAAAGAATGGTTGAGAAACAAACAAACGTGCAATCACCGCTAAATGCACTTCAATACATCTACATAGCATCTCCTCTTGCACTTGATGTAGCTCTTTGATCTCCTCCTGCACTTGATGTAGCCCTTGTATCTTCTCCTGCACTTGATATGTCGTAGCTGCTACATTGTACTGCCATGTGGTAAATGCTTATATGCTGCTCATGCTCTTTCTGCATATCATGTATTTATTTTGCTATGTATATAAATGTCATGTTCTTAAATGTTGTATGTGAGGGACTACGGATGGAAACTAGCTCAAAGCTAAAATCCGGCATATTTACGTTTTTAAAGCATTATTTGTTTTAAATGTTCATCAATGTGCACTGTCCCTCTTCAAATAAATGATTAAATGAAAAAAAAAAAGTTGTAAATAGGAAAAAGACCCTAAATCTTAACCTCATGTTGAGCCAATGAAATATGTAAGCTGATGTCAAACATCACCTGCGTACAGTTTAAGGCAGTTTCTGCAGCTACACTGTGCTGAATCCCCCTCACAGTCACTGACCCTGGCACCTCTGTCACGAGCATCATTTAATCAAACATAGCTAAGCAGAACCAAGAGCACAACCTTCATCCCTCCACCATTCATGCTCACCTCCTCTCTCACACTTCTGTGATCTCTCCGAGTTTATTTCTTCTCACTCAATTTTGTATTGCGTTTCCTACTGTCCGTCAAACTCCTGTTGTCCTTTGTCCTCTGTCTCTATGTATAATGAATTACTTTTCTCTCTCTACCTTTCTTACTCTTTGACTCTGGTTAATCCAATTTAGTTTGGTTCCATTTAGTTCAATTCGATTTAAGGAGCTGGCATGGTGAGATGCAGAAGGTAATCAAATATATAAATATTATAAAAGGATTGCTCTAAGTAATAAATATTTAGAGGAACATATATATATATCTCTCGCTCACCTTCACTCACTGTGACTGTCACCATCTTTATCTCTCTATCAGTGTCAGCTTTGGTATAATATGAAAAATAACCAAGCAAAACGATCAACTGATTGACTCATAATTCATTTATTACCTTCTTGTAATGCACAGTCACACACACACTCACATGTATACACAAGGACAGACAACAACAGTTGTGTTCACCCTGTCAGCAAAGCCATGACTTTCACACTCCATTATGTATGCATCTTGTGTGTGTGTGTATGTGTGTGTGTGTGTGTGTGTGTGTGTGTGTGTGTGTGTGTGTGTGTGTCAGATACAGAGGGAGTGGTTTAAAAGCTGTGCATTCATTACAATGGAGGTCTTACCTTCGAAATGTGCCTTGAATCCCGCAGAGCCGATGGTATCATCTGACTGCAGGTGTAGCCACATCTGATTGGACAAGCTAACGATGAGGTCAGGGACACTGGAACCAGTAAGTCTACACACAAATACACACACACATACACACTGTTAATAAGCATTACAGGTTAATCGCTTTCCACTTAAAAGCGAGACTAAATTATCTTTAAATTGATTTATTTATGATTGGTGTACAGCATTGTTTATGCACACACATAGCATTCCTTTTGTAACCCATATAGTTAAAAATAGAACATCAAATGATTGTAGATATCCAATATATACACACATTCATTGGTCTTCAATTCTTCTTCTGATTGCCACCATTAACGTGTGTCAATATTACTATATTATAAGACAGAACACATGGTGGTGCTTACACAAAGAGTACCCTCCGAGTGTCTCCTATCTTCCCTCCATCTCCCACAGTAAGTGTGTCGTATCCTCTTTCCAGGTCAAACTCTTCAAATGACAGCTTTATCACCTGGAAAAACCAAAAGAAAGCAAGCACAGAAACAGTTATAGATACAGACAATCAGCAAAGGTGAGAATAGATCAAAGCAAAAAGGAAGACAACAGAAGAGAGAGTTTTTTATAAATGCCTGCAGGTATGGCCTCTTGCTGATTCACCCTCACAATTTCCAGCAATAGAAACTCATGATTATATCACTGGGGACATGTGAAACCTTAGAATTGAAATTCTGTTTGACAAACTACTTCCTCTCGAGAAATTAAAGTGCTACATGAAGATAAGGGCTGCATGTTAACAACACTAAATGAATAATAGTATTTTGTAAACAAAAAAAGATACTTTTAGAAAAGATAGGCAGGCTCTGCCAACCTCATGACCTCATGGCTAATTAAGTCTGATTCATTCCATGAAGTCATTTGTAATCACAGCAGAGAGGAACGTCACTTCAGAGCAAAACATAGGTACGGACAGTCCTAGAGAGTAATGTTCTTCTCAATTACCTTCAGGAGTGAAACAATACTGCAGTGACATATTCTCTGTAGTACTGTATATTATATTGTAAATGTGAATTTGGAAAAATAAGGTACATTGAGAAAAAAAGAGAAATACTGAAACACTGCTTTAAAAATGTGTGAGTAATGATAAACCAGAGAGAGGGAGAGACAACCAGTGTTCTTGGCTGTGACCATCCTCTAATTGAATGAAAGCTGCTTTGCCAAAGGTATAACAATTAATTTGACAGTGACATATTGATATTTCTAAAATAATCCATCTTTAATGCAAGAGGGCAGAGAGAAGAACTCCAAAACAGAAAGCAGCCTTGCTTTTATTTGGCAGCATCCTTTGTTATATTCATAGTTAAACAAATCTCTTCAGGGAGCCATGTCTGCTGCACCCTGCAACACATCATTCTGCTGTTGAACACTGAGAAAGTAGGTGTTTAATGCCTTACTTGCAGGCACGTTTGTGGCTGTAGTTGCATGCATACAGCACTGGGTCATCAATCTACTGTGCCCTCTAAAATGCCGTAATACTGGTCTTCTATTATTTGCTGCTTGTCCATTATTTATTAGCTCTTGATCATTTCCCTGACAGAATGGGAGATGGCATATTTCCGCCGTGTTCAGAAAACCTGCTGGTCTCGTTCAAGCAGTCTCTGGTGTATTGAGCACTAATATGAACCATGAACATGTGATGTTGTGGATGAGAATCCATCACATGGCAAATCACACCAGAGTGAGGAAAAACCCTACCGCAGGTGATAAGGATGTACAAATCATTTAAACTAGGCATAAACAGCTGTGCATAGCTAAGCCTTTGGCCGTGCTTTGTCAAAATAAAATTGGATAGCAAATGTTCAAATAATGTAAAAGGATATGGAATCCTCTAAGGGATTTACTGCAATCATGACAGGAATGGCAAAGAAGCCACGGTAACTGGAGAGATCGGTATTCACAGGTTTGAATGTATTCATAAACACACACAATCTCTAAAACAGTGCAAAATGATAAACCAAAGGGCTATCATTACAATAAAAATAGCATGTTTATTTTTTATATCAGCAACTTATGTTCAAGATGCAACTCAATAAATGTGAGGCTCATACTTGTAGAAAGCTTCTTTATATCTTATTATACACTACAGTGTGAAGCCTCTGGCAATGTTTATTGTTTCTAAAATGGCTAGAAATAATGTGAGAAAAATGCAAAACAGTATTGTGAGGTAATAACTTCTGGCTAACGACAAATCACAGGGAGCATTAATATGCTATTGTTGTGCTCTTATGTTGATGTGTTTTTGTAACAAATTATCCCTTTATCTTAAGGTTTATAGAGACCCATGGGTTTCTGTAGAGTAGTTTTAGGGATACATCATCATCACTGTCAAACATTTCAGATATTTCTATACTCAATATTTAATTCATCACCAGTTGTGTCTCTAGCCTCTAGTTTAACCTCTTGAGCCCCACGGACCTGCGGGCGGGGGCAAAAATGCAACATCTGCAAGAAACAGCGTCTGAGGGCTTCTTAAAATGTAACAAACTATGAATGTGTATATCCACTTAATGGGAAGAAACTCAGCTAACTGACGATATGAACCATTTTTACCGAAAGAAAACACAAGTCTCACAAGAAGCGTCGAAATGAGCCCTGAGCGAAAAAATGCTAACGCACAGAACTCACGGTAGAAATACGTTATTACTTATCGGATCTGCACAAACAAGATATCAGATTAAAGCTGAGATTCCGCAGATTCTAGAGGTATTAGTATCATCACTGTGCGATCAAAACTCAGGGCAGCAAAGGTAAACCCAGACAACACACCACCTATAGCTTTACTGAGCCAAAACGGCAAATATGTCTTACCTTTGCTGTTTTTCTGATCAAAAGTTGTGTTCAATGGCATTAAAACGAAAAAAACACGGCTGAAGGTTAGTCCATAGCTTAATCCAATGTGTCTGTGTCACTTTGAAATGATTACTGATAATCCATCATCTTATTTATGGCAATAAGCCTAGTTTTCAGTTTTCAGAGCGTAACATAGCTTTCGGTTTGGGCAAGCTGCGTGCGCATCACTCTCATTCCTCAATGGCAGCGCCATACGGCGCTGTTCAATGGTAACGTGTAGGTGGACTTAGGAACTTCCCTCTCGATTGTATTGGCTCTAACGGTTCAAAAGAGGTGTCAATCATCAAAATCGACCGAGGGGGGCCAGAGATATGGCAAATCCACCCAAATGACCCCAGAAGTGGGTTTTATTTTCTAAACCTCTCTAAAAAGGTTTTTTTTCTGCAATTAATCTAAGCTCATGAAACATAAAAATGAGACAAAGAAAAGTAAAGATAAGGTGTTGTTGTTGCAAGCCATGTTTGTTTGTTTGTTTGTTTGTTTGTGTCAGTTGATGTAAAAACTGTACAGCAGCTGCAACCTGTGCTCATAAATGTGCGCAGTCTGTTACCTAAATTAGATTTTGTCCGCATTTGGGCGAGCTCGACTGATGCTGATATCATTGTCTTATCAGAAACGTGGCTAGATAAATCTATTTTGGCCTCTGACATCTACTTAAATGGTTATAGTGTATATCGTACCGACCGTCCTAAAAAAGGTGGTGGCGTTGCCATTTATGTGAAAAATAAGTTTTGTGTAACCAAGATGGTTTCCAAATCTATTAGTAAACAACTAGAATTTTTAGCCTTCAATATTGAAGTAGCAAAGGGTCAACAGCTCATGGTGGTGGGCTGCTACAGACCCGCCTCAGCTGTCAAGGACTCTTTATCTTCATTGGCAAAACTTTTATCTCAACTTGACTACAAGGAAATAGTGCTGCTTGGTGATTTTAATTGGGACTGGTTAACTTCTGTGTCAGAGGATTTTAAAAACCTTTGTATCTCTCTGAATGTTACTCAGATTATAGACAGTCCTACTCGCCCTAACATTAAGTCCCCAAATAAATCCTCCTTAATTGATCTCATTTGAACTAATGTTCCCCATAAATACTTATCTGTGGGAGTATTTGCAAATGATCTGAGTGATCACTGTGTTGTAGCCACAATTAGGGACACAAAAGTCCAAAAGGTTAAACCTCGCATTATCAGTAAGAGAGACAAAAAACATTTTGTGGAGCAGGGTTTGTTCATGATCTGTTTGATTTTGATTGGGGTAAAATCGATCTGTGTGCTGATGTAGAAACTGCATGGTCTTATTTTTATCTTGGTTTTATGGAAATTATAGATAGACATGCACCCCTGCGTAAATTTAGAGTGAAGGGACGAGACAACCCTTGGTTTTCTGCTGACTTATCTAGTCTCCTTCATGAGAGAAACAAGGCCTGGGCAAAGGCTAGGAAATCCGGCTCAGAGGTAGAATGGCTACGCTTTAGGCAGCTAAGAAATAGCTTCACATCACAAATAAAAAGTGCTAAGTCTAACTATTATCTGTCAGTTACCACAAAGAACCTGAATAATCCTGGAAAATGTTGGAAAGCCATAAAATCGATATCCACCGGTGATATCCGTAATGAGCTACCTCCATGCATTACCACAGCATCTGGCACTATATCGGACAGGGCCACTATGTTAAATTGTTTTAATGAGCATTTTGTGTCCTGTGGCTCTCTGTTTGATTCTGTTTCTAACTCTGCTTCTGTGAACACCACAGTCTGTGACTCTGAAAAACGTGTTTTGGAAAACCCTTTTAGTTTTACTCCTTTTACTGTTGATGTTGTTCGTGAAGCTTTAACCAAGTTAGATCCTAAGAAACCGGCCGGCCCGGACAACGTGGAACCTTTCTTTTTAAAGATAGCTGCAGATTTTATTGCTCCACCTCTCACTACTCTTTTTAACCTCTCCCTCAGCACAAACACAATTCCAAAATTGTGGAAGTCAGCTTATGTCCTGCCTTTGCTGAAAGGAGGGGAGGCAACTGTTTTAAATAATTATAGGCCCATCTCTAAATTATCAGTTCTGGCTAAGGTTCTTGAACGCCTAGTGAGTGAACAGGTAAAGGTGTTTTTATGTACAAATGACATCCTGTCTAAACATCAGTCAGGCTTCAGAAAGCAACATAGCACCATCACTGCCACAATGAAAGTGGTGAATGATGTGGCGAGTTTTTTAGATAATAAGCAGAGCTGTGCAGCTCTATTTATTGACCTTTCCAAAGCGTTTGATACCGTCGATCATCGCATCTTAAAGCAGAGGCTACTCAGTATTGGCATATCCAGCCATGCAGTGGGGTGGTTTGTGAACTACCTCTCTGAAAGGTCCCAATGTGTTCATTTTGATGGGCTGTCTTCTGAGTGGTTAAACATTACTAATGGTGTTCCTCAAGGTTCTGTTTTAGGTCCACTTTTATTCTCCATCTACATCAATAGTTTAGGCGAAAATGTCGATGGAGCAACCTTACATTTTTATGCGGACGATACCGTAATGTACTGTGCACGTCCCTCCATTAAGGAGGCTGTTGTTGAATTGCAAGCTGCTTTTAACATTATTCAGACTCAGCTCTCTGAAC